CTCTGTAAGCCCCCCCGGCACATGCAGCAATGTTTGGCATCTAAGAGAATGTATCACAACATAGGGAGTGAGGCACTCATTCCCCTTGAGGTACTAACTCTCTGCATCCATTTTTGGCATCCTGGTGGGACCAGGGCATCAGTGGGGTGCCTGAGACCAGCTGGAGAATGAAATGCTCCCTGAGAAAGGGCAGTAGTGGTTAAAGAGAGACCATGGAAACCAGAGAAAATTGCAGAGTCAGCTCAGGACATCTCTTAACACAGGTGGGACTCCCAGAAATTCCTGGAGACGGTGGCTACTTTGCAATGAAAAGGAAAAGGTGTGGCAGGTGCTAAATAGAAGTCACTGTCCTCAAAATAAACTCTCATTTTTGACAAAGGCTGGTGAAGCCGGCAATTTTCAGAGGAGATGGCAGTGAAAGTCTCACCAAAACGCAGAGCTTGATTTTTTTCCCCCCAAGGTGATGGGAGCAGAGCCATGCATCATGGTCCTCCTCAACACTCCCGCCCTACAAAGCAATGCATCCTGGCGCACAGGGGAAGGCTGCCAGTACACATTACTTGTGGAACACTTTGTAGGCACGAAACCGCATCTTTTTTGTGTGTATAACGAAGAATATTGGTATCCTTATCCTTAGTATCATTAATCAGCTGGTGAAAACAGCCAACAACACATAGAGTTACATATCGTCTTCATTACTCTTGAGACTTCATTGTTCTGATTCCTCTGCCACCGCACTTAGGATTGAGTTTTACTAAAAGAAAAAACTAGAAATAGAGGGTTTGACTTAAAGAAAGAAATGTAGTCAACTCTTCTCACTTTAAGCTTGACTGAGAATTCATTCTCCGATAACAAAAGAAAGAAAATGTGCTGTTTCATCATGTGCTAATATCATGAAAGAGAGGAATATTACTTATGAGTTCAGAGCTGCAATTTGACTATCAGTATTAATTACGGGTTTTGGACTCCTCTTTAATCAAGTCAGCTTCACTGGTTAAATTGACTGTTTTTATTAATTTACAATTAAATAGTTTTCAGTTAACACAAGAACATAGAGATTACATCACAATTGCACTGTTATAAAGTTAAAAGGCCTTTGTGTTTCATTACCAGGTAAAAATTTGGGGGCTAGGCGTCTCACAGAGGATACTAAACAGCCACTGGCCCTTTTATTTTGGTCTTATTAACAGAAATACTGCCTTAGTGAAATTATAAGCATAGGCCTCTTAATTAAGCTTCCTAGGAGTCTGAACTTTTACTTTCAATACCAAATAGTATCTGGAACACATGCTCACTTTTGTGTTTTTTCAGAAATTCTAAGAATTGGCCCAGATTCATGTGATAGTCATTCCTTAATCCATAGTCACCATGGGCCTCAAGGAGTAATTCTTCAAAAGACTGGAAAAGGCGCAGATCCTCTCCGTTTCCTTCGGTTTCGACACTTTCAGCATGCTTACAGGAAATGTGTTTCCAGTTGGGATACCTAATTGTGTGCCAGAATTCCTCACAGTGCCCTTTGAAGCCCTCCACACAGATTATGCCCGGCTTTCCTGTCATGCAGAATCCAGTCACGTCTAACCTTTTCCCAACGTCCAAAATCTTTTTTCTTAGGTCCTGCTGGTATATGTGGTGACTGTAGATCCACATTCGGAGGAATGTGTTCTTGACTGGCTTTGCTTGTGTAGATGGTTCGTAAGCAAGCTTTCTGTTCAGGAAATAGGAGGCACTATTGTCCTGCAACCACTGGATTGCCGCACATACACAGAGCTCACCTGGATCAAAAGTCCCTATATAAGAAGTGAGACCTTTGTTGAGAAGTAGTTGCTGTTGTCTGTCAAGCTCAGACGACCGTCCAAATAGCTGCAATGCTGCATAGGGGTAGCTGTGAGGCATGGTTACTTGCAAATCAATTTTCACCTTAAAAGGAAAATCAAATAGATTTAAGTACCATAAAAATCACCTAAGCTAGTTAATCAGTGGCAACGGCATGATTTTGATAAATATAACAGTGTTGCTACTATTAAGTGTCAGCTATGGGCCAGAGACTGTACTGAGAATGTCACATACACTATTCCTTCCATTTACGCATTCATGCATTCCAATGTTTATTGAGCACCCACCATGTGTCAGGGACCCCATGCTAGGATAAAGAAGTGAAGAAGCTAGACACAATTTCTGCTATTCATGAAGACTAGAGCCTAGTGAAGGAGACAGACATTAAACTAATAATTACACATCACAAGTACTTAATTTCAATGAGGAGAAGAACAGGGCTCCGCTGAAATGTGTAACCAGTGAGACAGAAGTCAGTCTGGGAACCAGGAGCTCTTCGGTGAGGGAATGACAGCTGAAGGATAAGCAGGAAATCACTAGAGGAGGGCTTCTCAAAAGCCTAGTCCGCTTGTGACCTATGCTATGCTCATGTTGCTGGAGACGAGGGATCAGAAGATGAAGGGAAATTCATTTTTAGTATTTAGATTTCCTGTCTGTATTTGCTTTGTGTCATGGTACCACCAAAGAAACATTCATCCACTCAAGTCAGTTTTGCTAATGGCAATACTTAGATTTGTAAAAATCACAATACATGTACAAGGCAGTACATACTACAATAGCTGGAATGGTAAAAAATTGGTTGAGTGAACAGAATAACAATGGTAGTATGAGACTGCAAGATGTTTTTAATAAAAACCACTACACATATTTGTTAAAAAGATGTGCATGTTCTTTATATACAATGGAATATTATGCAGCCATCAAAAGGAATGAGATCTTGCCATTTGCAACGATGTGGATGGAACTGGAGGGTATTATGTTGAGCAAAATAAGTCAAACAGAGAAAGACATGTATCATATGACCTCACTGATATAAGGAATTCTTAATCGCAGGAAACAAACTGAGGGTTGCTGGAGTGGGGGGTGGGATGGGAGGGATGGGGTGACTGGGTGATAGACACTGGGGAGGGTATGTGCTCTGGTAAGCGCTGTGAATTGTGCAAGACTGTTGAATCTCCGATCTGTACCTCTGAAACAAATAATGCAATATATGTTAAGAAAAAAAAAAAAAAGAAGAAGGTAGCAGGAGGGGAAGAATGAAGCGGGGCAAATCGGAGGGGTAGATGAACCATGAGAGACAATGGACTCTGAAAAACAAACTGAGGGTTCTAGAGGGGAAGGGGGGGAGGATGGGTTAGCCTGGTGGTGGGTATTGAGGAGGGCACATTCTGCATGGAGCACTGGGTGTTATGCACAAACAATGAATCATGGAACACTACATCTAAAACTAATGATGTAATGTATGGGGATTAACATAAGAATAAAAAAAATTTATAAAGATTTTTTTCCAAAAAAAAAAAGATGTGCATGTTTATGGAAAATTCAAGATATTTATTGAAGACAATTTACAGGGCATCCCATATTTTACATATTTCACTTTCAAACAAGTAAAGGATATACGAATCTGGAATATTCTCTATTTGCTTCCTGGACAGAAATCTCACGTTTCAAGTGTTTCCACTAAAAACCGGGCACCCGGCAACAATGAAAACAACTCAGGGTACTTACCTTGGGCTCCTCAATCTGGAGGGTAATCACAAATTCGATTTTTGGCGGCAGCGCCTCCCTTGTGCCTTCCAAATATCGCTTTATATTCGTCAGGACATTTACATCTTCAAGTTTTACTTCTCCTTGGTTAGGAAACATAGAAAACAGCATTTCCATCTCTAGCAGCTGAAGCTGCAGGCATTCTTTCATTGAAGAAGACATGTTGCCTCGAAATCCACCTGCCAGGAAAACTGGAAAGGCCCAGGGGCACTAGGTTTGTTAATTTCAGCGGTGTCCAGAGAAATTTCCCGAAGGTCCCTTTCCGTGGAGGCAGTTTTGCAGGAACGCTAGGCACCGACAGCTAGGGGCACAAACCGGGACACTTAAACTCTTTCTTCGCTTTATCTCCCAACCCACAAATTTAGTATGCACAATATCCCTCAAGACACCTCGTTAAAATTCAGATTCCCAGTCCGTGATCTCCCCACCCCCACCCCCGCTTCCGATTTAAATCCGGGAATCTGGACTTTCAACAGGTGTTCCAAATTATTCCGTTGCAGGTGGTTGGCAAACACCTGCAGATGCTCTGCAAGCCTGAATTCTGGGAAAGGCAAGGAGCCTAGCCTGCAATCCCACTAGGGTCTCGGGCTTGGGCGGAGCTGCGCCCTGTGGCGAGGGAAGCCCGCAGTCTGGCGAGGCTGTGGTCGCATCCCTTGGCTCCGGGGTCTTGAGGGCCCCGCCGCCCGCAACGCCAGTTGCGGCTCCTCGGCCCCAGCGCCAAGGACCCCTCCCGAGCGGGCCTTTACGGCTCAACCGGAAGCCACATCACCCCGGGATGGCATCCTGATAGCTCCGGACGATTTGGGTCCATCTGGCCTGTGTGTGGAGGGGCCCAGGCTAACCGGGAGTCTTACAAGTACATTAATAAAATGATGTTTAGTGCAAGCTGGTGCGGAGAGATGGGGTGTGAGTAGCGGCTCGAGAAGGCTCCCGGAGTCAAAGTTTGGGGAGATGAACCTCGAGGATCTAGAAGGGGATGCGGGAAAAGGGGAGATGGCCGAGGCCACCTTGTCAGAGGCCCCAAATCAGGGTTGGTACCCCCCATCTGGGATCATTAGGAACCCTGGCTTCCCAGGAACGCAAGACTGCCACCCCCTGAGACCCAAATTTGGAGGCGGGGACTGCGTTTTTGCCGGTGGCAGTACTCTGATGGCCCACGACCCTAGGCCCCAACCCCCGGGCCACCGCGGGGGGCCTCACCCTTCCCGGTCATTCAAAGGAAACAGCCCCAAGCCCTCTCAGAACCGGGATCCGCAGTTCTGCAGGCGCGAGCTGCGCATGATCCGCAAGGAGGCGAGGCGGGGCCCGCGGGTCCTCCCCCCTCCGTGATTGGCTGGGGGGCGTGGCGATGGGCCGGAAGTCACGCAGCGCCACGTCTGCAGGTTCGGAGGGCTTCAGTCAGGTAGGGGGAGCCGCCGCTGGGTAGCAGCTCTGTGAGGTGGAGGTGAGGGGTAATCTCCGGCGGAGGTGAGTGGGGCCCTTAGGCTTGGCGACGGGAATGGGACTCTCCAGTGCGTAGGGGTTCGGCCTGCCGATGGGCTGCGGGTAGGCTAGCGGACTGACCCACGGACCGCGCGCGGAACACACCCGCCCCTGCGCCTTCAGAGCGGGCCCGAGGGTCTCGTGCTGGGTGTTCTGGTCCAGAGGCCTGGAGCGGGGGGTGGCGGCTCAGGGTTGAGAGCCGGGAAACGTGCGGCCATTTGGGGCCTGGAAAGAAAGCGGAACAAGCAAGCGGTTGATAATTGAATGGAGGGAAGGGGATGCTCTCAACTTTCTTAGAGTGGTCACTGTCTGGGCTTGTAAGCTTTGAATAAAAGCGTTCGCCCACTCATTGAACGTAGGTTTAGGACCGAAAACGCTTTGAAGGGTGGAAGCATTTTTTCTTTTTTAAAAGATTTTCTGGATTTAACACCACTGGTTTACGCCCTCACGAATAATCATGATATATTACCGAATGGTCAGTTTTTAACAAAGTGTATTCATGCTTGTGAAAGAGATTTGATCACTTTGGACCAAACTAAATTAGCTTGCTGATTTTTCTAGCTGGACAAAAGCAAAAATTTTTCACCATTTCCTTTAACTTTTGTTCATTGAAGCAATGAAAGAAAGTGAAGAAAACAAGATAGGACTGCTGCTCATCTCTGGGCTAATTGGGAATGGGACTGACCCAAGAATTGAATAAACAGTACATACAACTGAGGTTGGAAACCCCAAGTTCCACTTAAAATTGGAGTATCCCAGAGAAGGAAGTACTAGTGGGCTAGGGGCCAGTTAAAGGTAAAAAGATGTTACTTTCAGAGCTTAATTTAGAAGGGTGTCCTGATCCTCCCTTATGAAAATAGAAAAATCCACTGCAAGATATATTAGGAGGTCTGGGCGGTCTTAAGAGAGGAGGCTGTTCTCCTTTGCTTTTCCTTTGGGTGTATGTCTCTGTGGTGTGGGAGGAATAACAAAAGAACCAACAGATTTCCCAGATATTTTGGATATGTAGTCCCAGTCCATCTGACAGTATGACCTTAGGCCCCAGTCTGTCACCAGCTACCCATGTAAATTTAGGTTATTTAACTGAGGCCCAAGCTTAAGTTTTTCCGTTTGTGAAATGAGGTAATCTTTGATTGTGTAGCAGTCTGTGAATCTATGTGTGGAATCTTCATTTTAGTTGAGAGTGGACCATTTTAAGTTCACCCTGTGTTCAGGAATAGCCCTGGAGCCAAAATGAGAGATGAGTTGGGGTAATCTGCCATCTGCCCTGGAGTGGATGATGCAAGTTGGGCAGGATCTTGTAGGTAATGCCTACCACCAGGACTTATTGTACCATTCTTTTCTTTTCTTTTTTTTTTTTTTTAAAGATTTTATTTATTTATTTGACAGAGAGAGACACAGCGAGAGAGGGAACACAAGCAGGGGGAGTGGGAGAGGGAGAAGCAGGCTTCCCGCCGAGCAGGGAGCCCGATGCGGAACTCGATCCCAGGACCCTGGGATCATGACCTGAGCCGAAGGCAGACGCTTAACGACTGAGCCACCCAGGTGCCCCTGTACCATTCTTTTCTTTCTCAAACATTCTTTGTTGGGGTTCAGAACGAGGCAGACCTGTTAGTTTAAGGTGGCAGTTTTTGAAGCAAATGGTCCTTGAAAGATTTCTTATGCTTGAAAAATATTCCTTAATTTTGTAGACATGGATTTAGATGCTATTAGAGAATACTCAGCATTACATGCCAAACCCAATGGACTCGTTCTTCAATATGGGACTGCTGGCTTTCGAACGAAAGCAGAACATCTTGATCATGTCATGTTTCGCATGGGATTATTAGCTGTCCTGAGGTCAAAACAGACAAAGTCTACAATAGGAGTCATGGTAACGGCATCACACAATCCTGAGGTAATGCCTTTAGTGCTCTTATAAAGCAAACCTTTATTTACAAGAACACATCTTAGTGTCTGAGCAGTTTGACCCCAAGTACAAATTCTAATTCTAGGAATGTGCCTACTCGGTATGTGCCTTTGGATTTGAAATGGCTTTTTCTTAAAGATTAATTTATTTTAGAGAGAGACTAGAGAGTGCATGTGAGGGAAGGGGCAGAGGGAGAGGGAGAATCCCAAGCAGACTGATCACTGAATGTGGAGCCAGACACCAGGCTGGATCCCACAAGCCTGAGACTACACACAACCCGAGCTGAAATCAAGAGTCAGACACTTAACTGACTGAGCCACCCAGGCGCCCCTGAAACGGCTTTTTCTTGATGAGTGGTCATTTAGCTCATGACTGTAGAGGGTGTGGAGAGAATGAAATTGAGAGTCATTTCTTGGACTGTGTCCATATTAGAGAAATAACAGAATGTCCTTCCAAGTTAGTTGTATTGAGACAGAATAAGTAACAAAAAGTATTACTTGTGTTAATTTGGTAGAGATTAGAGAGATTGGAGCCAAGGTGGGGAGAAGGGCAAACATTTGAAAAGATTTAGTGCATTTTGAAAATTTTTTAGACTGGTTTTCTTTTCTTTTTTATTTTAAAGATTTTGTTCATTTGAGAGAGAGAGAGAGAGCACACAAGCGAGAGAGCACACAAGCGAGAGAGCACAAGCAGGGGGAGCAGCAGAGGGAGAGGGAGAAGCAGACTCTGCACTGAGCAGGGAGCCCGATGTGGGCCTTGATCTCAGGACCCTGAGATCGTGACCTGAGCCGAAGGCAGCCACTTAACTGACTGAACCACCCAGCCACCCCTAGACCCGTTTTCTGTAGTTAGGGAATATTAGGGAAGAGTTTCCTGTTCTGAATGAACAGCCAAACAGGTGGCTCCACGTATACAACAGTGAGCTTTGGGCAGATTATTGATGAGGCCTGATGATTCTAGTGTTTTGAGAATTACTTCTTTTTTTTAAAGATATATTTATTTATTTTAGAGCGAGAGAGTGTGCGAGCCAGGGAGAGGCAGAGAGAGAGGGAGAGAGACTCTCAGGCAGACTCCCTGCTGAGCGCAGGGCCTGATGTGGGGCTTGATCCTGATCCTATGACCCTGACATCATGACCTGAGCCAAAACCAAGAGTTGGACCCTCAACCAACTGAGCCACCCAGGCGCTCCCAATTTTTTTAAGCAAAGTATTCTTTTTGACGCAGTTTAACTGTTTTATTATGTATTGCCTATAGCTCACTAATATGTGGTTTGAATAACATGTCTCTGTTTGATTGCAAGAGCGTGAGACTTTTGCCTTTGTAGCTAAATTAGCAGCAAGTTAAAGCTGTGTAGGTCTGTGAAGGATTATAACCTCCTCTTCCCCCCACACAAGAGGACATAGCTTGTCCAGCTTGTAAATGTGGATCATTATAAATGTGTAAGTGTCTGAATGTCTAAATCACCACAATTAATGACTTGTGGGCTGAAGCCTATATTTATTGCTAGTTCTAGAAGTACTTCTTAAAACAGTACTGAACTGTTTCCTTCAGTTGACATTCACTCTGAACTACACTTTATTTCTTCCCCAAAATTTGAGCAGAACAGAATTGGGAGTCAGTTTTCAGCTTTTGTCACCCGCTGGTTGATACATTGGCCAGTATGTTCTTAAAGAGTCCAGAGTCATAGTGAGGAGGATCTCTCGGTGCCTTCATTCTCCTCCATTTGTGCCCTGGTCATGTAATTGATGGTGAATGCACAGATGACAGCCTTTTTAAAAAACTAGTGTAGCATAGTGGCTGGTGGGTTTAAGAGTCATGTAGACTTGATGTTTTTTTTTTTTTTATTCTTATGTTAATCCCCATACATTACATCATTAGTTTTAGATGAAGTGTTCCATGATTCATTGTTTGTGCACAACACCCAGTGCTCCATGCAGAATGTGCCCTCCTCAATACCCACCACCAGGCTAACCCATCCTCCCCCCCCCCTCCCCTCTAGAACCCTGTTTGTTTTTCAGAGTCCATCCTCTCTCATGGTTCGTCTACCCCTCCGATTTCCCCCGCTTCATTCTTCCCCTCCCGCTGCCTTCTTCTTCTTCTTTTTTTTTTTTTTTCTTAACATATATCGCATTATTTGCTTCAGAGGTACATAGACTTGATGTTTTAATACCAGCACTGACACTGTATGAACATAAGCAGATTACTTGCTATGAATCTGTGTTTTTTCAAAGTAAGATTGGAATAAAAATAGGATTATTAGTAGGATTGATGATTGTTATGAGGATTTATATAAAACACCTAGTCCAGTGCCTGGCATTCCATACGGTCACAGGTAAAGCCACTCAGCCATCAGTGTCTTTTTTAGGGGAAAACAGCTTGAGTTTACTTCCTCAACTCACCCTTGTGAATATGCACAGATGGCTTATTGTTCGCTTTTCTTTTAAGGAAGACAATGGGGTAAAGTTGGTTGATCCTTTGGGTGAAATGTTGGCACCGTCCTGGGAGGAACATGCTACCTGTTTGGCAAATGCTGAGGAACACGAGATGCCGAGAATGTTGATGGACATCAGTGTGAAAGCAGCCGTGAATCTGCAACAAGATGCCTTCGTAGTGATTGGTAGAGATACCAGGTGACCATCAGAGTTACTGGTGAAAGCAGCTTTGGGAACTGGACCTAAACGATTGCATTAGTTTTAGTACCCATGATAAATTGAAAAAATTAAGTGGAACTAAGAGGCTCCTCCACCTACCTGGCCTTTTTATTTTTGATAGGATGGAGGAGGTAATCCGCTCCTGCATCTTAGGTTTTGGAGTCCGAACCCCAACTCTAACACTGTATGACTGGGTAGGTTACTTAACCTTTGGAGCTTCCATATGCCCATCTTTAAAATGTTGATATTAAAGCCCAACTCAGGGCTTTTGTGAGGATTACATGAGATAATGTATGCAAAATACCTATTTCCTGACCCGAGAGAAGTACTTAACATATGTCTCCCACCTCTTTACTTCTGTAGATTTACTATTTTCTTCTATAAAGTAAGAACATGTGATTGTAATTCAATATTTATAGAGATTTACCTCATAATCTACATTATTATTGGTTCATATATTTATATTATTTTCCCATGCTGGAGTTCACTGGAAAACATTAACAATATATTATTTCACATACAGTAATTCCCCCTGCCCCTTATCTGCAGGGGATACATTCCAAGACCCCCAGTGGATGCCTGAAACCATGGATAGTACTGAACTCTCTATATACCATGTTTTTCTCTATACATACATAATTATGATAAAGATTAATTTTTAAAGATTTTACTTATTTATTTGAGAGAGAGAGCACGAATGGGGGGAGGAGCAGGGGGCAGGGAGAGACAGAAGCCCAGGCAGACTCTGCTCCCAGCGCTGAGCCTAAAGTGGGGCTTGATCTCAGGACCCCGAGATCATGACCTGAGCCAAAATCAAGAGTTCAGATGCTTAACATTGAGCCCCCCAGGTGCCCCTATGTTAAAGATTAATATATAAGTTAAACACAGTAGATCGACAATAAATAATAAAGTGGAACAATTGTAACAACATACTATAATAAAGTTATGTGAATGTAGTCTCTCAAAATATCTTACTGTACTGTACTCCTCCTTCTCTTTCTTGTGATGATGTGAGATGATAAAATACCTGTGTGAGAGAGGATATGAGGTGAATGTAGGCATTGTGATGTAGTGTTAGGCTCCTGTTGACCTGACAGTGTGTCAGAAGGTGGATCATCTGCTTCTGGACTACAGTTGACCTCAGGTAACTGAAACCATGGCCAGCGAAACTGTGGACAAGAGGGGGGGCTACTTGTCATATTTGGCAGCTTTTGCCTTCCTTTACAAAAAGATATTATTGTAAAATGTTAGATTAAAAGTGTACTTTGAAACAGAAGCATTCTCTTTACTGTAAGATTTCATTTTAGCCAGAGATTCTTTCTAAAGGAAATTTCTAGTCATAGTCTTAATGATAGGACATTAGGACAATGGTGTTTTATCCTTAATGTGTTACCAGAGAGACTTCTAAATACCATTGATTGTGGATTTATAAGTATCAGAAGTAGCCTAGTGACTTATGTTCTGAAACAAATTATTATCCTACGGTAAAGCCATCCCACATGTAATTGCCTCTTACCAATTAACTAGTTTAAATGATATAAAACATCATTTTCTACAAGGCAGTTATAATGATCTACTTTATTTTCAGATAGATAATTTGTTCTGACTTTTTCAAATGAAAAATAGGTTCTGTATCCTTGGTAGTTTAATACCCAGTACTGCATTATGCAAAGTGTTTGCATTCAGTATTTATTGCTACTATTTTTAGGTAGTGTATATGTTGTTACAGTCAAACTTGAAAAGGTTTTTGGGTATGATGTAGTTAGTGTATTTTTATATTTATTTTCTAAATTCATTTAAAAGCCAAACTCTTTCCAAGAAATGTATTGTGAAAGGCTGCTGGAAAATGCTTATACTCTACCTCTTATTATCTCTGCAGAGTTTTCAGACTTTACAGGTTTCAGTTCAAATACAGTGAACCTATTATCCTGGAATTTGTAGCATTTGCTTTCAGAACTAGCAACTCTTGGTTTCAGAATGGGATGTGTTATTTTCTTCCTTTTCTTTTCTAGGCCTAGCAGCAAGAAACTTTCACAGTCTGTAATAGATGGTGTGACTGTTTTAGAAGGTCAATTCCATGGTATGTAGCTATCCTGAGTTGTAAATTAAACTTTAAAAAACTTAAATAACTTTTGGGGCGCCTGGGTGGCTCAGTCAGGCAGCTGCCTTCGGCTCAGGTCATGATCCCAGGGTCCTGGAATCGAGCCCCACATCAGGCTCCCTGCTCCGCGGGAAGCCTGCTTCTCCCTCTGCCACTCCCCCTGCTTGTGTTCCCTCTCTCGCTGTGTCTCTCTCTGTCAAATAAATAAAATCTTTTAAAAAATTAAATAAATAAATAAATTAGCAGTCCTTAAAATGTTTAAAAAAAAAACTTAAATAACTTTTAAGAAAGTTGTAAAAATAGTACCATTTATTTTAAAAGAGTTTGAAAGTACAGATAAAATAACTTTTTAAAAAATGAACGGGGCACCTGGGTGGCTCAGTCAGTTAAGCGTCAGACTCTTGTTTTCAGCTCAGGCCAGGATCTCATGGGTCCTGGGATAGAGCCGCTTACTGGGCTCCATACTCAGTGAGGAGTCTGTTTAAAGATTCTCTTCCTCTGCCCTTCCCCCCATTTGCACGAGCATACGCTCTCTCTACTTCTTTCTCTCTCAAATAAATCTTTTTTTTTTTAAGGTTTTATTTATTTATTTGACAGAGAGAGACACAGAGAGGGAACACAAGCAGGGGGAGTGGGAGAGGGAGAAGCAGGCTTTCCACGGAGCAGGGAGCCCGATGCAGGGCTCGATCCCAGGACCCTGGGATCATGACCCGAGCCGAAGGCAGACGCTTAACGACTGAGCCACCCAGGTGCCCCAAATAAATAGATCTTTAAAAAAAAAAATGAACTAGGTATAAAATACTAGCTTTTTAAATTTAAAAAGTTAAAAATTTTTTCTGGGTGTGCATATTTTGGTTTAGCTATAGGAGATTATATGTAAGAAATACTGATCTTAACTTTCTTTACTTTAGTAAGGCCAAATTTCCTGAAATAAAAACCTTTGAAGTTAACTTGAAGATGTTCATTCTGGGGAGCTTTTGTCAATATCATGTATTCCCAAATAGCTGATCACACGTGGAATCAGCTGTTACCTATCAAATAGTGGTGGAAAATATCTTTGGCCTGCTTATAATCTGATTTTAAGTTTTGACAGATAGTTTTTCCTATTTTATCAGATGAAGAATCACATGACAGAAAATGGAGACTAGAATCCTCCTCTCACATCAGTCATGCCCCTTGTGAATGCAGTGACTCCATTTTGCTTGGAGGTGAATTTCCCTAGTATCTCCCTAGTTTCTCATTTTAAAGACTTCTTTAACCTCCTTTCCAGCTCCTCTGTGCTCGTCCTTCAGAGTTAATTTGGCCTCTTCCAGGAGCTTACTTCTCTGCTCTTCAACTCATTACTTAGCCCACTGCAGGCAAAGTCTCCGTCCTTGCCCCTTCGGTGAAGTGTCTCTCTCAACACTCACCTGAATTCTAATTGCCAAATCCAATGGCTGTTATAAAGTGGGGATTCTCAGCCTGGGGCCTAGGGCTCCCTGGGAAATGTGTGGTTAAGCTGCAGGGACCTGGCTGATCTCTTGGTAACAGTGTGCAGAGTGTTACCAACCAGCACATGCACTTTTCTAGGGAGAAGAGTTACTGCTTTCGTTAGATACTCAGAGGGATCTGTGACATAAAAATAACTTTCAGAATTTATATTTTGAAGTTTTTATTTCAGTTGCTGTCTTGATAGCTTTCACACTGTGACCTCTTCCTTTCTTTCTTGAAGCTTCTACTTCCTTGGCCACTCATTCTTATCGGTCTTCTGTATGGGTTCACTCTCTTCATATGGGTGTTCCTTATTTCTCTCTTTGATTCTGCTTGATTTTTGAATGATCATCTTTACTGCCAAAGCTCCAGCTATGTATAGTTTAATTTTTTATTTATTAGTTCATCAAACTTTTTTTTTTTTGAAAGATTTTATTTATTTATTTAACAGAGAAAGACACAGCGAGAGAGGGAACACAAGCAGGGGGAGTGGGAGAGGGAGAAGCAGGGTCCCGGCTGAGCAGGGAGCCCGATGCGGGGCTCGATCCCAGGACCCTGGGATCATGACCTGAGCCGAAGGCAGATACTTAACGACTGAGCCACCCAGGCGCCCCCGTCAAACATTTTTGACTGCCTTCTATACACAACCCTCCAGGGAGTCTGTTTCATGCCGCTCACAACTTAAAGAAACCCATTTTGTATCATGATGTGTGTATATGTACTTGTGTGTGTAACTGACACAAAAGTATCAGTAAATAATACCCACACTGCATGACGTGCATTCATCTGTTTTATTTTAAAAAAAATGCAGAAATGCTGGTTGTGTCTTACTAAGTGGATTCCATGATTCCTGACGGGCTCAGGTCTGCAATTTGTAAGCACTAGTCTGAGAGGTCTCCATTTAGGTGATCTGCCCTTACTCCAGCTTCACCTGGCTTAAAACTATTGTTTATACTATCCTCAGAATGCTTCACCTTTTGCACGGTCATTCTAGCTCTAGAACCATCACTGTTCTAATGTTTTAATCTAGAAAAATATGAGAGTAATTTTTTTTTTTGTGGACCTTTCCGTCATTTCTCTCTTCAGCTTAGCGTACTTGAGGAAATGAAAGGTTAATGTAGCCACAGCATAGGGAGAATGGGGGAAGCTAGTAGATAAGGTTAGGGAAGTAAGCATGAGCCATATCATCCCGAGGTTGTAGTAAAGATTTGGGTTTTATTTCAAATGCACAGGAGCTCCATGGAAGGGTTTTATACATGGAAGTATGATCACATATCCATTTTAAGTCAGTCACTCTGGGTTTTCAGTCTGACTTTTGTGTAGAGAGGAAGTTTGTAAGGAAAAGAGACGGTATAGCAGTTCATGCAAGAGTGATGATAGCGAGAGAAGTGGAGAAGTTTGAAATTAGTAGTGACTTCAAAGGATTTTGTGATACATGATGAGGCTAGAGCTGTGAAGAATGGCTTCTAGGTTTCTGGGTTGATCGGTGGAACAGATGAGTAACTATATAATAGTTATTTTTTATTAAGTAAAAATTTATTGAGTAAATATTTATTTGCTAATGTTGATATTGGTCACAAAATCCTTTTGTTCCGTCCTTGAGTAAGTCTTTTGGAATATTGTTTTCCTCTCCTTATACACCTCCATTAAACTAGGTTAAGTGCTGATCCACTTTGAGCTCCTCCCTCTCCTTCGATCCCATCCTTGTATCAGAGCCATGGTTGCCTTCATAACGTACCATTTCCGCTGGATACCTGCAGGGCTCAGTAGCTTAAATGACTTTTAACTCTTGTGCTTGACTTTGAAGACCTCTGATGGATTTAGTTACAGAATATTTATTGGATATTGGTCATCTCTGCTATTTCTCCTGTTTCTTGTTCTTGCTTTTGGTGCTTTTCTTGTGTGGTTTGCTATTTTTGACTATAAGCTGTTTATTTTTCTTGGGAAATTATTTGTGGGACATTTTTGAGGTTTATGGTGAAGGCCTATTTCTGTGGCAGAGTTTGGTTATTGCTTTTGCTGGGTGCCTGGGGGTGCTACCTGATGGGTGGATGACAACTTTCTTGATGGAGTTCTTCTGGACCCCTGTGGCTATGTGATTTGGGCTAGAAATCCAGGGGAGGCCTGTGCTTCTGGTGACAGCTCTTCAGGGATGGGTTATCTCCTGCTCTTCTTGATGTCAAGACAAATCTCCTAGGAGTGGGCACTTGGAGCTAATTCACTTCTGACTCAGCCTTGCACTGAAGAATAGTTCTTTGAGGCTTCAGCTTCATGAGGGGCTGGTCTTCTACTGGGTTTCCTTCCCATCTTAAGTCAGCAAGGACTTTTTTTGCACCAAAAGCAGTAGGTTAATTTCTGCTGTAGAGGAATGCCCTCAAAGCCAAACTGGCTTCCCAGAGCTCAAATTTTGGAGTTCTCTCTTCACAGAGGCTTTGGCCTTAGTCCTCTGTAACTTGTTGGCACAGCAATGCTTTTTTAAAAGTGATTTTTCTTTTATCTAGCATTTTTGGTTGTTTTCAGGAGTACGGTTCATCTGAATTAAATAGTTGGCAGTGTTGTTGGAAATAGAACTCAGTTATTATTTTTCTATATTCTCTTTTTATGTTACCTATCCATATTAAATGTGTGTTTTTTTCTAACACTACCAAACAATTAACTTAATTCTCTGACATTATCTACCTAGAGGTAGGGTCAGATCCCACAGGTAAAGGGCTCAGTGCCATGTCTCCTCCCCTCCCCCCATTTCAGAATCCAGTCACCTGAGCTTCTGACGACCCCCTCCTTGGTTTGATTAATGTGCTAAAGTGCTCACAGAACTCAGAGAAACATTTTACTTACCAGATTACTGGTTTATGATAAAGGATAGAACTCAGGAGCAGCCAGCGGGAAGAGCTGCACAGGGCAAGGTATGCAGGAAGGGGCATGGAGCTCCCATGCTCTCTGGGCAGCCACTCTCCCCAGTCTGCACACATTTACCAACCCAAACCCCATCCTTTTGGGTTTTTATGGAGGCTTCATTATATAGGCATGATCAATTAAGTGATTGGCCATTGCTATTTGAACACAGTCTCTAGTCCTTTTCTCTCCCTGGAGTGGCAGGGGGCCCAGGAATAAGAGAGGAGAGGTCTGAAAGTTTCAACTCTTTAATCACATGGTTGGTTTCCCTGGCAACCAACCTGGCCCTATCCTAGCATGCTCTAGGAGCTTTCCTTGTCATCTCATTAGCATAACAAAAGACAATTCCTTGCTCTCATCGCTTAGAAATTCTAAGGGTTAGAAGCCCTGCCAGGAATGGAGACAAAGACCAAATCTCTATTTCTTATTATAAATCACAACATCATAATGTAACAGTTGTAATGATTTCAGTGGATATTTATGCATATTTCTGAATAGTTTGGAAGTTAGCATTTTAGTTTTCTGAGATGTCTTTTTTTTAAGGAAGATCTGTCAAATTCGTATGGTATGAATCCATTTAAACTTTTTTTTGTTTATTAAGAAATGTGACAAATTGCGTTTTGTATTTCTCTGACAGATTACGGCTTGTTAACAACGCCCCAGCTACACTACATGGTGTACTGTCGAAATACCAGCGGCCAATATGGAAAGGCAACCATAGAAGGTTACTATGAGAAACTCTCTAAGGCCTTTATGGAGCTTACCAAACAGGTGAAAAGCTCTTGAACACGGTTAGAGTTTAAGCAAATGAGTAACATCAGATGAATAATTTATCTTAATTAGGTAGTTTGTCACTCCTTCTTCCAAAAATGCGGTGTATTTCCTTTTTCTTTCTAGGGCTCCACAAGGTTTGACCCTTGTATCTTGCTAAATATCTGTTGGCATTTACTTGGCAAGGCACGTAGTACATTCTAAGATAATTGGGAGAGAAAACATGGGGTTCTTGTGGTTTCCTATTCATTCAGATGAATTTTCTCATAGGGTTAATGTTAGGTGCTATTGGCGTGATGCTTGAAGTGTCTACTGCTGAGAAAGATTTTCTCCTGAGTAGATTAGCGTCTTAAACCTGGTTGAGATTTGGGGGGTATAATTAATTTGACCAACAGATATTGAATGCATGTTGTTAACCAAAACAAAGCCCTTGTTCTCATAGAATCTATATTCTGAAGGGAGGATGGGCCAGAGAGGAGACTGACAAGGAAAAACCTAGACATGCCCAGGGGTGTTATATGCTGTGAAGAGAATGACAGGCGTCATTCTGCTCATCCGTCTATATACTTATTCCCACATTTGAATGCCTGTCATGTAATATAGGCTGTAGTATTATTTTGAAGGGACCCTGCTTAACTGAGGCTGAATTTTGACAAAGCTCCATTTCCATAAGTTATTCAATCAGTGAAACTGTTCTAGTGTCAGTGTTCAAAAAAACAAGTTTTTAAAGGTTTTTAAATTTTACTTCGGTTTTCTACAATTTTCACCTGAATGTGTGTACCCTTTTGTTTCCCAGGTTAAAATAGATGAGTTAACTGAAACAATGGAAGATGTTTACATATGCCTATATTTGCTTTATGCTTCACTCTTTTATACCTTGACATTTTTCTCCCATGTGTGTTTTCCTTTGAAGGCTTTCTGCAGTGGAGATGAATATAGATCACTTAAGGTGGACTGCGCAAACGGCATAGGGGCCCTGAAGCTGAGAGAAATGGAACACTACATTTCCCAGGGTCTGGCAGTTCAGCTGTTTAACGATGGAACCAAAGGGAAACTCAACCATTTATGTGGGGCTGACTTTGTGAAAAGTCATCAGAAGCCTCCACAGGGTATGTAGGCAATTTGTTTTTAGAGCTCTTTGAAACCAATCTTATTTCCAGACAGAGTGGCCAAGTTGAGTCATGCAGCTAGTCCTGGCGCTGCTGCTTGAGACATCTGGGCGTCTCACTTGTCAGTGCCATTTAGAACATGGTCTACTCTCTGCCATAAGTCACACGACTCCTACCGTGTGGGGGTGGGGGGAAGCAAAATCAGAAATTGGTGTTTTAGGGCTGTGAATCTCGAACGGTAGCGTGCATGAGAATCACCTGGAGGGCTTGTTAGCACAGATTCCTGGGTCTACTCTAGAGTTTCTGATTCTGTAGGTCTGGGGTAGGATTTAGGTATGATAAGAACTTGCATTTCTCAAGTACCCAGCCTTCCTTAATGGTGCTGGTCTCCTGGGACCACACTTTGAGAATCATTGATCTAAAGGACAGCAATAGTAAGTAGCATTTTTCACCTTATCTGAATTAGACACACTATAGAAAGGGAATGCAACTCTGCTTAATTATAATTGTCTGCAAAAATCACTATTTTCTACAGTTGGTATATTAGGAAAACTTCTATAGACTGTAGTTGTACTAAGAGGTGTTCTATATTTAACTGCATTACAGATACTAAATTGTTAGCGGGTAGGCCACGCTTGGCTTGCAGATGTGTTTTGTTTGGTCTACTGTGTGTGTGTAATTGTCGCCATTTAAAAACTCCGTGATTTTACTTAAATATTAGAAACTCTGGCTTCTTTTTACCAAAATCAGAAAGTGTCCCTTCTCACATGGCAGTAATCAGCTGCTGTGGAGTGGCTCCTGCCCACTTCAGACAGGACTTGCATTCTGCAGAACTCCACAGACCTCATCCAGTCACCTCTCTCATTTATATGGTCCTGCCTCACTGTAGTAAGCATTTAAATTTTTAGTTGAATCAACCAGTTTGAACTCCTTTTTATTGAATTGCTTGTTTTGACCTTTACTGACAGTTTGGTTCTGTCCATTCACTAAATGTTGAGCTCTTCCTCTCCCTTGCTGTAGGCACTGGTAAGGAGAACAAAGGCAAGAGAAAGGTAGCTAAAATTAATCTCTTTACAACTTGTAGCCCACTAATACCTGAGACATGCAGAGTGTGACATACCTCAAGGAACTTATGGCTGCCTTCATGTTGATGTTCTAAAAGCAACCTTATCTTGACAATAACCAGACCTCCAAGGTCCTGTAAACCTCACTTTCAGCATGGAGAAATTCCTTAGAAACTTATCTCTAATCACTCCCCCTCTCAAACTTAAAAGTGTATAATCAGTCACTCCTCACAATCACAGCGCAGCTCTTTCTGGTATGGGTCCTGTCCCCTGCTATAATAAAAGCACATTTTTGTACTTTAAAATGTCTCAAGAATTCTTTCTTGACTCGTGCACTGGCGGCCCCACATCCCAGAGCTACCGTATGAACAAAAGCATAGGCCCTCTCACTTCCTGAAGCTTGTGTTATGCCCCTTAGTCAACCTTATGTTCATATTCCTCACGGAAGTCTCATGTTGGATTTGGCCACCCGCTGCTGTCATGGCTAAGGAACAGCAGAATTTTCTAATAAGTTTGACATGACAGTTGCTGAGGTTTTGATAGCTTTATGCAAATTACACAAGCCATATTTCTCTCACAGTTTATAATTCTTCGCTCTTAGTTACCAATGTTTCTTGTTACTGATGGTGTGAATAAATAAAAATCATTTCTATTAGAATTAAAGCACATACCTCATCTATTGCTGATTATTATTTTTTTAAAGATTTTATTTATTTGAGAGAGAGAGTGACAGATAGCGAAAGAGATCACAAGCGGGGAGGAGAGGGAGAAGCAGGCTCCCGCTGAGCAGGGAGCCCGATGCGGGGTTCGATCCCAGGACCCTGGGATCATGACCTGAACTGAAGGCAGACACTTAACCAACTGAGCCACCCAGGCGCCCCTATTGCTGATTACTTTTTATATGTAAAGGACGTCATAGTACTAGGTCAGTTGCATTCACAAGTATCTGTAGCTTTCAAAAAACTATATGGGAACCTGTCTTGCCAAACCAACTGGCTTATAAAACAGAATTTTATTTTAATATTACATCAAGTTTCAGCATAGAATTATTTTCCAGTTAGCTGTGAAAGAATTTACCCTGTAAAAACAACCAATAAACCTTTATACTATTTAAAGATTAAGACATTGGCTTTTATTTGGAAGGATAATTTTTTAAGTACCACAAGGCCAGTTATGATCATACTTTAGTGAAATATTTTTCCCGTGTAACTAATGTAAGAGAAAAAACTTTTATATGGAGGTTTATTCCCATTTCTATGACTGAAATGCATTTTAAAATTCTGTCTGCTAGGAATGGAAATGAAGTCTAATGAAAGATGCTGTTCCTTTGATGGAGATGCAGACAGAATTGTTTATTACTACCTTGATGTAGATGGTCACTTTCATCTCATAGATGGAGACAAGATAGCAACACTAATTAGCAGTTTCCTTAAAGAGCTCCTGTTGGAGGTATGGTGGGGTTATCGACTGCCCTTTAAAACAAGACTTACTGGTGACTAACAGGCATTTGAATGTCCCAGAGGCACTATTCTTACAGAGTTCCTTACCTTTGTGGCCAGAAAATACAAGAAGATACGGTAATTTTAGTCATTTCAACATGGGGCAGTTGGAACCTGAAGGTAGTACTCTTTTCTTCCTTATATTGGCAGTTTGTGATTTGAAGCTTTATGAAGTTGTGGTTTCTTCATAACTGACACTTTAATGAGAATTCCCATTATCAGTCCCAAAGCCTCAAGTTTAAACAGAAAATCTCATCCTCTGAGAGCTGTATTTACTGTGTTATAATATGCTTCATAATGTAAGAGGTGTATTCTGTTTTGCTCTTTTGGAAATCCTAGGCCAGCTATACATATAGAACGTAATGAGAAGTAATTATTATAATATTGGGAAAGATATACTTTGAGAATTCAGTTAAATACTTTTTAATGCCCAAAAGTATTTTAGCTTTTTTTTCTGGCATTCATGTTAATTTTCACTTTAGGCATTTATTGCATAAACTAAGACACAGCTGACCTGGGCGATGATTTTGTCATCCTTTAGAACTCTCATTATATGTTTGCTTTTGTAGTTAGTGTCATTACTTTTGATGGCCAGGCAATTATCATTATTTTTATCTAGATTGGAGAAAGTTTGAATATTGGTGTTGTACAAACTGCGTATGCAAATGGAAGTTCAACACGATATCTTGAAGAAGTTATGAAGGTATTGAACCATTTCGATTTTCTGGTAGCTTCTTAATATATTCTAAGATATTTCTGTGAGGAAAACAATGCCCTCATATAAGTGAATAGGTTGTAACACATGAAACTGAGCTGTTACCCATTTAAGGGTAAGTAGAAATCAAAAATAGGAAAAAAATATTGTCCCTGATGTGAAAAGAGAGATTCTCCCCCCTCTCTTTTTTTAGAGCATTTCTTTTAGAAAACTTATAAATTCTTTCTCTGCCTTCTTTATAATGAATGTAAATCTTTTTAAAGGCTAAGCAAGTTTTATAGCTCGGGAATGTTTTCCATAACGGTCTGGAGTCCCCTCATTGAAATGTGAACTCAAGGGAAGATAGCACCCCCGTCTCCCAGGCTCCTGAGAGTTGCTGTTAGTTAGAGCTTGGAGCCAGCCACCGATCTGCTTGTTACAGAGATATGAGAGGTTTTATTATTCTTTTGGTAAGGACTGAACACTGCCACCACAGTTATCAGGCACATTTAAGACAAAGTGTGTGACAGATGGTCCTGTGAAGTCTTCTTGAGAAGTGGGCCTATTCAGTAGGCATAGGGACTATTGCTTTGGGGTTTCACAGTGGGGGAGACAGACTGGGCTCAACTCCTAATACAACAAGGAAAAGTGGAGATTTTGGAGCCAAGGAGCAAGGGTGGAGGGGGTTGGCAGATGGAAAATTACTGAGTACTCATCAGGGGTCAGGGAGGATTCTGGCTAAATCTACCTGAACTCCTGAACTACCTGAAGGCTGCGTGATTAGATATTACCTGGGAGATGGTACAGCGTGAGGACTTTGATCAGTTGTCGAAGGTAGGACATTCTTGCTGAGGTTGGACTCTGGGAGACGCGCCCATGGATGGGACCTGTTCAGGCTCACAGGGCAAGTTTGGTCTGAGGATGGAATTTGTTACCAGTTTTGTATCTTATTATTTCCCCCAACATCCCCCAGATGACCGACCATCCTCTGTACCACATCACCTGCTCTAAGAGTGAGTTAGAGGGTCCATGGCCAAAATTAGATCTTTGTCTTTCTCTTTTTCTCACTAGCTAGTGTATTGTTTTCCAACTTTTGTGTATCCCTTTTCAGATTGCTGCATTTTACTAGTTTTTGTTGCCTTTTCATTCTTTTTTAAGCAAGAATGGCAAAGTCAAATTCTTGTAGAATAGGTGAGGTGAATAAGTACAGCAGGGGTGTAAGGACTAGGAACAGTGCCCACCAGGCCCACTGCTGTCTCCTTTAGTCAGATTCTTCAAGAGAAGCTGAAAATCTGAATTTTTATGTGAACCTCCTACTTTTTTAGTCTTGGCAATTGATGCAAAATTCCAAAGAAATAGGTAGGCAAAATAAAACACATCAGGAGGCTGCTAGTTTGTGACCTAAGTATAAGGTTGCAGTAAACACACTCGGCACTCCATCTGGCCCAGTGGCCTGCTGTTCATGAGGATTATTCTCAGTACTTGGGTTATCGTTTTAGTATTTTCTCATGTTCTGTCTTAAAAATTTTTTGTAGGTAAGATACCCTGTTTAAGAAACTGAATACACCAGAAACTGTTAATCATCAACCCATTCTCCTAGGGGTGAAGTATTTTGAGCTCTAGCCTTTCCTGAGGTCTTTTAAATCCAGTCAGATGCTGATCTGACTTGATCTTGGTCTCCTCTCTAGTTTTGCGGCTCTCAGTCTTAACCACTCTTCTCGTTCAGATCTCTCCAAGACTTGGGCTGCCCAGTGTTGCTAGTCTTACCACTATAATTTCTTAATGGGATTAGTCCTCGAAAACCCCTAACCCATCTCTTTGACCCTTCTAAAGCAGGGGATAGCAAACGGGCCTGTGCACCAAATCCAGTCTGCCACGTGTTTATGGTTTTATTGGAACACAACCATGCTCATTTGTTGCCGTATCAGCTGTGGTTGCTTTTACACTAGTGGCAGAAGTGAGCCATTGTGATATGATCTCTATCGTATGGTCTGTACAGCCTAAAATATTTATCATCTGGCCTTTTGTAGTAAAAGCTTGCAGACCCCTACTGTAAGCCGTTCTCCACACTGTAGCTAACTGAGCTTTCTACAATTTGATCATGTCACTCCCCCACTTGGAATCTTTCATTATCTCATCAGGGGACTCTCTCTCTCTCTCTCTCTCTCTCTCTCGCTTTTTCCTTGGCCGTGGGCTTCTGTAGTGCCTTCTCTCCCCCATACTGAAACCACTTTGTATTTTAATTGCTTGTCTTCCTCACTAGCTAGCTCCAGGAGGTTTGTTCCCTATTGTGTCCTTGGGAGAGTAGGTACATAATAAATATCTGCCCATTGAATAACTGCTGTTATGTTTCTTTAAATATATGTTATAGGTGCCTGTCTATTGTACTAAAACTGGTGTAAAACATTTGCACCACAAGGCTCAAGAGTTTGACATTGGAGTTTATTTTGAAGCAAATGGGCATGGCACGGTAAGTTCTTTTAATCAGCTACAACCGGCTTTAGCTGGACGTTTTTTAATGATGGGAGTTCTGTATCTGGATGGTAATAGGTTATAGCCCCCTTTGTTGAAATGATCGGTATGATGGTAGAATAAGATCATTTGGTTAACGTACTGTATTCTTATGTGTTGTGAAACTGGTTGTCTTTTAGATTGATCATGATCTTGGAGTATGAAGAGATGATTCTCAGTTTCTTAAAAAAATATGCAGTTCTTTTTTTACAAGCAGATCATCTATATATTGTTTAAAATCTTTTCTTTGAATGGGCCACAGGTGGTACAAGGAAAGTTCAGTAGCTGTGGTGAAGTGTTGGAACGCTTGAGAATTAAGTTATGAACAACTAGAAATGAATGTAATTAGCAATAAGCATATAAAATTTTTAGGGGGCTTTCTCTAGGTAGAATGTTTAAAAAGTTTGAGATATAGTTCACATACCTTAAAATTCACCATTTTGAAGTATATTATGTGGCTTTCAGTATATTCATAAGGTTGATTTTTTTTTTTAAACATTTTTATATCTCACCTCATTTCATAAATGGATTGGAGGTGGCCAACAAAATTAATTCTGAGCTGGCTTCTAGAGGCCTTGAACGCAAGAAAAATAAGTTCTTAGGAAATGCAGTTAAAATATAACTTCAGTAATCTAATTAATGCAGAGATTGATAAATGATTTTGAAGGTCAGATAGTAAATATTCTAGTCTTTGGGCCGTAAGGTCGCTGTTGCTGGTGTAGGGTGAGTGAGTGGGTATGGCCGTGTTCCGGCAAAAACTGACCAGTGTATTTTAGTTTACCAACAAACATCTATTTCATCAAGTGCTGACTGTAGTATTGAGCCTTGGAAGGCACTAAAATCATGGGCAAAGAATTTTAAAATGACAGGAATCCTGAGGAACATGATATATAATATCCATGGTACTATTTGCCATAATGTGATAAATACGATGAACCTCTTTCTACTTTTACCTAGCTTATATCCTTAAAATTTTTAGGATAAGAAAACTGCACTGCTTATGTTGAATTATATATTCTTCCAAGTAAAATGGACACAGATAGGCTTCAAGAATCTGGTTGCACAGGACAGATGGAGCTGGCCGAGGGGCAGATGTAATGAATTCATCATGTACTTTGCCTCTGCCAGGTGGTACTTTCTTTGTAATCTTAGCTTTTGATAACCAGTTTCAAAATTTATAAATGAATCCTTCCTCCCCCCGTAATATCTTTTGGGTTCTGATTTGATCTTAATTTCATTCATTCGAAGGCTGCTATTATCTTTCCCCTCAGTTTTTCCAGATTCACTGTGAGTTTCAAAAGTGGTTTAGCTAGGATGCCTGGGGCATGGATAGTGGTTTGTGACTTTGTGTTTTATGCTTTCATTACAGGTACTGTTTAGTAAAGCTGCTGAAACAAAGATAAAACTAGCAAAAGAATTAGAAGATAAGAAAAGGGAAGCTGCTAAGATGCTTGAAAATGTTATTGACTTGTTTAACCAGGTCAGAGCTGGTCGGGTGGTAGGCTCTTGGTTACTTTTACGTTATTCAGAAGGTAGAATAGTATGTGGGGGGAAAGGGGAGAGGGAGAAGCGACTCCCAGGGAGCAGGGAGCCCGATCCCAGGACCCTGAGATCATGACCTGAGCCGAAGTCAGATGCTTAACTGACTGAGCCACCCAGGCGCGCCTGAATAAAACATTAAAGTAGAAAAGTCCTGGCAGCCTCCTTGCCACAGTGGTATGTATATACAATTGAGATTTACACTGAAATGCAGTGATAGAACATTGATGTGCTTCCTTCGCCCTACGTTTTATGATGAAAATTTTTAAGTATAATGAGTTGCTTCCACCTAGAGGCAAAATTCAGCTATTGAGTCTATATATATATATGTGTTGCATCGTTGAGATTGGGAGTCTACAATATGGCAATGGAAGAGCAAGTAAAGAGTGGGACCAGAAAAAGCGATGGAACTAATATTTGAGTATCTTGCACATACGAGGCACTTGACATACCTCGTTGTGTAATCTTTGTAATACCACAGGGAGGGGGGTTATTATAATTCCCATTTCATAAATGAAAAAACAAAGGGCTCAGAGCTACTAAGTGAAGAGTAGGGATCTAACTTCAGGTGTGTCTTACACCACTTTACCATGCATGATGCCTTCCATTTTCATGGTAATAAAATCTCAAAAGGGATCTAGTTATAAAGGAAAATTTGAATCATAGAATGTTAATGCTGGAACCTTAAGAGTTAGTCAGTCTTATACATGTAATGAAGAAGATTAGAGGCAAGTTTCCCAAGAGCTAGTTTCAGTGTTCTTTAATTCATTATGGTCTTCCATTCCCTTCTTATTCCTCCATCCACTCCAATTTAATAATCCCGTGTGGGGCCGGGAGGAAGCACAGGATACTGTGATTGGTTTTCTAAGACAGAGCATTCTTAACCAAGCTTTGCTGGCGTTAAAGTACTTTCTTCCATTGTGTCTTGTAGGCAGCTGGTGATGCTATTTCTGACATGCTGGTGATTGAGGCAATCTTGATTCTGAAGGGCCTGACTGTACAGCAGTGGGATGCTCTTTATGCGGATCTCCCAAACAGACAGCTCAAAGTTAAGGTGGGAGCGAGATTTTAAAATTACTTCTTTTCTGAAAATTAAAATGTATTATCTCCAATCTCTATATGAAAGTAGTTCCTTTGTGTCATATTTCATTATGTACATATATTGCATAGAAAATGCCTTATATCATCTGTGTTTTGTCACATCTTAAAAATTATGGCATAACCATTCAATTGTTTGAGAAGTATTCACTTTATAAACTTTAAAGAAAAGGTGATACATATTATTATTTATAATGAAAATTTTTATTATGGAAAATTTAAAACACAGAAGTGTGGGGAGAACAAAATAATGAAACCCCCACGTGCTCAGCTTCAACAGATTTCAACTGTTGTCCTTCACCATTCTCCATATCCCCCATGTAATTTTGAAGCAATCCTGATAGCCTATCATTTCGAGTGAAAATATTTCCTTTGCATGATTATTGGTTCATACAGTACTTTCCTGGGGCTAGATGCTGCAAAGTAGGAGAGAATTTTTTTTAAAGGCATTTCATATAAATGTTAATTGGTATCTATACAGATGTATGCCATTGTACAGAAAGATAATTAGAGGTAGTAAGGCCCAAGTTCACACAAATGGCTACTGATTGTTCAGATTAGTTTTTGGCATATTTAGGCAATTTTTATCATGACCCTCTTACATAACTGCCACTTTCCACTTTATAGAAATACTTAGGGTTATTTGATCAGTGACTTAAGGCCTACAGTACTTACTGGCCATTATTTTAGTGGTAACTATAAGACTGTGGAAATGGTATCTTTTTTGCTTGAGGTAATTCTTTAGATAAAAGTAGCTGTATAACTGAAATTAACCTTGATTTTGTCAGAAATAAAAATCGTAAAAATTTTTTTTTAAAGATTTTCGAGTGCGAGCTCATGAGTGGGTGGAGAGAGAGAATCTCAAGCGAACTCCACGCAGAGCGTGACGTGGGGCTGGATCTCACAACCCTGAGATCATGACCTGAGCTGAGACCAAGAGTCATAGGCGCCCCATGAAATTTTAATGCAGTTGCATTCTGTGCGTATTCTGGTTACCTTACTGTCTGACAGTGTTGCACTTGGGGGTACACTAAGCTGAAATGTAGGTCTTACTATTAAAATGAAATGGCCACAGTCTTTTGGTAGGAATTGTGTTGAAGAGGTCAGGCTTCTGAAAGGAAGTGTAATAGTGACAAATACAAAATGTTTTGCATAGGTTGCAGACAGGCAAGTTATTAGCACCACTGATGCTGAAAGACAAGTAGTTACACCTCCGGGACTACAGGAGGCCATCAATGACCTGGTGAAGAAGTACAAGCTTTCCCGAGCTTTTGTCCGGCCTTCTGGTACGGAAGATATAGTCCGAGTATATGCAGAAGCGGACTCGCAGGTAAGCTGGGGCAGTGCTATTGAAAAAATGTGCAGTGAGAGTCTGACAACATGGGTAGTGGGGGTGGTGGCAGGAGAGAAAAACCATTTTAATAGTGTTGCAGTCTCACTGATAATTAAGGGTTTAATGTCTGAGATGTGTTTATGCAGATTTTTAGGTTCATATTAATACTACAAAATTATTTTCATCAGTAGTTGAACAAAATTAGATGCACTTAGTTTATCTCCCCAAATATTTTTCTTTTGATTTACTCCAGACTTCCTGAAACTGCCCTATTTCTAGCTATGGCATGGATAACTAATAGAGACTTTGTTTGCCTTATGTGGCCTGAAGTGGATTATCCTTTTTCCCCCTCCTTTAAAAACATAATCCTGCTGCTTTATGAAAACAACCAGCTTTGAGATCCGTGTTTAAATTAACCGGTACCATCAGCCATGCTGATTGAAATTCATCTTTGTCTCTGGACTTTGAGAGAGAGACAGTGTGCACAAGTGGGGAGGGGGGGAGGAGCAGAGGGTGAGGGACAAGCAGATTCCACACACAGCTGGATGTGGGCCTCGATCTCAGGACCCCAAGATCATGACCTGAGTGGAAACCAAGAGTCCGTTGCTCAACTGACTGAGCCACCCAGGCACCACCCCTTTATCTCTGGACAAGACCTCATGGTCTGGATTTTTAAAATTTGCCCTCTTCACACACCGTCATCTTAAACCCTTGATAACAGGCAGTCAGAAGGAGGCATTTTATAAGGGAGCTGGTAGCTTTTTGGCAGAAGCTTAGGCCGTCCCAGAATATAGTGAATAAAAATCCCTGGTGGACGGGGAGAGGCCATCTGGGACCTGAATGGTTACTTACTCTTAGGCCAGTTGTGGCCTTGCTTTTAAAGGAGTAGGTTTTATTGAATTATTCAGAGTTTGGGAATAATCAAATTAGATTGTAAAAATCAGTTAAGGACTCACCTGCCTTAAATAAATGGAAAACTCAAATTCTTCTCAGAGTCTTGGAATTTGTTACTGAAAGATTCAAAAAAAAATTTTTCATTTGAATACGTTAGTGAAACAAAATCAAGAAGATCCTTCCCCTTCCCTCAGAGTTGATGCTAGTTCTCATCTAATCTCCTTCCATGTAATTTGCAGGAAAATGCGGATAGCCTCGCACATGCAGTGAGCCTGGCAGTATTTCAGCTGGCTGGAGGAGTTGGAGAAACACCCCAACCAGGTTTCTGAAGACAGTTTTTTATGTTCATGAGAAACTGGGTTTTTAAAAAGTTTTTTTACAAAATAGTACTGCCATTATGGTGACAGGTTCAAACACATTTGTAATCACGTTTACAGTGCATCTTACTAGACTGCTTCTAGAACAGATTGTTTTTCTTAAACACTACCATAAGTAATTGTTTAGAAGTAGGTAAGCCTTATTCTTATTAAATTTAGTTTTTAAAAAGCAAAACTTACCGAATTTCAGTCTCACTAATGTAAAGTACCTGGGCTTCGCTATGTGATTCAGTCATTAACTTTCTTCATGAGGGCTGCTGGAAAAGTAAACCTTATTATCAGCTCCTTGGAGTGTCTTTTCCATCGCCATTACCTAGCCAGGCTTGCTGTTTTGCAGGATTCACCATTGTTGATACGAATGGGGAGGGTGGAAAAGACTTTATACAAACAATTTTTTTAGAATGATTCTTAAATGACTTACCTCTTCGATGAACATCACCAGGAATTCAGAGGTGTGAGATGGAGACTGTGCATCTCTACTCCATATGGAGGTTGAGATGCTCATGCTACATTTAGGAGGATGCATGGCCTGGGCTCCAGTTATTCTATACTCCTCTTAGTGAAGGCATGTGGGAGAAAACTAATGGTCATACCTTACCACGCCTCCGACAGAAAAGTGACGCCATTCTGATACTAGAATGTGGTCAGTAATAGAAGATCCCAACAAATCTAAATTAAACAAAGCCTGAAACCAATAGCAAAAAATGTGCAGTGTGTATTTTGCAGGTTTAAGACAATTCAGGACAGTAAAACAATGGACTATAGATGTATATATAGATCTCTCTCAGGCACCATAATCAATATGAGCCAACAATATTTAAACTTGATTCAGGCCACATTCAGACATTTTTGCTCTTATTTACAAATATTTAAATTAAATACAACCTGAAATGTGTTTTGTTACATACAAAAAAGAAAAAAAGAAACTATACAACTCAGAGCAATGTTTTAGTTTTAAATAATTACATTTACATCTAGTTAAATGGACCACTTGTAATGCCTCAAGTTTTTATCACCCCTTCCAGAAAATCTTTTTCTACCATCTCTTCTATTTTTTGCCTGGCTTTGCTGGAAAATGGTTTGTGGTTTTCCAGTTTCATGTCCTTGTTAGGGAAGGTGTTTGAGTAGAGGATGGGGCTCCCTGAGTGTCCTGCACACCGGCTGGTGACTTTGCTGTTGAAGACTTGGCTGAGCACATTGAAGAACGGCAGGAGCTGCTCGATACTGCGCACGGCGCAGATGGTGAGCAGCAAGTGCCCCGGCTCCCAACCCAACGTTCTCCCTGAGTTGTCTTCCTCCGGATTCTTCTGTAGAAAACACAAGGGGTTGTTATACAGATGAATACAGTCCATGAGAACATTTCAAAGGGTATAAACATCAGCAACAGTTAAATACAAATGATGACATTAAGTCTCCATTCCAGACTTGATTAAACTCCTGCTTCTAACTGAAGCCTCTTCGTGCCAGTTATGAAGTGTGGGTAGAAGGGTCCAATGCTGTAGTCACATTTTCCAACTGGAATGTGTAAGTACGCTTCTTAGCGGAATTGGTTTTGGAGAGGGAGAGTCAAATATTAAGAGTTTATGTTGTGCTTTGCATATACTCAAAAAGCTCCCAGATTTCTGGACTCCCGCTAAGGTGACCCAGGACTAAGTCACAAAGTAACCACAGAAGAAGGTTAGGAAGAGACAGCAGTCTTCTCCACATCACCACTAGTAAATCAGGTAGTTCCCTTCTAGCCAAATGGCTTAAGCTTGCCACAGTGTGGTAGCAGGCTTCCAAGTGAATAACTCAGTACGAGAGAAAGGAAAGGAGCACTCAGCAGAGACACTGCCATCTGCTTCTTGTGTTAAACAACACGGGGAGGAAAGCTGGACCTGGGGTCAAAATAACGGGGTGGGTGTCACGGCTCTATATTTACTCCCTGGGGGACATCCTTGGGCAAGATACAGAAAGGTTCCTCACTTTTAAAAAGTGGGGAAACAATCTATTTTCCAGCAGAGAAGTCAAACGAGAATGTAGGTGAAAACTGTCAACTAAATGTAAATGCAATTAAAATAATTTGTGTACCAAGAGGCTGGTTTAAGAAGCCAACTAGATTATATAAAGATGTAGACATCAGTCTATCTAGGGAAAGTTACGAGAGAACTGGAGATGTCTGAGTTTGGGCAGAATCACAGATATAAAAACACAGAGTGGAGAGAATGAAAACAGACATGGACTGGATAGAAAATGGGAAAAAAAATCATCAAGGGGGACTTAAAAAGCAGAACTACTACAATCTGTCCTATTGGTTAACAAATGGAGTTTGCCTTCTCAGATCAGATGTTTCTTTCACTGTTAATCTACTTTTTAGTAACACTAGTTTCCTAGTGGAGAAAGCAGATGCAAAATCCAGCTTGTCATGTGTGATCACAAGCTTTGTTTATTTAAAAATGAAATCCTGAGAAAGGAAAATAGATTTAAGTTAAAACAGGAGCAAACAAAAAAAGATCATCCAGTTCTTTAGAGCCAGAAAAAAAAAAAAACAAAACCCAGCAATTCTTTAACCTCCAATCTAAAATACAGGATATAGAAAACCTCTTCCTTTTGCTTAACTAGAACACTGGCTTTAATGACAGTCCCGGGACCTACTTTCCCATCACTGACTACCATTCGGTGGCTGACCATACCACCTTTCCAGTCCCCTAAATTAAACTGCAATCCAAAAGTAATTAAAGGGTAAAGAGATGAATTTATCCTGAGGGAAAAGGCATAATATGCTTGAACCCTCCATACAACTAGTTTCCAAATGTAACTGAGGTGTAATCTTTTGTTTATATTCCTGCCAAGATGTACCTGTAAGAGAGGGACTTTTACTACTAAGCTCTTGACTGATAAAGAGTGCCCTTGTTTTGGTGTTCTGCTCTTCATTAGAACTGTAACACCTCCTCAGTAATAAATAAAAAGTCAGACATGTTTCCATAAAAATGATTTCTCCTTTCACTTCACCAGTCTACACTTGAAGACAGACTTCCTTCCTGTTTACCTCTCTTGTATTTGTTGAGATCCAGACCTGGGTTTGTGTCTCAGTATTTGGTCCAGATGTGGCAACTTTTGCTGCCACATCACAAGCATCAAAAAGCCACCCTCACCTGATGCTTGGCCATCTCCAATCCCTCCAAAATCACTGTCTTAAAGTCCTCCTCCTTGTCCTGTGGAAGGAAAGAGGAGAACTCATAGCCTTTGTTCCAATGACAAGTATGCTTGGCCATGAAGACCTTGTTTAAAGTGTAGAAAATGCTTTCTAATCAAAACTGTTTTCTTATTCTGGGGGACATGTTTTCAGCAAAAGGCTGTCTTGTTTATCCCTTAGATACAGAGAGGGGTCTTATAGAAACGGTCAATACTAATGAGATGTAGGGATGACAGAAAGTGCATGTGCCTGGGGTCATATACATCATCACATGGCTTCTGGATTTATCGTCACGATTATTTTTTCAAACCCTGTAATATCAAAGTGAGAAGTACTCAAGTCCTATCCTAAACTCTGGATCCAACTTTCATCTTCATCTCTGCCCTTTCACTTAGTTCCTAAAGAATTTTAAAATCAAGTTCCTCAGATCCTTCAAGCACAACCTCCTCTTTAATCACTTTCTTCCATCCCATTGTTTGTGGAATGTAGGTTAGTTTAGGGGCGGCTGCCTGTTTAGGGGACCCCAGAAGACTGGAAAATTTCTGAGCACTCAAAGCACATACTGCAAACCCCAAAAGCACATCCCCAAACTTTACATTTTTGAAAAGAATAAAAAAATTAAAAAATTTTGTGTTGTTTTATTTTTTGTAAGTAATCTCTACACCCAACGTGGGGCTTGAACTCATGACCCCAAGATCAAGGGTTGAATGCGTAACCAACGGAGTCAGCCAGGTGTCCCTGAAAATTTTTTAATGTTAAAAAAAGACAAAAGATTTGGAATAAAGGCTCACTGATGAGCATGCCAAATTCACTATTCTCTGGGGCAAAGATCTCTAGCCTGATGCATACTGAAAGATATAAAGTACGTAAAACAGGCTATAAATACACTTTACAAATTTTGTCTTATACTTAAAAAGAATGCAATACCTTTGCCCTTTTCCGAAGAAGTTTTGCTAGTCGAACCACATAAGGTTTAAATTCTCGTTGGTGTATGCCCTGCCTTCTGACTTCCAAACCGGAGTCATCTGAGGCTTCTGGAATAAAGGCCCATCGGTACCTACGTATAGAAGAATTTCAACACTGCTAAGACAAGATGTGCCATGTAAGACGAGGCCACATGAGTGCAGTGGAAAGATCACGACCCCATCACTCAAACAGATTCCAGTGGCAGCTGTGCTGCTTGCAGCCCCGTCACCCAGGGCAGGATTCTTCATCTGACCCTTTTCTTCCCCATGAAATAAAGATACTATTAACTACCTCACAGGGTTGTAAACAGTAAATAAGCAAAGTGTTCATTTTTGGTCAGGAGCATAAAGCAAGTAATTGAAATGATTCCATCCTCATTTGTTAATGGTCAAAATCTCTACCATGTACTTGGTCAGGTGATCCCACACACACAAGGAGGCAAAGAAATAAAAAAATTAAGTAGGACTTCTTTCATACCTCCCTTGTATTTTTGTTTTTATTTTCATCTTCAATAAGTGAAATTAATATCTGACTATGGGAAAAGTTCAAACAGTATAAAAGGACATAGTAAAGAAAAGTGGTCTGTCTCCCTCTCACCACAGGATCCATTAATAGCATGTTTCCTGTGTGTCCACCTAGGTAGGGTTCATGAATAGGGCACATCTGCCCACAACCATCCTCTTTTTTTTTTTTTTTTAAAGATTTTATTTATTTGAGAGAGAGAGAATGAGAGACAGAGAGCATGAGAGGGAGGAGGGTCAGAGGGAGAAGCAGACTCCCCGCCGAGCAGGGACCCCAATGCGGGACTCGATCCCGCGACTCCAGGATCGTGACCTGAGCCGAAGGCAGTCGCTTAACCAACTGAGCCACCCAGGCGCCCCCATCCTTCTTTTTAATGAAGTTAAAAAAAGCATGACTAGGGCGCCTGGGTGGCTCAGTCGTTAAGCGTCTGCCTTCGGCTCAGGTCATGATCCCAGGGTCCTGGGATCGAGTCCCACATCGGGCTCCCTGCTCTGCGGGAAACCTACTTCTTCCTCTCCCACTCCCCCTGCTTGTGTTCCTGCTCTCGCTATGTCTCTCTCTGTCAAATAAATAAATAAAATCTTTAAAACAACAACAAAAAAACCCCCCCAAAAACACAAAAATATGACTATTGCTTGTTCTGATTTAATTAGATATCTTAGAGATAATATCCTATAAAAACCCCATTCTCTTTAACAACTACACAGAACTCCAGTGTTGGAATGAACTGAATTAACCCGTCCTAGATTGTCCCATTTCTTGCTATTACAAATAATGCCACAATGGCTACCCTCACGTAATGCTGATTTTTGTACACGTCTGACAGTATAGCGATAGGGTAAGTTCTTGGAAACAATTACTGGCTTAAAGTGTATCTTGAATTTTGGTAAATACAACTTCCTTGGAGAATTACTGGACGGTATCTGTGTATGCTTGCAACTAGAATAATGCTTCTCTTAAGGTTACAGAGAAATATACTTTTAGATCTTTACCATTATGATGGTTATTTGTAAGTGGAACTTCTGAGTATGGCTTTTCCAGTGTTTACAGGTCATTTCTTTTCTATGAACCATTTGTTAACTGTCAATGGCTCATTTTCCTACGGGGTTACTGATTTTTACATATTAAGCAAGTTCACAAATATCTTTCCCCAACTCATTGCTGCCTTTTCCACTTCATGGTAGTTTTTGGTCACACAGAAACCTTTAAGATTTTTTATGGTTATTAAATATCTTTAACTTCTGAAATATATATCATGTGTAGAAAGATATTACTCTTTCAAGATTAAATTCTCCATGTCATCTTCTACTACTTTATAGATTTTTAAAAAAACAGTAGTTTAAAAAAAAATTAGTACTTTTTTTTTTTTTTTAGTATTACAGCCTGTTTCATCCCTTTTCTTTAGTAAGGCTGTCCTAACAAGTAAACAGGATGAACTCATTTTGGTTCTGATCACGGAAGCCAAAAATCAGTACCATGAGCATACTACTTAATGTTCTTCCTAGAGCCCCGAAGACTATAGTTCTATCACTTTTGTGACGATAAGCCTCCTAAATGAATTCTGGCCACTCTTTCCGACAATTCTGCTTATGGTCCCTTTCTGAATTTCTTCAGGAGTAACATCAGTTTCAAGATATGTGACTCCTCAAATTTATTAAGTAGGTGTACTTTTCAAATGGAAGAAAAAAAGGAACTAGAAATAATCTATAAAGAATTTCTAGTTCTTACCATTAAATTTAGTGAAAAGTAAGCTTGTGAAACAGCACTTTTTAGAGACTTAAGCATGTCCAGTATAGAAAGCAGATTCTGGTAGCTTACTCTTTATCCTACTGATAACTCCATTCCAGAAGAAAAATAAAACACATTATATATAAAAACATATTTAATCATATGGATAAATTCTCAAGTTATCTTAGCTACATTTGATAAAACAATCTCACATAGTTTGCCTATTAAAAAATTTAAATATGAAAAGCCATAATGAAAGATTTTTGAACACTTACGAGAATTTACTTCTATTAAGTTTCTCCCTAGTCCCCTCTGCTATCATCTCTCCAATTCAGTTCACTATCATCTGAAATTAAAGCCTCCTTGATTCCAGGCTTGCCCATCTCCAGTCCTCTGTCCAAACTATGCAGCCAAAGTAAAACTCCTAAAATGCAAGTCTGGTAACATCACTTCATTCCTTATTATGATTCAGTGGGTTCCCGCTGTCCTTAGGTTCAAGTCAAATGCTCTAATACAGCTCACAAGGCTTTACATTATTCAGCCCCTTTCCAGCCTCTTCTCACAACATTCTGCTCCTACAATATTGATTCCTCAGCATTTCACACAAACCAGGTCCATTCCAACCCCCCAGACTCCACGTGTTGTCCCCCTTGTTCTTCACCATGTCAGGATAAATCTGCACTGGGGCCTAAAGCTAGGAGGGGGTCTCTGCTGTATGACCTCAATAGCCTCCTGCATGTCAGCTATCAGAACACCCAGCATGCATTCAACTGGACTGGAAGCTGCTGAGTCACATATCCCACTGCCTCACATACGGTAGGTATTTAATTTGTTAACTAAATGCTGTTAATTTATCCACAGCAACCATTTACTTCCAGTTAACTGTTGCACTCCCCCCAAAATATTTCAACTTACACAAAAAACTTTTAAATTAGTCCTAGATGTCAGTTACCAAAGCAAATGCATTTTCAAAAATACCCATTTAAGATCCTTGCTTTTACTTACATCTGAAACTGAGGAAGATTTTCGGAGGGCAATGCCAGAGCCAAATCCAAAAATTTGCAAGCAGAAAGATAGAGGTTTAACCACCGCTGGCTGTTATATGAAGTAGAAAAGCCATTACCTCCTGTGTAGGTTGTCTCCAGACCAGCCACAGAGGGGCCTGAAGTCCTGTAAGCAGCAGACAGTGGTGTCAGCAGTTGCACCCATTTCCTAACAGGTGATTCCCAAAGTGCCAGCTAACAGTTCTCATTCCGGTACGTGTACCAGTAACTGCTGAGCAAGGTCATGACTAAATTAATTTTGCTCTTTTCCAATAAAAGCTTCCCCTCCCCCCCCCTTCCCCACCCTTTTTTAGGCAGGGTGAGAGAGTGAGCAGAGGAGGGGCAGAGGGAGAGGCAAAGAGAATCTCAAGCGGCCTCCAAGCCCAGTGCAGACCCCAATGTGGGGCTCGATCTCAGGACCTTGAGATCGTGACCTGAGCCAAAATGAAGAGTCGGGGGCTTAACTGACTGAGCCACACAGGTGCCCCTAAAAAGTTCACTTATGTTGAAAATGTAAAAATAGTACAGAATAACTTAAGTTACACTCAAGAAATAGAAAAATACAAGCTGTAAAACCAACAGACCTCCCTATTACTCGATGTCTCTCTGTAAAGATTGGGGGGAAGGTCTTTCTATAAAAACAGTTATTAGGACTGGTGAATTTTTTTTTTTTTTTAAATAGACCTAGCACTGAAGAATAAAATATATTCAAGACACATGGTGTTAAAGGAAACTTTTCAATTTATAAACTTACTTGTACAAAAGTTCCTACATATATAAAAAACTATTTAGTCATATTAGTACATTACCTGTACTAAAAAGAATAAAGTGTAGTACACTGAGATCATGCTGGAAGATCTGGATATACGGATACGTTATTTACAGGTTACCTGACATGATAGGTTTTGCTGATGTTTCAGGGACAACATATGACCTACCAAAACCAACATGGTTCAGGAGCTGAAATAATATTGCTTTAAACTAAATTTGTCTCGAAGACAAAGGCCATGCGTGTTGACAGTTTAGTCTAAAATGGTTAAGGAATAAATGACACTATATTATATCCAAATATGATCATTTGGATCAATTATATCCAAATAACAGATGAATATACAGAGTATTCATATAAAACAGTATCTATACTCTCCTAGTTGTAACATTCTGGATGACTTTAGGATGCTGAACACTGACAAGAAAATATGGAAATGTATTACATATTACCGTGAAATATCTTCGTCAGCGGTGAGTTCCTGCTCCATCAGTAAAAATACCTGTACCTGAAGACCATGAAATTCATGTTAAATATTTAAACTTGACATTTAATGTTTCTTTCAAGTTCTCTTTAGGATATATTTTCATTAAACCAAAAATAAATTTTAGGGTCCGATCAAATTAAACCATACCTAGTTTCTGAAAGTTAAACTGCAAAGTTAGCACAGAGCCTTCCTAATAACTTGACTGACCTGGGATGAAGCCAAGCTTTTGTCTGGTGATGATGGAACATGGTTACAGTTACTTTAAAAAAATATTAAAGCCAATGTCTTTGTGAGGATTATAAAGGCTTGGGTTTTCGGAGTTACAGATTCACTTTCCTTTCTTTACTCATGTCCTCTTCCCCAGCTCCCCAAATCACTCAGGTGAGGGTGATGGTATGGTCCAGGGAGGAGAACGGATGGGTGTGGTGGGACTCAGGAAGGCTGACTGTTTGGGAGATTACAAAATCTATGAAAGTCTCCGTAAAGGAAGCTTAGCTCGGGTAAGTGCTGCCCTTCCAGAGTGAGCACGTGCCTCATGGCAGCTAACCCAGCGAAGCCAGCTCGCAGCCCTCCAGGGGCACCGCTACAGCGGCCTGCAACCAGGCCTGGAAGCCATGACCAAAAATTTGGTGTTCTTGAAGAGAAGACATGAAACCAGATCAGACGAAGTAACGATTTCCAAGGAAGTTTCAGCTGTGTGGAGATGGAATCTGACTAGTTTTACCATTTTCTTTCTTTTTTTTTTTTTTAAAGATTTTATTCATTTCTTTGACAGAGAGAGAGAGAGAAAGCACAAGCAGGCAGAGAGGCAGGCAGAGGGAGAGGGAGAAGAAGGTTCTCCACTGAGCAGGGAGCCCGACATGGGGCCTGATCCCAGGATTCCGGGATCACGACCCGAGCCGAAGGCAGCCGCTCAACCGACTGAGCCACCCGGGCGCCCCTAGTTTTACCATTTTCAACTGTAAAAATTGTCAGTAACAAGCTTATTAACGAGAGTTCGGTTCTTTTCCAAGATTAATTTTTATCCAGTAAGCCTGTTGATGCTAATCACACTGTTTTAACCTCAGGATTAAAATTAACTCACAAGTTCTGTAATCATGGTAGGCCAGAGTGAGGTAAGATGTTGTGGAGACATTCTTAAAAGTAACACTCTGAAAAACAGGAATACTTGCGAGTGAAGAGTTGGCACCTGGGGCAAACGGAGACTCTCAACCAATCTCTCTGAAAGACATGCAGTGTATTTTCAATAGGTTAATAGTGACGATCATTTTCATGTAAGCTTTTCCATATAAGCTAGCCTACTACTTCTCGAACTATCTGGTGAAGGATCAATTTAAAAAATAAATTTCCAATCTGTTGCAGATTGTTACTTTAATAAAATACAATAAAAATGAATTACTAGAAAAAAGTCAAAGGAAGATATAAAATACAGATGCCATTTTCTTATTAGATTCAACAGATTCTGTCAAATTTTCTTAAGTAAGTTTAAAATGCTTACTCTAAATTTCTGTACTTTTCATGGACGGGATAATAGCCTGGTACTGGTCCAGAGACCACACTTTTGAGTAGCACTGATTTGGTCAGCTTTAAAAATAAAATCACATGATAAATAGTGTGCAATGTTGCCTATCAGACACTCGGTAGAAAGGGTTAGGAAAGACGCAGCCATTTATCTTCTGAGAGAAATGATCTCACTAAAGAGATGACAACTGTCCTTCCCAGCCCAGTCCCCAATGGTGGTTGTTGAAGCTGGTGGCTGCATAAGTGCACGAACCTCGGTATGGAACAATTCTGCCCCAGGCCAAGTTCATCTAAACCCATTTGGTAAAGCTGATAATCAAAAACCTTATGCAATCCCCCATATAAATGACAGATCTCAAATGTTACTTCTGGCCAAAATGTCTCTGCTCTGCCTATATTTTAGTTCTCCTTAAACAGCCCCTTATCCACAATAAAAAAAAATCCCACTAACATGTCTGCCCGCAGCAAAATAGTCTTATGCCTCATCTTTAAACATGAATTCTTTAGGAAACTCAAACCAAACAAAAAATAGAGACCATATTTAGGCAAATACTATAAATTCAGTGCTTGATGTTTTTTTACATGCTGGTGATGGTAATTTTTGTTGATTCTGCAGAACAGATTTCTGTTTCTACAACATTCTCCATCCACCTACACTTGGTATATTTCACCCCAACTTATAGCTTAAGGAAAGTATTTCCTAAGGAACAAAAAAACATAGTTTGGAAGACAGAGAAAATAGGTTTTCACTATTTACCTTGTATATCTGGAAGATATTTCTGGTACTGGTCAATTTCACTGCTAAAAATAGCAAATGCTAATCTTTTGAGAAGCATGGCTCTCTGCTCTAGCTCCACATCTCGGTTTGCAAAGAGGTTAAGGGAACTGCTCTGAGCCACAGCTACACGAGCTGAAAGAGGAACGCAAGCGAGAGGTTGTGATACACTCCTGCAGTCATATGCAAAAAGATTATTCTGTCATCTGTTTTTAAAAATGGCTAGACACCCTGTGACTTCCAAGGGTGGGAGGAGCTTAGGGTAGAGGATTCCCGGCTCTTCTCTGGGGCAGAAGGGCTGGCACACAGACCCAGCACAGGGGAGCAATTGTGAATGTGGAGAGAGAGGAAGATTTAGAAAATTCCAAACACCAACAATGGCATTTTATAAAACCCTTTCACATTTCATGCCATCTGCCTAACGCCTCATTGCTTTAAAAATAATATCTGGCCTGCCCTTTGTAATTTTTGTTCCCTGCATGGAATGCTTTGCCCTTAGGCCTTCCCAGGGTTGGCTTCTTTAGTTTCACCTCACCTGTCAGCTCTTTAGGTGTTACTTAAAATCTATCATATCACCCTACTTTCTTCACAACTATTGACTCCCTGAAATAATCTTATTTATTTGATTAAGGTTAGCATAATGGCCTGGCCCATTTTTGTCTTTTAATAAATACTTGTTGAACAGATGAATTTGAACCTTAAAACAACCCTGTGATGATCAGAGGACGGAGAATATGCTGCCCCTTTTCCAGATGGGAAACTACAGCTTTTGTTCAAGAACTTACACGAAATCATCAGACTTACCCTGCTTTAGTGCTAGTCATTAGTTTAGTAACTTTATACTTAAAACAAAACAAAACAGAACAAAACAAAAAACAACCCCAGGGCACCTGGCTGGCTCAGTCGGAAGAGCTTGTGACTCCTGATCTCAGGATGGTGAGTTCGAGCCCCATGTTGGATGCAGAGATTACTTAAAATAAATAAATAAAATTAAAAAAAACAAGAAAACCCTTTTTTCAGATGAAATACTATAGGAACCCTACTATATAAAACCAATCAAGACAGAGTAGAAGGCGGGTAGAGAGTGATTCTGATCTTCTCGGTCCTTCTTTTTCTTCCTTCAGAGGAGATAAACAGAGCCCCAGCATTTAGAGTGACTTGTCTGACAGGCTGAACCCAGCTGTCAGCCCTTCCCTGCCCCCTCAACTTGTCAGTCTTTCATTCATTTAATCATTTCTCATGGAGTGCTCACGATGTGCCAAGTGCTATGCTGTGTGCTGGGGGAACAATTTAGACACAAATTAGACATGACCAAACAGTTCTACTGATTATTTATCACCTGTTGTCCTCCTTACATTTTTTAAAAAGACTTTATTTATTTGAGAGAGCAAGTGAGCGAGCGAGAGAGCGTGAGCAGGGGGAGGGGCAGAGGGCGAGGGAGAAGCAGACTCCCCGCTGAGTGGGGAGCCTGACTCACCCAGGATCAGGACCTGAGCCAAAGTCAGACCCTTTAACTGATTGAGCCACCCAAGCGTCCCATCCTCTTTCAATTTTAACATTCCATCCCTACAGGATATTAAGTATAACTTGACAAAGAGCTAATTCAGTAGTTTCTAGAGAAGAACAAGGTAAACAATAAGAATGGGTCATGATCAGGAAATACACTGCTTAGGCTTCCCATAATACTCACTCATCAAATCTCTAAATGTTGTTTTATCATGTGTCATCAGATTGTCCATAATTGCTCTCCAACTGAAAGAAACAAGGATTATGATACGTAATTAAGATTTTGTTGCTGTTACCATTAAAAACACAGTGTTCTACTTTGCAGGACAGTCGCTGGTTTCAGTGAGATGCATTATCACACTGAATGAAAGCAAGACCACGACTTACTGATTAACACAAGAGGCATCCATCTGAAAGAAACTGGGATCCATAAAGAGGTCAAAGGCTTCTTTTTTCCAAGCTCTCCGTGTGTACTGATACCCGCTAAGACTGCTAAGCAGCTGGACACAGGCCCGGTAACTAGGGGCATTATGCGCACTAGGAGGAAGGAGAACCAGAACCACTTTAACCGATATGGTCTAACTTGAATCATGTGATTCATATATCACATTCACCTAGAACGATGATATGAAATGAAGGCCCATAACAGAAATAATGTTTTTCTTTAAAAATCATTACAATTCAAAGCAAAAATAATGTCATTTTGTGGTAATTCCAAAAACGGCAATAAAGGAACACAATTTGTTTCTAATAGGCTTTGAATTAAGAAAACTACTTTAATAAGAGTACCTGTGATTTCGGAGGTAGGGCACAACATAATGCATAATATTTACAAGTAAAGGAATAACCCGTTCCTTTTCATCACTATAGAAAACCATATCCAAAAGATGAGCCAAAACCTAAAAAACATAAGAAATGAAGTATAATCTAGCAGCTAAAACTGACAGCATTTGGAGGTGGGTTTCAGTCTGTAAGTCGAACACCTAGAATACCTTAAAATTATAAAAATCTAAAATCAGATGTCACTAAGCCATTTTTATATGAATGGTTTCTGTCACTCTGTTTTTTGCCCACTATAAATATAGGAGTATGAGCAAATTTTTACTATTTCCAACTGAGATAGCGAAGTATAGAAAAAGAGAGATCAAGAACCTTCTAATGTGACAGTGAGTAAACAGTGAATTAAAGACTAGATACTCAGTATTCTCTTTCTCTGACAGTTAAAAGAGGGCTTGAAATAAACTAACCAAATGAACCAAGCTGTTTAAGTCCCAACTCTATCAATTAATAGCTCTTTGGCCTTAGTCATATTGTTCTAATCTTTATGAGACTTTGTATCCACAACTGAAAAGGGGAAACAAAAGTGACCTACAAGGCTATATAACAGGATATTAAAAAAACAGCATGTCAGAGGATAGATCTAAAAATATTTGATAAACTGTAAAATATTTCAGTGTGGCAAGCATCATTAAGCATCATTATACCACCTCGAACCCTCCTGATCATACTGTGATACAAAAGCACTTTTCTTTTTAAAAATCATACTTAAAAAAACAGTGCATGGGGAAGGAAGCAGTATCTAAAGCTATCACTAATATTTAACAAACTAAATAGTCTGAATACAAAGTCAAAACTTTATTCTTTATAGTGATCTCTAGAAGTACAAAATGGTTTTTCAAATTAAAAACTCCTCTGTCAGAATTACCTGCTAATACTGAATTATGACACTGTTTACTTGGAAGTTCATGTGAAAAAACTTGATATTTACCTCAGAAAGTAATGTCAATGCATGGACACTATATACAGAAGGAGTTATGTTTGAAGTTTCCATTGCAGGTGATAACATATCTAAATAAGAGAAAAGACAGGTCAAGGTACAGTTAGACCTTTTCCCCGTAAAAAAAGCTACCTGCTAACATGAGAAAGGGATGATCTTATGGTGCTTACAGTGCTAGTTGCCAGGATCGTAGTAAACAGGTGCCTATAAATATGAACCCCAATGTTTGAAATCAATACCTTCAACATCAGATTCCAAATTGGTTCCATCCACCATTATTTTGGGAGAAGGCTTAACTTCAAGATTTCGTCGCAGCCATGTTGTCTGTTCCAAAGAAGAACCAGCAATGGCACCAATTGCATCCACTATTTTATGAGTCACGTCCTAAAGAAACAAGGAAAAAAAACACTCCCTGTATATGTGTGCATGTGCGCACACACACGTGCTCCTAACTTCAGAGATGATCTTATTTAACCTTATCTTTTTAGAGCTGAGGGCACCGAGACACAGAGTTTTGGCAACGGCCCTCAATTCAGAATGCCTTACCTGAAGGTCTCTTTGGTCTTTTTTATTTTCCAAACTAGGGTTTTTCATAATAAACTCATTCAGAACCCTAAAAGGGCGAAAGGGAAAAAAACAAAACAAAACAGGAAATATCAGTGTAAAGGAAATGATGCAATCTGATTTCTCCCAGTGACCAAGTGGCTTTGTGTCCTCAACTTCTATTTTATGTGTTTAATGAATGTATGAGTATCCTATGACTCTGTTGAAAGGAATAAACATATGCACAAAAACACATGTAAAGGATGTTCCTGACAGCTTATTCATAAAAACACCAAATTGGAAAGAACCCCAAAGTCCAGCAACAGAAGAGAATTTGTAGCATAATCATACAGTGAAATACTGAACAGCAATGAAACTTAATAAATTATAGCTACATGAAATTACACGGATGAATCTTATAAACATAAGTTGTGTGAAAGAAGCAGACACAAAATAAAATATTTACATATACTTAGAGTTCAAAAAAAAGGGCAAAATTTATCTGTGGTGTTAGAGGCCAGAATAATGGTTATCTTTGGGGAGAAGGTTCAGACAGTAATTGGGAGGGGAACTGAGGAGACATACGGTGTTTTATTTCTTAATTTAGACTTGAATTATATAGTTGATGTGTTCACTCTAATAACTTGTGGGGTAGTGTACTAATTATTTGTATATTTTTCTGTTTGTTTTATATATCAACAAAAAAGTAAAAAAACAAAAAAACAAAAAACCCCAGCAATTTTAAATTGTAAGAGAAATGGCTTCTAATCCTGTGTGTATGTAACAGATTAAAAATACTTCATGAATGAAAAAAAATTTCAACTTCTGTTGTTTGCTAAAATTCCACTCGATATTTACTCTGACATTTATCTTTTATTAAGATAAATTATATGCATAATTATTTCCAAACTAACATGTGAGGTTATTTTGAAAAGCAACCTTCATATCAATTTCTATTTTATAATTAAGAATTTTTAGAACATCAGTGGAATGGTCGGTAGTAAACAAACATTCAATATGAGAACATGTTGACTGTCGCTGGCCATTGAAGACCTCATTGGACTGTCTGAGGTAATGTAAAAAGGTTGGGGAAAAGTTTACTCTATTCCTCCCCCCCCTTATATCTTAAGCAGTCCTTTTCAAACTTTAGTGTATACTCACTCAAATCACTTGGGGATCTTGCTAGAAAGCAGATTCTAATTGGGGTGGTCTGGGGTAAAGCCTGTTTATGTTCAGGGCCCTGAACTCAAATGACTTTCCTCTATGAAGTTCCCCATCAGCCATCCTACTCATCCCGAAAGTAACTACTATTACAAGTTTTATGTTAGTACATTTACATTTTGTATAAACACGCATTGTTTCCTCCCTACGGCCTCCTGCCTTTTTTTCAGGTCTCATACCATATGCCTAGTTCTATACCTTGAGAATTCCATGAGAAGACAGTGATCGCGTGGTCACCCAAAACATCTGTTATTCAGCAATTAGGACAGTGATCATTATTCTGTTCTTCAAAATAGTATTTTTAAGCGAAATTGCTTACCCAAGTATAAGAAACTGCCCTGGGGCTGGAAGACTCAGTTGTATAGAGTCTTTCAGAAGTATCAACAGTGATGCCCAACTATCCACTAAATTGGGCACTGGAATTCTGCAAGATAAATATAGTTGCATATATATAGAGAGAGGCACAGCAAACTTTAGTTTTCTTTATATTTTCCCACAGCCTTTAACACATTTTCCTACTAGTTTCTCTGAAACATTCCCTAAATTTGTATAGAATATGATAGGACAAAATTCCTAAAAGCCTTATGTTTTCTATTAATATTATATATATAAAAAAAACCCAACACATATAAAATATACAGTGTGACTTATTAGTACAGAAATTTTGCTAGAGAAATCCCAGTTTTAATTACAGGGACTCTCAGAAGTAAAATACAATTGCAGTAAGTCTCAGTTTAATTACTGACATCATAGTCACTTGCTCTTGGTCCTATCCTCTCCATTTATATTAGCTCTTTTTCCTTCACCTATGAGTCTTTATCTCATCGAAGGGAGAGTTACCAATCTGTCCTGAACCAAGTGGTCTCACATCTAGAGAAATTAAGATTATCTCTGTTTCAGTCTGGCCTTAACCATAACACCTCTATGTATCTAAGTTCAGACGTTAGGTAGTCCTTGCTCTAAATCACAATCAGTTTAAATATACTACCTAACCTAACTTTATAAATGTTAGTCATAGATCACAAATTGATGCCAAGTTTGGTGATTAATATGGAACTGCCTTATAAGGGAGGATTAAGACTGAGGTCTTCAGTAAGAAGTTTATCAAAACTCAACTGACTTCTGTTCAGGGGAACACAAAACTGGAATACCAGAACAAGAAGATATTTTATCATCATTCCTAATGTTAAAAAAAAAGTCAGATTAGATTACCACATGTTCACCCATATTAAAGTAATAATGGATTCAGTGGCAACAGGCATGGTTTCAAGAGTTGGATTCAGCATTTCATTTATACTTAAATGATTTTCTTACAATTCATTGTTTCAGTAGCCATAGAATCTCTAATACACTTAGGTCTTTAGGTTTGCAGGATCTGCCTGGCTGGCTCATTAACATACCCATTGACTTGTATAAATATATCCACAGACAATGTTGCTAGCATTTGTTCTTTTAGTTTTAAAAGGAAAAATTAGCAACTTCTTGAAAGGATTTAGGTGCTTGTCTCCTCTATTCCCTGACTTTTACACATTACTAATGCAGAAAGGAGAGATTTATATCAGTTATCTTACCTTTGAATATAAGCATAGAAAAACTGAAGCATGCAGACTTCCAAAGAAAGATGTTTCTATAAACAAAAGAAATCAATTTTACATTGAAGAAAAATGCTGCTTTAGCTTTTTTATTGTTGCAACTACTCTGTACTTTACTGCCAATTTTTAACATAAAACATTAAAAGAAAACAAAAACACTAGTTTGTCATAAAAAATAAAGCCATGCGAACTCATTTAGTAGAAAAAAACTTAACCCAAGATCTGTTTAAAAAGTTGAAAATGGGGTGCCTGGGTGGCTCAGTTGGTTAAGCGACTGCCTTCGGCTCAGGTCACGATCCTGGAGTCCCGGGATCGAGTCCCGCATCGGGCTCCCTGCTCAGCAGGGAGTCTGCTTCTCCCTCTCCCGCTCCCCCCTCTTGTGCTCTTTCTTTCTCTCACTCTCTCTCTCAAATAAATAAATAAAATCTTTAAAAAAAAAAATGTTGATTATTTCTTTAAAAAAAAAAAAAAAAAAAAAGTTGAAAATGGACAGAAGAAATCAAAAGGTTCTCAAACCTCCCCCACCACACATCAAAAGTTGATACTCCAGCCATTATTTTTAAATGATCCATTTACTCTGTAAGCATCAACATCAGTTTTAATCAGCTTATATTATACTTGGGTGGTGCTAGCAGAATTGGGTTGAAAATTTTTACAAAATTAGAATTTAAATCTATTTTACTACAAGTTTCTGCTAACTTAGTGTAGTTTGTTCAAATCTGAGACCAACTCCTAATAGCCTCCTAATGTAGTCTTTAACTAGAGATAGTGCTGAGTGTGCTAATTTCTAACGACAAGTGTTTTCTTTTTTATTATATGTTATACTCGGCACTACACTAAGTTAGCAGAAACTGGTAGTAAAAGAGGGGAGATGAACCATGAGAGACTGGACTCTGAGAAACAAACTGAGGGTTCTAGAGGGGAGGGGGTGGGGGGATGGGCTAGCCCGGTGATGGGTATTAAAGAGGGCACGTTCTGCATGGAGCACTGGGTGTTACACGCAAGCAATGAATCATGGAACACTACATCAAAAACTAATGATGTAATGTATGGTGATTAACATAATAAAATAAAATTAAAAAAATTAGTAACAGGCAAGGAAATGATACTGATGTCCACTGACATTTACCGATTTGTTCCTTTTTAGTACCAACTATTCCCCTGAAGGTTCCCCTTTATCACACACAAAAATCCAGTATCTAATGGATTCAGAATTTAGACTCAGAGCAAGGAGGCAGCCATTGGAAGGTGTGGTGGTGGAATTTGCTCGTTTTCATATCCTTCATGCCTAGTCCAATGTCTGGCACAAGCAGATGCTCAATTGCTCAATATTATGCTGAATTGAGCTTTCACATGCAAATTTAAAATCCTATCGCAAATGCCGCAGGGGTGATGTTAGAATAGTTAGCATGTTAGAAGTTAACACGGATATTAGCTATTCACACATGCAAGTATACTCTTTCCATTGGCAACTCAAGAAAAAGATAAAATTTTAAAAAATAAACATTTTCAGATATGTGTAACAATTCTGTTTATTTTCTCAGAAAATATGACCTCTTAGTATTGCTGGAACAAAGAACAGAAGAAAGTAGAGAGGGCGCCTGGGTGGCTCAGTTGGTTAAGCGACTGCCTTCGACTCAGGTCATGATCCTGGAGTCCTGGGATCGAGTCCCGCATCGGGCTCCCTGCTCAGCGGGGAGCCTGCTTCTCCCTCTGACCCTCCCCCCTCTCATGCTCTCTCTCTCTCTCTCAAATAAATAAATAAAATCTTTAAAAAAAAATAAAAATAAAAAAAAAAGAAGAAAGTAGAGAAGTCCATAATTTTACTCATTTGCAGACTTTTATATCTGCCTAATTAGAGACAATGTGCTGTGAGTAATGTATTATTATTACTGTATTGTATTATTATTACTATATTATTATTCATTTTCTGTAGCCCTTGCCAAGCACGGGTTTGTACATGGTCAAGAAATGACATTGACTAGAACTAAGGTTACGGCAAAATGTTGGACATTCGTTCCAGAGAGAAAGCAATAAAGAAGCTGTAAAATAATAATAATAATAATAATAATAATAATAAGGCAACAACTGAGATCAGCCGACCTTGGGCTCTGGCTTGTGTGTTCTTCCTTTAAATGACCAGAAAAACCTCCCCTAAGAATTCGGTCATACAAGTCTGAACGGCCTTAGACATTCACATAAGAGATCTAAGCAGTGAATGGCTCTTCACCGGCTATGGGAATGATCACAATAGCAGTCACTGCAGATACTGATAAATGTTTTGATTACAGTAGTGTGAGGCCAACATGCCTTCCTCTCTGCAATCTGTAAAAGGACAATGCTGTACAAAAAAATATCTTACCTCCCAGCATCATTTTTGAAACAGAATTGTCAATAAATGCAAAGAAAAGCTCTTCTTACCTTGTCCTTGGCTATGGCTGGGGGCTGCTTTAAAACTTCTTTCACGGTCTGCATAACGGTTTCTGCTCTCATGACACTGATGGAGCGAACCAGTTCTACTAGTAGAAGCTGTTCTTCACTCGCTGCAGGAATGACCTGGGTAAACACATCATTGTATCTCTGTATGTAGGTGGGTACATAAGTCTTCTAAGAGAAGTCACAGGATTAAGAGAATATCTCATGGGCTCTTTTTAATATAAAGGACTTTGCAAGTCTCTTGATTAGGTAAAAAAATAGATTTTTATCAATACAATGTATATACATCATTTCAAAAAATCAAATAGGACAATAAGCCTTACAAGAAAAGATAGCAGTGTCCTATCCTATATCTCACATTCCCAAAGCAACCCTGCTCAACTCTTAGCTCTTTTCTATTATTTGAGTGATACACAGCTTTTTTTCCCCCATTTCATGATTTTTTTTTTCAATTTCCTACTGACTTCCTACACCAGAAGACAAAAATTTAGCTCCCCTACACTTCTCTCCCTACCTCCCAACATAGTTATGTCACAATTTTACTTAAATCAATATCTAATATTCATTAACTATTTACGGTTGTACTGTGTATTATACTGTCATTACATTTCTTTTACATTTTCTTTTTCCTAGAGTTAATAAACTGCTTTATTTTTGTTTGGTTTTCTCCATCTCTATCATAAATTCATCCCCAAATTACTCCAACAACTGTAAACCTCTTATTACATATTCGAATATATTAGGTAATTAATCTTCTACCCTTTTCCTGTTTTGTTTTTTTTTTTCCCTTGAGACATCTGTTAGAGGTCTTTATGCTCCACCCTGGGTTGGTACTCCCTAGGCTTGCTACAAAGTAACATCTTGATATCTTTTCTGTGATCATCAGTCTAGAAATTCCCTTTCCTTGTCTTCTGTGTCCAAACCCCTCATTCTTGGATCCCGTGTCTTCTTCCTTCTTGGTTTATTCCTCCTCTAATGGAGATGCATCTTCCAGTAGCCGAGAAAGGGTGAATTGATGGTAATACCTTTATAAAAAATAGATACTGCATGGTTCAAAATGCCTTGAGTGACAGTTTGACAGGATAAGGCATTATAGGTTGAAATTAATTTTCCCATCACAATTTCCAGTGCTGCTCTTGATAAGTCTTATCATGATTCCACTGAATAGGAACAGTATTTTCTCTTAAGATTTTCAGATCTTTGATCTCTAGTGTTCTGAAACTGCATGCTGATCTTTGTGTAAATCTCTTTTCATAGTGTCTGTGGAAACTCATTTCCTTCATTTCTGGAGAATTCTCTTGTACCATTTCGTTAATATTTTTTCCCTTCATTTCTTCTGTTCTTTCTGCAAAAAAGATACTGACCCTCCAGTATCACTCTCCTAATTTTCTGATCTCCTTTCCCCTACTTCCCATATCTCTAAGTTTATATTTTATTTCTGGTATTTATCCACTTTCTCTTCCAACACTTGTACTGATTTTGTTTCGTTTCTGCTATAAAAAAAATTTATATCCAAGAAAAATTTTAATTTTTGCAAAGGTCTTTCTTAGAATCTTCTTATATCATGGATGCAATATAGCTTCACCTCTTGCAAGGGCATCACTATTATTACTTACATGTTATTCTGTTACCTGCACTGATTCTTTTGACTTTATCTAGTTGTTTTGGTCACTGTCTATCAATAGTAGAGGCTTTCTTCATGTGGCTGGTAATCCTTGGCTCTTTATTCATATTTAAATGTCAGGAATAATAATACGACTAATATTTACAGAGTGCTTATTAAGTGCCAGGCATTACTCTAAGTGCCACATATCTATATTCTTCCAATTCTCACAACCTCATGAAGTAGTATTTCTACCTCAGGGTCATACAGTTAGTAAAGTAAGAGTTTGGTTTCAAAGTCTGTGCTCGTAACAACTCTGCTATTATTGCTTTTGAAAAAGAAATTAAAAAGTGATAAGTCAAGCATTTGTGTGCAAGACCAGTGGGCAGGGAGGCCTCCCTGTGTGGTGACTGCAGCCTAGTGTTTTGTTAGTAGCCTCAAAAACTTTAGTAGCTATGTCTTTTTTCTTGGTCAGGTCATCTTCCCAGAAGGAATCCTCAAAATTCCTACCTAAGGGCCATACTGCTTCCTGCTACCTACTGGGGTGAGGCTAGTGCCCAGTTTTCAGTATATAAACTTTTTGCGAATGCTCCTGTTTTCACCATGAAGTCTAATGTACCTGTGTGAATCTTGTGCCCTTGGGTTCAGAGCCTTTCTTGACCAACTCTTTACAGGGCAAACTTGACTCCAATCTCCTGCTTGGGTGCTTAATGCTAATTAAGAGCGGGTGGTTGCTTGAGCTGGGGAAAAGGGATCTAGAAGTTGTCCAGCTGCTCCTTATATAAATTTTCAATCAATCCTCCAGATTTCAGCCGCATTCCAACCCTGTGCCTTTAGAGGTACCTGACACTTCGAATTCCAGAGTCCATCTATAGTTTTACAGTGGAAACTGCTTCCTTTCTTGCAGCAGTTTAGTTATCAATTTTCTCTATTAAATCAGTTACCACACAGACATGTGTTTTTTTTCTTCTCGTAAAATTCTGCTGACACTTCTTATTTTTCTGTGGTCAACTCTCTCAATTTTTTGTCGTTGTGGGTTTATGCATTTTTAAATCCTTTTATTCTCAATTTTGAAAGAGCACAGAAAAATGCATGTGTTCGTTATGCCTTGTTAATAACAAACCACAGGTCCTTGACTGATTTTAAATACTTAAGGATTTTACTTCTGTCTAATGTAGTATCTGTTACTGAATCCATGTAAAAAATGTCATATTTATTTTTATTCCTTTTGAAACTTCAACATATATGTAATGTGAAATCAACACAAAAATAACAGATCAGAAACCTTTAACTAGATAAATCATGTATCTTCTGTGAATGTTAATTATTTAATAGCCTTAATATTCTTATGAGTCACTATTTCCAATATAGAACATTTTTGAGCTTTCGAACTCACAAAGTTGCAAAAATTTCACATATATAATCCAGTTAAGCCAATATATGGATTACATTTAGAAACTATTTAAGCTATGTCTTAATGAAAATCTAGTCAAGATGAAAACTCTCCATACCCTGAATGACTAACATTTAAAAAAATACCCTGTACTATGTTAACTTTTCTATTTCAAATAGAGTTAATATACGAATTTCTTTTTTTCCATAAAATGATGCTTTTTATACTTATTTAAGACATTTGGGCAGTAAATACATCATTATACCTGTAGAAAAACTACTGCTTTTCTATTCCCCATCCCACCCCAGGCCCACTGCAACTAACGGGGAATTGAAAATTCACATATACTCACTGCTTCTCAAACGACACAACAGAAGTACCAAACAGTTAAACATGTACCTTGGTCCGGGTGGTGGTTTTGTTCTGTCTTCTTTCATTCCATACAAACGCAATAGCAGCCATAAAGTGAACACCATGATTCATTGAAATGGGGCCCAATAATTCAAGAATCTGCTGTCTCAAGTTCTAAAACAATTTAAATAAACAAGTGAATTAAAAATTATGGAACATTAATAGACTGCACTTTTAGCTTTTTTTTTTTAAATACTATATAGTGCTTTCATGTTTTGCCACCCAAATAATAGTAGAGGACACTTTAATAGTGTTAAAGGAGGCAATCATGGTTATTTTAACTGGGAAAGAAAAAAAAAAAAAACCCTATAAAATGACAACTGCCAGTCAGCCAAATGCAGGAGTCTATATGACATAATAGGAAAACACTATATATGAAATCCAATTAGTAGATTCCTTTAAAAAGGAAAGGGAGTGTTTTATATTTAAGTGAAATTATACAACGGAAAAGCATAGTTTAATCTAAACGTAAGTACTTAAGTAAAATTTTAAAATAGTTTCCACCCTTCCTCTTCCCCTAATTTCAATTGTGCTCCCATTACTCCCCGATCTAGGGAGTCAGGTCTAAGAGTAAGATTAGGTAACTGAGGGATATCAATTCAACAACTTGACATTGTATAACATGCTTTCAAATAGAATTTTCCTCTAAGTATAAAGTAGAAAATTTGGAAAATGCCAGAGTGTAACAAAAAAATTTAGACACTCAACCATTAATCATATTATGCTGAGATAATCACTATTAACATTAATTTCTTTTTCTGCATATAATTTTTTATAGAATTATAGATACAAGATTTGTTCAATTACGTAATGTCCTTGTTTCACCGAAGTTTTACACATTTTCTATCCACTAAGATTTCTTTAAAACCACAATTATTAGTAGCTATGTAATGTAACATTAAAAGTGTAATTTATTTAACCATTTCCATATTTGCTGTTTAGGATCTCTCTTTTTTGCCACTACATAAGTCTATAATGATATGTATGTATCTCTGCATAATTTTGATTACCTTAGAATTCATTACTAAAGTAGATTACTAGGTCATAGACTACAAAACTTTTAAAGCTCTCTGTGCATATTGCTAAACTATTTTCTAGGCGAGTTCTGCATATTAAAATGTCAACTTAAGATGTCCTAAAGGAATAAAATTATAATACGCATGAATGAAACTCAAAAACATTATGTCACATGAAAGAAGCCATATACAAAAGACCAAGTAACACATGACTCCATTTATTAAAAAGGTCCAGAAAAAGAAATGTATATGTAGAGAAAACAGATTAGTGGTTTATTGGAGTTAGTGAGGGGAACAAGGAGTGACTGCAAATTGGGCCCCAGGAATCTTTCTGTGGTGATGGACACGTTCAGTGACTGTGGTGACAGTTTCACAACTCCGGAAATGTAGTAGGAGAAAAAAATCATTGTACTGTATATACTTAAAATGGGTGAATTCTGTGATATGTCATTTCTCAATGAAACAGTTAAGATTATTTGGGAATTAACTACTCAATTCATGCAGTGTCAAAAATACTACTCAAATTATTCACAGGTTCTGAATAGTCTTTAGGAAAGTCCCGGAATCAACTTCCGAGCTCCACAGAGCAAGTGTGAATTGTCTAACCTTTGTGGCTCCAAGATTAATGGTGGTAACAGATGCAGAGGCAGCGACAGTGACCTTTTCTGAAGACTCAGCCTGATGCAGGATGCTCCAAAGCAATGTCACAGAGGACACGATCATATGAAGGATCGAGAGGATTCCACTGCGGGCTTCAAACAAGTGTTTTTGGTCTACGTTGACCAAAAGCTTAAATCGGGGGGAAAAACATGTATCACTTACTGAGGTTTACAGATGGGTACTTATTGGACCTCATTCTTTTCAAACTAGCCAGATATTCATGCAGTCTTACTTGGTGATACTGAGTAGTAGGGTCCAACAAACAGTAATGGATAATGGCTGTGATCCCTTCTAAAAGAGTAAGAATCATATCTGGTGGAATGATTGATGCCATCCACAGAGGCCTGAAATAAAATGTATTCATTTGAACACAAGTTCTGTGAAAGAAAAGTTCATGTTTTTATCAATAGTAAATGTCCAGCAGGTGCTAGGCACATAGTAGGTGCTCAATAAATAGTACAGGAATAAATGACTAAGAGCATATATTAGAAGCTTTTATATCCTAATCTCTAAAATAAGTGAGTTGTACTAGAGTTCTTTTTGGCTAAAGAACTCAATACAAAATAAATATAGCCAGTAAATTTCTAGTAACTATGTAAAAGCAGGCATATCAATATTAAATGATACAGGCAGTTCTCTCATACTTTACACGTAGTAGCGAAGGTTATACAGGAGATAAACCAGACACTAATCTATTAAACATCTGGCTAATTTCTGACGGACTAACTGAATATGGGGATACAGATGGAATTCACCACTAAACATGAAAATCGGAAACAAGAAATAAAATCAGATGGGAAAACAATTATTTTTAATTTAAAATTAATTTCTTAAAAAATTTGTTTGAGAGAGAGAGCACAGGCAGGGGAGTGGCAGGCAGAGTGAGAGGGAGAAGCAGACTCCCCGCTGAGCAAGGAGCCCGATGAGAGGCTTGATCCCAGGACCCTGGGATCATGACCTGAACCGAAGGCAGATGCTTAACCCACTGAGCCACTCAGGCGCCCCTTAAAATTAATTTTAGTGTGACATTAATTTCCACTTAGATAACTTATCAGATAAAACTAGGGAAACCCTTTGCTGGGCTTTGCATTACTTTCGCCAGCTCAGTCAAGAACATCAAAATTAATTACAACCCTTAGAATAAAAAAAGGTCTGTTTAAATACTCCTCTCCGCCATTCTTGCATTCTTTTATCGATACTCTTTCTCAAGCTGAATTTTGTTCTTTGTGAAAATAACATACTTTCTGTAACCTACTGATAACCACTAATTTATTTACTCAAACGGTAAGTGACTTTGTGGACAATTCTGTGTCATGATGTGAAAGATGTCAACGATAAAGTTAAAAATCAACCTTACCTACTATCGGATAATCCTGTTTCGTATTTGTACTGCTGGATTAGATTATCTAAATTTCGGCAAAGCTGCAGCGTCACAGAAACAACCACCCTCTGTAGCACTTTTCCCATGTAAGGCAGAGTAGACGTGATTAAAGCAATCCACTGCGGGTGCATCTTACAAGCACAATGTTGGTGCAAAGCTCGTATCACTGCACAAAGGAACATGCCTTGACACGTGATTGGCTGAGCGTGCAGATACTGAAGAGAAGTCATGGGCTGGTGGGGATTGATGTGTTCCAGGTCCGAGACGACAAAATCAAAACCCGTTTCGCTCTCTTCGGGGATAGTCATTACCCGGTGTTCTAGAACAATGAGCCTCTGAAGCACTTTAAGAAGTTGTGACTGGAGTGTGCTGCCACTGTCAAATTCATCCTCCGAGAAATTGATAAGGCTGTCTTCTGAGAAACCCTCTTCGACGGCGACCACGTTCTTGCCTGTCACCTTCTCGCCATGCCATTTCTGTGCGCTGAAGATAGAGGACAGCAAGCAGTGAAGAATCACCTTCTGAACTTTGCACTTAGATAACATATCAGAGATAAAACTCGGGAAACCCTTTGCTGAGCTTTCTATTACTTTTGCCAGCTCAGTAAAGAGAAGCGTCAAAATTTCGATGCTCAGCATCTGCATGTTTCGATTGCCTATTAAGTCCTGTGCAGTGACCTTGACGTGAGTTGGGTAGTGGCTACGCATGTAATACAAGCAGAGGGAAATAAGGATTTCTATGTACATAGAACTCCGGAAGTTATGATTTGAGTCCACTGGAATGTGACTGTAAAAGTCTTTGCCCATAACAGAAATCCGGTGTCTGGCCAAGAGATTCTGAAGCAGAGACAACTGAGGGGTATATGCATTATTTACACTAGTGGTTGAAATGGCATTTACAAAAGTAATAGGATTAGTTTTTAAGATGGCTTTGATGGCAGAAAAAGCATAGAGAGTCCTTGATGAATCATACAACTGGAGATACAGAAGCACATGCTGATAAAGCGGATGGATGTTGAAATTGGGAGATTTCCGTGATCCGGGAGAACCCATATCACTCTCAATTTCAGAAATTTCTCCCTCTCCACAGCTGTACCAGTTCTCTAAATCCAGGCCATCACTGAAGAACACACTGGTTTGTTTGAGTTTTTCATTTGAAGTTTTTTTCTTGTCATCATCCTTTTTTCTGGCAAGTTTTACTTTAGGTTTTGCTCCTGGTTGTTTACCAGACTCCTTAACAATGGTTTCTTTCTCGGAGACTTTTTCTGATAATTTTTCTTTGAAGCTGAACTGAATGCTACTGTGACTCCTCTGTCTAGATTTGGTTTCTACGGAAGCAACATTAGAGTCCTGCAGAGTCTGTGTGGTTCCTGAAATACAAGGTGAGGAACTATTTCTGGAGATTCCATTTGCCACACACTCATGGCCTCCCTCTGCAGACACAGACAGAAAGTGGGAACTGTCGTTACTCAGCACAGCACTCTGGCTCTGTGGAGCGGACTGATCGTCAGTTTGGAGTGTCTCTTCGCCTGGGCCTACGTCCCTGTGCTTTGGGGGCATAGCTTCAATTTCTAACTGAGATGTAAGTGATGCAGATTCTGCTTCGAGGCCACTTACAACTTTACATATCAGGTCAAACACTACTTGCTGAACGTCATCATCCGGGGAGCTCGCATTTGGCATTTGGGAATCTTCTTGGACATTCACATTTTCAGGATCGACTTCGTAACTCAAATTGTCCCCAGCAGAGGACTGTGAACATCCAGAGTCAGAACTCTGAAGTACTTCTATCTGTTGGTCTGGAAGATCAAAATCAGATACAACCATTGGAATTGTCTCACTGCTGGTACTTAGAAGGGAAAGTCTGTCGCTCAATGGATTAACAGTGAGACTAAAATTCTCTATTTCATCCATGGTAAGCGGCTTTTCACCATTCCCTTTAGATGCAATGAGTTGTACTTGGCTTACTGGCATATGAGGAAAATAGCAAAGGAAAAATAGAAGACATATTAAAATAATTGAAATGGTAGACCGAATTCAAGATTTTTAATCATTAGCTTCATCACCAACTTATACTTTCCTAAAATTATATTTTAATTTATTACTATTTTAGACCCTTTAAGTTAGAAAATTATGTAGATGACTATTAACTAGAATTTAGTAAAGACAATTCAACAAGAGAAAGCCTATTAATTCAACTGAATTGAACAGAACAACACATTTAAAACAGATACCATGTAAAAATTTGCCCTTATCCCCAAATAAGGTATCTTTTTTACCGCAGTTCAAAATTTTAGTTCTTTTCCTCCCTGTGTGATACTTCCCTTTAGCTATGCTATTTCTAAGAATTCAAGTAGTTTGGGAGTAGGTATATATATATATATACATATATGTAGTTCCTTGATTTCAATAAAATTCAACATTTATGAATTATCTAATATGAGTAAGGCCCTGAACCTGGAGACAATGGCGGTGAGAGAAGGAAAAGACATCATTGCTCTCTATAGAGTTTGAACTCAGTAGGGGATCACAAACACATTCATCCATTTCTATACTTTTTGAGGGGCATACCAGGCTGACGGGCATTCTTTTTAGAAAGAGGAGAAGGCTTAGTTCCATATGAATAGTACCAAGCAAATGTTATGAAACTCAGGGAAAGCATGGTGACCCTACAGGTAAGGAGACTGATCTCAAGACAAGGTGAGAATTCAGCAGACAGGCAGGAACTGCAGCGGGTAAAATGCTAACACAAAGTTGGGGCGATAAGCAGGGTAGGGCATGCTCTGAGAACACTCAGGGGAAGCGGTGGAAAGGAAGGCAGAGAAAGGAAAGAAGGCTCTGTAGAGACACACTAAAGATGAAGTAGGAGCACACTGGCTCGGTTGCAGCTTCATCACTCAGCAGCCATGGGACTGTGAGAAAGCCACAGCCCGCTCAGCAGCAGCTCCCTGCTCAGGGTTATTTGTGAAGATACAAATGAGATATGTGAGCATCTTTTGTCTCTGAAGTGTAATAAACTAATCTATGGGGCCATTATCACTGTATTACAGATGGCATCACTCGACAGTTTGTAAAGTGTGGACTTCAAGAAATAATAGTGAATATTTAACAAACACTTAGGATATGCCAGTCTGCAATAAACATGTCACAAACAGGACGACATCTGATGTTCACAGTGAAGCCTGGAAAGGTGGGTGCTACGATCCCCATTTCACTGAGGAAGAAAATGACTTATGAAAGCTAAATGTGCACTACAAACTTATTACACATTCCCAGTGAAGTAGCTCCACAGCCTTGCAGGACCAAAATTGCTAATTACACTCCAAAGGCATTTTCATCAAAATTGGAAGACTGTCTTTGCCCAGACCTGTGTTGACTCCTCCCTTGAAAGAGTCAACTGATAAGAGAGATCCAAGTCCTCTAAGGTGCTCACTGATGAAGGACATTCTGACACGTCCCACATGAGCACCGCCATGGCATGCGGTGGGGCGGGGGAACCCCATGCAGAACACCTCACTGTCGCCAATCACCGCCGTGTTCACCTCTCACTTTATTTTCATAACTTAATTCTAAATAAAGCTGTTCTACTTCCATGTGATATTCACCACTGCTGCAGGCAAAATTCTGCATGAAATGCTTGTCACTCTCTTCTCCAGGATAATAGGGAGCCTTATTCCAATAGCGTTCTGCTTGTACACGCTGCACCGAAACCCTCTGAGTTTTAGGATGAAGCAGGAGCAATAGCAATGGTTCCAAAACTCTTGCAATATCATGTCTTTGTAGCACTTGGTTCAGCCAGGCTTGTCCCACTGAGCTGGTAGAACCATCGAGGCTGTTAAGGCTATCTAACATGATGAACAGCGACCTACAATAAACACCGATAATTAAAAAAAAAAAAAAGAACAAAACACCTACTTGAATTATAACACTCTAGTTTTTCTTAAATCAATATTATTATAAGTGTTATTATTTTGAATTAACTTTTTTTTTTTTTAAAGATTTTATTTATTTGAGAGAGAGAGAGAGCACAAGCAGGGGGAACAGCAGAGGGAGAGGGAGAAAGAGACTCCCCTCTGAGCGGGGCTCGATCCCAGGGCCCTGGGATCATGACCTGAGCCGAAGGCAGACGCTTAACGACTGAGCCACCCAGGCGCCCCTTGAATTAACTTTTTTAAAAGTAGTCATACTGGGGCACCTGGGTGGCTCAGTCGTTAAGCGTCTGCCTTCGGCTCAGGTCATGATCCCAGGGTCCTGGGATCGAGTCCCGCGTCGGGCTCCCTGCTCTGCGGGAGGCCTGCTTCTCCCTCTCCCACTCCCCCTGCTTGTGTTCCTGCTCTCGCTGTGTCTCTCTCTGTCAAAAAAATAAATAAAATCTTAAAAAAAAAAAAAAGTAGTCATACTTCAGGATAACTGTTGACCACAGTATTTTAATAATCTTAATCCTTACAGTCTCAGCAGATATGAGAAAGGAGAAAATCGTCTTTCCCCTTTTCTTATATACTTGCTTTTTTTTTTTTAAATTTCACAAGCATACATTACTTTTATAAAATAGAAAAAAAAAACAAAACCTTAGTCTTGTTTTAACAACATATTCCTTTTCAAGTCACCAAATATTGAACTCCCTGCAAGTCAGCACTGCTCCCACGTTCTTCTGCACCCAATCTCTTTAGGAGTCAAACCTATGAGCTTAATTCAAGGAAAGACCTGTGAAAGGTATGGAGGTGTGGTTTGGAATCAGAAAACCCAAGATTCAAATGTGGGTTATCCACCCGACCTCATATGTGGTTTTGGGTAAGCCACTTAATTTCTCTGGTCCTTCAGTGCCTTGTTTGTATGATGAGCAAAGGCAAGCATCAAATGAGAGATAATTGTATGTAAAGTACGTAGGCCAAGGGCCTAGTCCATTGTACTAGTTCAACAGCAGATGGTTTCAAAATGGTGATGCTGTTGAAAAAGTAATGTCCAGTAAAGCACACATCTGGTCCTGAGCTGGGGCTATAAGCATAGTCAGATCTGTGGCTTCCTCTAGGCTCTGAGAGCTGCTGGTGAAACTGCTATTATCCTGTGCCAATATCTGAACCACCACGTAACAGCATCTCCTTGGAAGTTAATGCAAATCTCATATTTGGGGGATGAGTCATCTTAAGTGGTCTAGACAAGTAGCAAAACCACTCTCAGGCAGCTACAGGTTCTCTGAATCCACGTGAAGTGGTCTGTCAGTATTTTAGCTATAGATCTATTAGGTCCATTTCAGGCAGAAGATTGAAAATAACTGTTGGAGAAACAGTTACATAATCTACTGTTTTAATGAAACTTCACTATGAAGAGAGACTCAAAATGCTGTATTCATTGCTGTATCCCCGACACCTAGAATGGTGTCTGGCACACAGTAGGGTCTTGATGAATCGTCATCTAGTGAAAGAATGGGGCTCTGGGTGCTTCAATGCCATGCATTTTAATATAGCTTCGATTAAAAAAAATAATTTATAAGTTCTCTTTATAAAATCTGTAAATTCTTATTTTCTACCCCTGCCAAACTAGCCAGAGGATTCAAGAAAAGAGACACTGTGATATCTGACTGTAAATCCAAATATCAAACGCAACCAACCTGTCAAAAGAACGTGCAAAAGATGACGACTTATTTATATGGAGATCCCTTGTGAGATGCCAAAGAACTGCAAACTTTGCATGTGCTTCCATCCTTATTTTCTGAGGAGGAATATGGGAGATTAAATTATTTTATTCTCCCTTGAAGATATTAAAGGATTTTAGTAAATCGAAGTAGCAATTTAAGAGGCAGTATTAGGCTCAATGTTCATAGTACTTAACACACAACACAATAAACTGTTTTTATGAAAGTAGAAATGTAAAAAAGACTTAAATACATGCAGAAATATTAAACCTGAAGGATCATCTCATGCTACCTCATAAATCATTAGAATTTAGTTTAGACTAGGTAACCAGATTTCTACATTACTGTATAACAGAGGATGGAAAGAACTAGTAATGCACATGTTATTATGTCTTCAGTATAGGAAGCACTTTCTCTCTTATTTTAATATAAATACTTAGTAGTCAAAATTTATTTTATTACACTATACAATTTACTTTTGCTCCCAGAAATTATATATTAATCTCAAATGAATCTGTCATTACTTATAAAGCTGGTTTATTAGATTCAAAAATGTAAACACCTACAAAATTATTTCTGTAGGAAAAACATTACATCACTTTGAGATTATCTTGAAAACATTAAGTGTTATGGTAGTAATGGAAAGAACCATGGAAAAATACATTTTTCAGAAAGAGCAGCTTTTGGTGATAATGAACATAAATTAATATAAATCAGGTAGGAAATGTGAAGTTATCAAGATTTTTATAGTCTTCCTCTAGCATCTGTGGAATCCTTCAAGTAAAGGCCTCCCAAAATCAGGGACTGAAACTGTCTAAATTGCTTGTGATCAGTTAGGAGTGCTTTCTTTTTTTCCTTAGGCCTAATAAATGCTTTTCCTATGAAGGCTGTGTTTGTACATCAACCAATACAAGCATGTAAAAAAAAAAAAAAAAGTATTGTATAATACATTTATTCAGAAGTTACGATTTCTTTAAAAATAAAATGCTACACAAGTAAACAGGTACATAATTTATCCTAGATTTACACTTAATGTAAACAAATGAAATTAAATGCAAGCTTTATTAAACATTTTATTCCTAAACAATTTTCAAAGAATGTGCTAAAGTAGAAATAGAATTTTAATAGAATAAACTTTTTATTCCTCTCCTTTACTCCTTCATTTGCCACTTCCCTCCTTGCCAAAAGCTTCATTTACTCTACACAATGCCTTTTTGGGGGGGCCATTGAAACCCACTAGCATTTAGAGTCCTTAAAAAATTAGGGTGATGCACCTCTAAAAGCTGTTTGATAAAATCTTGGATTGATGTTCCAGAGCAGGCATGAGAAGACCACACTCTTCACTGAACTGCCTGAAGAGGTCAACCAAAATGACAATTCCAGCTTCTTCTCAGGAGCACCCAGAACTCTATCACTTTTACTCTTACTGACTTATGGATTACTTCGTATACATTAGGATACAAAATGCTTATTTTGGATATTTATTATAATGCAAATAATATCTCTATTAGCATTCTGTGCCTTATAAATGTAACTTGATACACGTATCACTTCATTTCACATGCATTTGTTAATGTATCCATACTTCCATAACCAAGGCCACTGCTTCCTCTTTAAATGATCCAAGAACTTGGACCAGCAACAACTTTTTAATCATCGCTGCCCACAATTTGTGTCCTGAACCAAGAAATAAACCCAGTATCTGATTGTGGATTACTTGATTTTTCATATTACTGGTGCTTTTGCAAAGAACTTTCTTCCAAAAAGGACAGAACAAATTTGTTTTAAAGACATGAAGATCACTCTGAAAGAATTTATATAATCTCTAATCAGATACTAGCCACAATAATTTTCCTAGTTTCTTTATCTTTTGGTATAATGGGAGTGGGGTGGGTGGGGGTGGGACAAGATAAAAAAAAAATTTACCTTATCTTTGTGGGTTAGCTGCTGACTTATAACATCCTCACAGATGCTAGAAGAAGGAACCAAGTTATGTAATTGATAAAACAGTTCCACACTTTTCTGGTGGTGCTGAGGTGTCCTATCTCCCAGCTGATCCCACAATGTTAAAGCTACATGCTATAGAAAAAGATGTAAAAGTGACAGTGTTATGAAACCATAAATTAAACCTTCTTTAACAAGCATTTCCTGTTAGGTACAACAAGCCTCTGAAGGCCAGACTTTGAAGGTCTTCAATATCCATTATGCCACTAGGATGAAATTTACAAGTGTAGCTTTCCATGTGCTCACTTTTTGGTCATACAGGCAATTAGAAACTCTTACGATAGACCTTTAATGATTGACTGATTATTTTCATTTTTTTTTAAGGTCCCTCCCTAATGGTATTGTTTTAAACATCAAACATGGAAGCACTTTCTACAGGGCCCAGAGAAGACCCCATTTCACTATTTTAGTTACATTTAGTAAAGTGTTGCTAGAATACATTATCCTTAAGAGGATACAAACCCCACATTGAATATAATTTAATATTTATGGTTATATGTTACAAAATGAAATCTAATTCATAGTCCAAATATCCAAATCATTTAACACACACAAAATAGGTTGTATGTATTTCAGAGTTACATGTGTTAACACAGCACTTGATGATCTATGATAGCATTAATAAAAAATGTAACCATTTTTAGGGTTTACCACTATAATACTGTTACAGAAACCAACTCTAATCTAGCAGGAGAAACGATCCCGTGGGGCACAATGACTTGAAATGAGATAAAATAAAGAAAAATTTTTTTTATATATAAAGAATCTACCTACTTAAGATGTAATATAATCCAATATACTTGATGTTCTATGTAGAGGATATCATCTTAACTGTTGTGATCAAAATAAAAAAACTGCATTTTTTTTCTGAATGGCATCATACACCACAGATGATGATCAGACAATACAGAGTTAGAAAAATTTTTCCTGGGAATTTTGGAGAGCTGAGACTGTACTCTATGAAAATCAAAAGTGTCATAACCACATCATGGGGAAATAAGTTTTACTGTGTAAATGATCTTACCTCTTTTTTAGCTGTAATTATTTCCTCTGTGACTTTAGAGCCCTAATGCTTGCCTTCCCTAACCTCATCCTCATCTCCTCTCATCCTTATCTTCTTCCCTCTCACAAAACTGGGGATAAGATTGGCAAAGCAGTACAGATTAAGCTGGTATGTATCTTTTTCTATACAGTATAATACGAAGAGGTATTCAATGAAGCCTGATTATCATCTTTAAAATCTCTGCTAAGCAAACGAGGTCAAGTACCATTTTAGTCATGTATGTACTTCCTAGAATTTACCTTGAAAAATTCAGTCTTCTCAGCGATGTATCTCAGGTTGCCTGGAGTGAGGGGAGGTCTAATAACCACTGCTACTCTTCCCTGGTTTGGACTTAACGGTTGGGCAGGCTCCACGCTGTTGATGTTCTCCCCGGTGACCATGGCCACAGACTGAGTCAGTCCCACCAGGTCCATGACCAAAGAAATAGCAACACTCTGCACACTGAAATCACTTGCTTGGCTACAAGCATTCATTAGAGTCTGGAGCCACAGCGGAGGCTGCACGTGCTCCCAGTCTGAAATAAAAAGACGGAAGCCAACAGGGTTCATTACGATAAACCTTTCATGCAGATTCCAACTTCCAGGTTAATTTCAAAAAACAAAGCACCTCCTCTACCTTTAGGCCTTGATTCGTTAGTAAAACCATGGTTTCTCACCTAGACTGGAGCTTTAAGAAAATAAAACAGCAACAAGAATTTCATAAACTTTTTTAGTATGTAGTTTTTTTATGCCAAGTCATAAATCTATTTCCCTGTCCTGAAAAATAGTACATTAATCGACACACATGATGTAGCACTCATAGCACTCACTGCACTATGCGTGTGCATATATAAAAATTAAATAATGGTAAACATATATGATACTAGTCTTAATAAAGGAAACCAATGGATCTAAATGTTACATTACTTTTCTCTAGAGAAAGGAGTTAATGTCCTTCTTAGCTTCTATTCATTTGTAAGCAATCTGTGAAAGACATCAAAATCACAACATTTTCTAATATATCACTATATATCTCCCCATGACGATAGTATTTCATCAAAAAAATCTACAAAGTAACACTTTAAAAAATGAACTGGCTAAAAAAAAGTCCCAGTTTTAATATCTGAGTGCTCCTTAAAAAAAGAAGGCGTGCCATAAAAATATTTAAATAAAACCAAGATGACCTTACCAGTCTCCGATTTTTCAGAATGTAAGTCTGAGGTATGGTTCCCCTCAGCAATGTAAACTGGGAAACTGGAGCACTCCAGGAAGAGCTGACAGGCAGAAAGGAAGGCAGAAAGGTATTCTTTTGAAGTTTTTTGTTTACTTATGTTTCTCTCTTTTACATCCCCGTGCGAATCTCTGTCCCATTTTGGAGTCTCTCCTTGCTCTCGCTCTCGACTGAGATCCCCTGGATGCTCTGTAGCCAAAGCCTGAGAAAAAGTGTTACCCTGAATGATGTAGAGGTTGATAAGTCTGGTGAGAAACTGCTGGACATACTCCAAGCAGCACTGCATTGCAGTTTTTTGGGCTGTCTTCCCACTTCGGGGTGCTGTCCCCTGAGTGACTATGGAAGGGGGCTGGATGATGGTTTCTTCAGATCCCACGGTGGAGGCCGTTTCTGTCTCGGAGGATGTGCTACCGATGGGGATGGCAGCCGTCCCCTGTCCCTCATTCAGGTCTCTGTCAATGTCATCACTTCGGTCTGCTTGATACTGTATAAACTCAGTGAATCCACTCTCTGATGATCGACTACTTGGTGGATTTTCTCCATCTTCAAACACTTCAGTAGGATTTTCAAGAGAAACTGATGATACCTGATAGACATTAAAAAGAGCACAGGCTAAGTAGTTAAGTGTGTATATTAGAAAATAAAAATTAGAAATGGCCATGTTTTGAGAGAAGTCAGTTTGGATTAGATGATTTAAAACTTAATCTACATGTCCGCTGGAATCTTAGAATAGTTTCTACCACTGATTCATATGTCTATGATAATCAATAGGAAATACTGGTATGGGTCTAATGAATATATTAATATAAACTCATTTGCTAAATATTTATTATTCACTACATGCACAGCTTAAGGCTGGGTTCTTGAGGGCAAAATATGTGTATGCACAAATCTCTAGGATCCATATCCTTGTTTTCAAATGACTGACAATTTATTCAGTCTACTTGATGAAATCACTTTCCTAATGTCTAAACAATGCAAAGAATGAGAAATTTTAAAAAACAAATAAATTCTAATAGGTCATCTGTTCAGAACCCACGAATGTGAAATTTCTGTATGAAATGTGTAATGGACCATTTAAAATATGTGCTATTAATCTTACATTCTTTCAATGGTTATTGAACGCACATTATGTGCCAGACACTGTATTAGGTACTAGGAATAAAAGGAATAGTTTGTAATCTGAAAGAGAAGATAGGAAGACAATTAAAATATCAAGGAAAGATGGACCAGCTGCTGAGTAGAGCTGGAATGCATTAACCATCCCCTTCCTACAAAGACAGGAGGAGTACAACCGCCAAGCATATTTTCTGGCTTAGTTTAAGGAAACAAAAGTTGTCCATATCATGAATTGCTTGGGGACTGTGCCAGAGCATAAGTTGAATTTGAATATGAGTACTTTTTAGTAACTAAAAAGTGATCTTAGTGAAGATTATTGAAGATACAAAAAATGTTCTGCGGCTACAAAGCTGGGCCTTGCCCAGTGTTCCTTGCTTCAGTGAAGGACACCACCATTCAGAAGACAGAAACCTAAGGGTGATTCTTGGGATCTTCTCCACCTTTCCTTCCCACTTCCCCTACATCCACTTCAGAACAGCATTGAAGGGTACTGGCCATGAGTTGGCTAAGGTTCTGCCACTTACTAGCTTGGCAAGTTATTTAACCTCTCTAAACCTCAGTCTCCTGATAAATATAACTGAGATAACACTAGTTCCTACATTTTACAGTTGCTGTGAGGATTAAGTAAGACAGTATATCTAAAGCGCATGGCCTAATGCCTGCCAGTTAGTAAGCACTCAATAAATGTTAGTGATCACTCATTACCCTTACCAATCCGCTACTAGGGTTACTGATTGTTTTCTCTTAAATGTAATAAGGCTAATCCATTTATTTCTGTCTTCAGGCCCCCATCTTGTTAGCTTGTTACCATCTCTCACCTGCACTACTGCAGGTCTCCCCACATCCACACTGTTTCTGAGATCCATGCTGCACACTGCAAAGTAATTTATCTATTACACAAATCATGTTATGTCACTTGCCTTTTAACCTTTCAGTGCCTTCCCACTGCTTCTAAAATAAAGAATAAAAGCCCTGGTATAGTGAAAAGGCTCTGTATGACCTGGCCCCTGCCTATCTCAAGACTGCATCTCTCCCCCACTGCGTGCATAGCATTCCTTTCTGCCAGAAGAGCCTTTCGGAATGCTTCTTCCTTTCTCAGGTGCTCTCTTCTTTCTACCTCATCCCACTCCCATTTCTCTAGGGCTTCACTCAAACAATCCTTCCTTAAGAAAGCCTTCCTTACATCCACAATCTAGGTCAGATCACCGCATTTTCCATATTCCTACCACTCTATGTTTTCATTCATGTGTTTATCACAACTATAATTAAATGTGCAATTATTTGTTTAATGTAGGCCTTCCAACTAGCAAAAACGGGTCAGGAAGGCAGGGACTGTGCCTACTTCACCACTGAATACACAGAGTGGGTACTGGATAAAGAGAGGCTGTTTTCACTGTTTCAAAGGTAAGCACACTGAGGGCTCAGGGAAGTTAAAAACAAAACTTGCCCAACGTTACATAGCAAATAAGGTTAGTAGTTATTAGAAGAGCTTAGCTTAGGTGATTCTAAATTTCATATTTTTACTGTAACCTATCACTGTAACAGTATAAGAACTTTTCATATTATAATGCCAGAGTTTAGAGGCATCTATCAGAATTGAACTGTCGACATTTCTACTTTGAAAGGTTAACAACCACCTAAAACTTTGTATTTTAATACCTTTTTGAAAAGAAGTCTCACTTAAATGGTAAAACTGTTATTAGCTTATTATGGTAAAGTTATTTCTGTATTAATCTTTTTTCATATAAGGATCATAAAACAATGGACTCTACATTAATAGAATTCAAGCTATAAATTCAATTACACTTGTATACATTTGTATGGTCTATATTATATATGTTTCAGATTATTTTATAATAGAATGTCTTTCTGAAAAGAGAAAGAAATGACATGTTTTGGACATTTGGGTATAGATACCTAATACACTAATTTTATAACAATGTACTAAGTGCGCATGGAGACAAAATTAGAGCCACAATTTTTTTTAAAGAATCATTCCTTTACTTATACTTTTAAAAAAAGGAATAAGGAAAATACTCTTAGCTTTCAAATACGATAAATTTTAGACATTTCAGTGAAGACAATACCATTGTGCTGCGGTAAAAAAAAAACAAAAAACATATGGCCTGAGAATACAGAAACAAACCAAAGAGAGGGAAAAGCATACTCTCAGGTTAATGCACCATTATGTTAAAAAAGTATATTATATTGTCCTTCATTTAATATGAATGGATGTTCCCATTTACCTTACCCTGTAACCATCAATAAGTGCCTCCAGATGTTTTCTACGTGGTAATTATTCACATATTTGAATATGCTATTGGGAGAATGCTGAGGTTCTCCCCCTACTGGAATTAATCTCATTCAAAAAACAACAACAAAAAACAGAGCAGTTAAAACCTATTTTAGTCTTATTTCTAAGAAGGTCCTAGAGGCATAAATTAAGGAAACAGCAATACAAAATGAATTCTCCTACAACAGAATCAGTATATATATCACATATAAATAGTAAGCAAGTAGGAAGGAAAATAAGAGACTGATTTTAATTTATGTAGGATAATCCTGGGATATATTTAAATTGATTGTGGGTCAGTGACGTTCATTTCATATACGAAGAGCAATATATTTAAAAGGTCCAATAAAAGAGTTTTAGGATTAATATTTGATGGGAAAGGTTGTATTAGACTATCCTGATAAAATATTTTGCCTGGCTGGAAACAAAAAAGCAACTGAAAAAAAAGTAAGGGCAACTATACAAGCCCAAACCCAGAATTAAGGTAATGAACCCTAAATGCCAGAAAATTTTAAATCTTTATTTTAAAATAGAGCCACTGTGCCTAAGTTCAACGGAATTATATACATGTTTTTTTCCAGAGGTGCATCACAGGTGTTTTAAGTAAGATACTATGGCCAGCCATTAAAATTATCATAATTCTGTTCAGCGTCATAAAGCTAGCATTAAGAATCTGGAAGACTGAATAGAGCAAAAAGACTCTAGATTTTGAGAAGAGCACACCAAAAATTTAGTGTATATATGAAAAGGATGAGTAAAGTTTAGATTATAAACCTGTTGTCCTATATGGTAGCTACTAACCACATGTGACTACTGAGCTGTTCAAATATGCCTGATCTGACAAAGAACTAAATTTTTTCAGTTAATTTAAAATTCACAAAGTAATACTTAATTTAGTTATGATAAAACTTTTAAATATGTTTAGAACTTGGATATGTGAATCTAATTTTTCAAATGTACACTTTATAAAATTAAATACAGATCAAGTATTTCCGATAAAAATTTTACATTTCAGTGTAAAATACATTTCAGTGTGTTTTGAAGACTTAGTACAAAAATGAATGTGAAATAGCTCATTTTAAAAATATTATCAATTTTATATTGAGTATATGTTGAAATGATAATTTATTAGCTATACTGGGCTAAATAAAATATAATTAAAATTATTTTCACCTGGGGCGCCTGGGTGGCTCAGTTGGTTAAGCAACTGCTTTCGGCTCAGGTCATGATCCTGGAGTCCCTGGATCGAGTCCCACATCGGGCTCCCTGCTCGGCAGGGAGTCTGCTTCTCCCTCTGGCCCTCCCCCCTCTCATGTGCTCTCTCTCATTCTCTCTCTGTCAAATAAATAAATAAAATCTTAAAAAAAAAAATTATTTTCACCTGTTTCTATTTTTTTTTACAGATTTTATTTATTTATTTGACAGAGAGAGACACAGTGAGAGAGGGAACACAAGCAGGGGGAGTGGGAGAGGGAGAAGCAGGCTCCCCGCAGAGCAGGGAGCTCGATGTGGGACTTGATCCCAGGACCGTGGGATCATGACCTGAGCTGAAGGCAGTCGCTTAACCAACTGAGCCACCCAGGCGCCCTGTTTCTATTTTTTAATGTGGCTACCAGAAAGTTAAAAATTACATATGCTGCTTGCATTGTATTTCTAGTGGAGGGCTGATATAGACAGTTAAATTGCCAAAAGCCTATAGGATGGTCTACTGCCACAACACTCGAATCTAGAAAAAAATTCACTAATATTTAAATGACTACATATAAACTATTCTGCTTTGAAGAAATACAATTGTTCTAATGCCAAAAATAATAGCAAACCTTACCTTTTTGTCTTCCCATTCTTTGACTGAGTTGCTCTGCCCACTTGGAAACTGCAACACACCTCCAGTGTTGGCAGATAAGAGTGGAGGTTGAACCTTGCTAAGGATCTTTGAGCAGAGCCTGAGTGAATCTGTGAGTTCAGACAAGTGCAATGTTTGGAGATGGCTTGTCAGGGCAGAAATCATCCTGAGCAGCAACTGGGGCAAGTGTTCTGTCTGGATTTCAATGTAAGTCTCCTGAAGATGGAAAGTGAAAATGACAAAAGTTTATATAATGTATAACCCCAAAATTCTATTATTTCATTTATTTTTAATGTATATAACAAAAATAATTTTATTGATCTGCAATATTTTATATGCATCATGCTCTTAATTAATATTGTATGGTCATTTTATTACTGACAAAAAATTTCTATTCCCAAATTCTCAATTTAAGTACTTCAAGGTATATAATATAAAATAATCCCAGTTTCATCTGCTATATTACAGAAATTATAATATAAAAAAGTGAACACAATCAGTTAAAGACAAAAGACAGGCTGAATGTCATACCTGACACAGCACCCTCATACTTCTAGTAGGCTTCAAAATGAGAAAGCAAAGAATTAAGGAGAGAAAAGGAGAAAACATTTCCAACAGTCTTCATTTAATAGAAAGAATTATTAGTGAGTATAAATGCAACATTAGACCACTATACACTAAACATTTAAAATTTCAGTAACATGCAGCTATGAAGTATATTCCATGTATTATATAAGACATATATGTATTATATATATGTCAGAGGACAGAACACTTGGAAAAATTTATGAAAAAAAAAGTTATGCCAAAAGGGAAAAAAAATCAACTTTAAAGATGAAATTTATTTAAAGATGTGGTCTATGTCCAACATGCAATATTTGAACTATTGTTATTACACTGCCTCAATACTTTTTTTTTTTTTTTACCAAGGTGGTCTTACCAAAGAAACTATGTCCAACAAAAAATCCACCAGTAAGCAGAAATTTGTCAGCTGTAACTCAGATGACTCACTACTATCTCCAGGCCCAATCTGAAGTCTGGCGTGCAATGTCCTCCTAAAAGGACAAAATTCACTTTATCAAGTATAAGTGATAAGCATATTCATATCATACATACATAATTTTCTTTTTAATGACAGTCAACACTGGGACACACACAATGATGTTCCTGTGAACATTCCCTTTCCCCCAGGACACTTAACTCCAAGTGGAAAATTTCCAAAGCAAGATTCCTAGGTTTAAACTTCCTGAAGCGCCCATCCTGCACTTCCAAGTGTTCTGGGTGGATCTCACTTTTTTGGACTTGCTCCCACTATACATATCATCTCTTAGTTAACATGGATTATTTGCTGCTTGATTTATAACCTCAGGGCCTTTTTTTAATAACAACTTGTCCTCCTGATTTGCTGTCCTCCCTCAACCTCATTCTCTCAAATCCAGAATGCACCCATCCTTAATGGTTTGAGACCAAACATTATCTCCTCCAGGAAGCCTCTTCTGATCATTCCTCCAACAAACATTCACTTTAAATCCTGTAAGATTTAAAGTCCCAAGTACTATAAGTCCTATAAGACCATATACGTTGCCCTACATTCTGAAGACACAAAAAGGATATGATAGAGTCCCTAACCAGCAAAAATATAAGCATATAGACAAATAAATATACCAATGTGGCAGTGTAGGAGTTGATTCTGATGGGAGATTTGAGGGAGTCATGGAAGGCTACTGAAAGGTGGGTCACTTCTCCATAGGACCTCCCAGAGGGGCTGGGGGAAGAATGTTTTAGAAGAAAGAGCACAAGTGAAGGCTCAGCAGCAGGAGTGAAGGCTCAGGCACTGTTATGTTCAGGGGATAGTACAGTTTCCACTATGAAGGCGGAAACCCAGGCCAGGGCTAGGTGGCAAAAAGACATTCATAATTTCCTCAATATTCCTACCACATTTTAATTTATTAAGGTATCTATAACTTTTTTAAAAAATTTAATTTATTTATTTAAGAGAGAAAGAGAACACAGCAGAGGGGAGGAACAGAGGAAGAGGGAGAAGCAGACTCCCCGCTGAGCTAGGAGCCTGACCCAACCTGGGAGCGCAATCCCAGGACCCTGGGATCATGATCTGAGCAAAAGGCAGATGCTTAACCGACTGAGCCATCCAGGTGCCCCAAGGTATCTGTAACTTTTAATTTAATACGAGGAATAAGCATGTGCATGTTTTACTTGTTCCCATTATAAGGTCTCTGAAGACTGGGACTGTCTATATTCCTAGGTGCTCATTATCTATTGAATGAGTAAGCAAACAACTTTCTAAACCATTGTAGGGATTATTGTTTTGTATTTATTTTTTTCTATTTTATTATGTTATGTTAATCACCATACATTACATCATTAGTTTTTGATGTAGTGTTCCATGATTCATGTTTGCGTATAACACCCAGCACTGGGTGTTATACTGTTTTGTATTCTTAAAAGACTTCTAATTCCAAGATCGCACATGCTTACTTTTTGACTACATGCTCCCAAGGCTTGAGAGGTTAATCTGGTTCTGAGAGGATTTGGTCTAGAATCCAGAGATTCCACTCAGGTTCACCAGTATTCTTGGGTTTTCAGAGTTTTTAAACTTTATGTCCTAAGAGGTAGAGGGCACTTATTACTCACCAGTGACAATATGGGTTGGTTCTAGGATTTTAGAAACACAAGAATGACCAAGGAATTTGTTATTAAAAGTGGGAATCATTTTGGTAAAGTGTGCTGAGGCAGCAGCCCCAAAATTTGGTATTTTCTCTACAATGAAGAAAAACCAGATTACTATAGACTGGAGAGGGAAATCTTTCATCTATGCTGGTAACTAAATAACTTGTTTTCTAAATTCCTTTTCAATTCTAAGATTATATGACCAATGATTCTATGTTCTAGAGTGACATGACAGAGCCAGATTATGTTTATTAAACAATAGTTGTCAGTAGAATATATATATATATATCTTCTTTTATATATATATTATATACATATATATAAGAACATTCTTTTCATTAGACTCAACTTAAAAAAACTGACTTTGGATGCTATTAAATTAAGACAAATTAAATAGTGTAACATACCTACAACATTCTTCAAACCAACGTGCAACGTAATCCCACATATAATAAGGCTCAAAGGAATTAAAGAGAAGGTTGGCAGTTTTAATCAGCTCTGCTGTTTTCTTATTTTCCCTTAATTTACTAAAAAAGGAAAAGAGAAACAAAAACTGAAAAAATATTAACATCTATTTTTTTCAGAATTAAATTTGAGTGCAATGTTGTTAGGGCAGTTCATATTCCTAGGTAGCTGCTAGAACACTTGCTAGTGAGAAAATCGCAACAAATAATTTTTATATACTGACATTCTATTACTTTATGTGTAGTTACTTCTCCAAATTCAGGTTTTCATACTCAAATGTATGATCAAGATCAGAAATTAGCGTATAAGAAAAAATATCTGTGCTTCCAGCAAAAGAAGAGCAAGTTATTTTTGAACTTTTGAGTGCCTGTTAATTTGGCATTACATTCTTTTGTTTCCCTTGGAAATTACTATTCTTAGCTGAAAAACAACAAAATAATACTGTAAATTTCCATGATTACTGAAATTCCATCAGGGAAAAATAATTTATTTCAAGTGGGGAACATCTGGACTATTAAGCACCCACCTACCTACCATCTCCTGCCAACCTTCCTAACAATTAAAACAGTTGTTTTTATATAGTGAGGTACTGTCAATACAGCTAGCATATTACAGCACAAAAGACTAACTGAATACTCTATGGGGCAATACAGATTATCAGGCAGAGTACAAAATGAAATCAAGTACCAGGGTAGTCAATATTAACTTCTCAAACAAAAATTACAGGAATATTTATCAGAAATCAAAAGCTGTCTTAAAATGTTTTAATAATGTAAAACTGTGTTTTAGGAAAGCCCAGGTTATCTCCAAAGCCCACTAAGGAAACACAAATGGAATGCAAATTATGTAAAAGAAACTAAAGTCTTGAAACCTTTGTCATAATGACAGATGAGACTGGAAAACAGGCTGCTGAAAGTAGAGAAGAAATGAAAAAGTAAGACCTTGTCAACATGAATCTATCACTGACTAGAGAAAAGGATATGCTAATATTACATGACTTTTCCCAGGGATTAAAAAAATATGTATTTATATATATATGAAAGAAGAAATAACCATAACTTGAAAAAAAACTTGTTGAAAGAACTCCTGGTGTCCTTTGATTCATTTAGCGCCACGTTAAATCTTTTTCTGAACTACGATTTGGTCTCCTGAGTGTGTCAAGTAAGCAAGAGGCACAACTCCATGCAAACATCCAGGCCTAGTACCAAGCAAGGTACAACTTCCATCCCTAACTGACATGTGGCAGTTAATCTCTTCTGAGTTTGGAAAGTGTGAATAAATTCCCTGGAATCTATATCTTCACATTAATTGCTAAAATTTAGTATTCTAACCAGATAGATTGAGAACCAACCTGGAATGTGGTGGTTCTACTATATAATGCTTAAGCTGTAAATGCCTATTTGAAAGATCAGTGCAGTTCATTATGAGAGTTCATACTGCCAGAATACAGTAATATTTAAAATCAGATTTACTCATTCAGAACATAAATTCCATGAGGACATCTTTATATCATGCTTAGGTTTTTGGTAATCCACCTGCTTAACTGAGCATGATCCTTGCTGAAGGGTGGTTCCATTTGAAGATCCAATTCTGCTTTGCACTGAGAATATAATGTTCTAAATACTTCAATTAGGACATCTTCCAGAATTACAGGTCCTAAAATTAATATACATATTAAAGGCAATAATTAATTAGCATTGACACTTCAGGATTATTTACAAGTTGGCCTGATCATAGGATGCTTTAAAACAACTATTTTGAAAAAATAATTTTTTCTGGAAGCTATACTAAACTTCACATTTTGATCTGAACAAATGTTTATTTAAAAATAGGTTGACATAATAAAAATGACAAAATCAAGGAAGTATGTTTTGGCAGTTAAAATAACAATATACTTGGAAAAGTTATTTAACTTCTCTGAGCTTTGGTTTCCTCACCTAGAATGAGGGTAATACCAAACTTACAGGGCCGTTACAGGGTTGGGAAAAAAATATTTGTAAGGTGGGGAGCATAGTTCCCAGAATATAATGAGTATTCAATACTTACATTATTACTAATGTTATTTTAAATGATATAAAAATGCACAAGGCAAATTTTGCTACAACAGATGCTAATCTCCTTAAAAAAATGTTCTGAGCTTCATCTATTATCACACAATAGCTAAAATAAATTCTCAAAGCCACTGAACAACTCAAATTATTTTTATATTTAAAATTTTTCATTTTTATTTTGAGTTGGTGAGAAGACACGCACATTTGCTAAAACATCTGCATGTAATTTAATAAAATTACATACTTTATTATTTCATTTTATTGTTTCTAATATTTTTGGTTTTTCTTAATTTCTGTCTCAGGTGCCATAACTAACTTTCCAATAGAGCTAATATCTGAGAAATATACAATGAAGATAGGGAAAACACAGAAAACAAGGGGGATGTGGGGAATCAAGCTGAGGGAGAGGACGTCATAATAGATCATAAATGCTTCAATAACTTAATCAGGACTAAGAAGAGCTTAGATAGTATCTTTAAAACGACTCCTCCATTATATATATCACAAGGTAAAAATATGAGAACATATGGCTTGGATGTATACATCTGTACCTTCTTAATGTTCTAGAGTAAATTTTAGTAAGAAATTGTTGAGAACCTGTATTTGAAGACCACCTCGAAATACAGCAATTTCTCTACATAATGATTTTGTCTTATTTTTATTATGAAACAGTACAAAACAACCACACGTGATCTTATGCCCTAGGACAGTATATATTACCTAGCTCAGGTTTGTCAAGTAAACTGATTAAAATACGAAAAGGTTTTAGATCCTGCATTAAAGTGCTCTCTTCTCCAAATCCATTCACTTGTAAGATCCCCACCATTGCCTTTAAAAAAGAAAAAGTATATTAGTCATTTAAATAAACAGATGCAAAGACTTTTTTCTTAAGAAAAAATTTAAATACGACCATATGTAATGGAGATTTACATCTATTGCTTTTCTGAAGTTCTTTCACTGAAGTTAGCTTTTTTCCCCTGCTAAGGGGAAAAAAAAGTTATATTCATCCATTTTGAGGGGAAAAAAAGAGTGCTTACATTTTCTCTAGAAAAAAAGTGGAAAAGTTAAAGAAAATCTAGAAACATAAATTCATGAGTTACTTTGACTTTTTGCCTGAAAGATAAAAATGTTTCTATTTAATATCATCAACAGGCCCCAAAGTATGGCACAGTACTGTGACAGCGTCTGTTACTATTCAATTGTCTTCCCACTGGTAACTCAAAACTGTATTCTTTTTTTTTTTTAATGTTTTTTTTTTATTCTTATGTTAATCCCCATACATTACATCATTAGTTTTAGATGAAGTGTTCCATGATTCATTGTTTGTGCATAACACCCAGTGCTCCATGCAGAATGTGCCCTCCTCAATACCCACCACCAGGCTAACCCATCCTCCCACCCCCCTCCCCTCTAGAACCCTGTTTGTTTTTCAGAGTCCATCGTCTCTCATGGTTCGTCTACCCCTCCGATTTTCAAAACTGTATTCTTATAACCTCACTCATTTAAAAATGCTTCAGATACCATGTATTTTCTGTTACTGAGTTATCTTGAATATCTCATAATTAAAGTAAAAATAATATAAAATAAAACTATGGCTCATTTTAACCTTTCCATTACAATAGTAGTTTTACCACATTTAGATTCCTCTTGCAACCAAAATTTCCATGAGGCTTCAGAGGAAATAACACAGGTTCTAGCTCATTTTTGGAAGAGCTCCAATTCATAGGGCAGATAGGTGAGAAGATGAAACTACGTTTTCATAAAGTCATGAGAACAAAGTTAAGAAAGATCTCTGGACTTATAAAGAAGTGAGTCTATCTTAAGATTCCTTACTCGTTTTATTGTAATCATTTGCTTGTTACAGTCATTCTTAGGATATTTGTGAGCCTTGTCTCCACCCTTCAATGATGAACTAATTCAATTAAGGCATGACCTTGTCTAACACTTTGTTGAGTAACTCCACTGATCAGGGAGTAACCAAAAAATAAAGTGAAAGCATTCGTTACCTGGACCAACAATTCTTTTGAAAAGGTAGTGAAATAGTAAGTGGCATGTTCTTCAGGATTACTGTGCCTTGTGCTTCTGGGTCCTATCATAGCACCGTTGTTATCAAAACCTCCATGGAAGCAAATAGCAAAATAAATTAAAATGGAATTCTCCTAACTGTTGTTCACTAAATACCAAAACAGCAAATATCTCAAAAACAGCACCAAACACTTACCAATTAGTAGCCCAATCAATGTCAGCAAGAGAGATCATTTTAGATAGTTTAATAAAGGGAAACCAGTTCAATACTTAAGTGAATATCATAGTATTCTTCCAGCATTATCCTGTATTTTTTTTCAATCTTACTAAGAGTGAAATAACTGAGGATTCAGAAAACCCAAGATAAGTTATATTGTATCTTTTCACTCTGGGCAGTAAGGAGTTATGAAGACAGGCCAAACACTCACAGAAAGTATGGAAGAACAAAGCAGTTATTGCTTGAGTGGGAGACTGGTAAGGAACCATGTGTGAGATAATAGTAATTGTTGATTCCTTTGATGACTTCGAAGTTTTGGAAATTGTTATTATTTTGGTTATTAATCTATCTTTCCTTGTCTACAGACTCTTGTCAAAGGAAACATGACTTATGGGTTAAAATAGCCTCTGTTGTTAAGGTTTTGAAATTTTTTCATATAATACACAGTTAATACTATTTATATTTTTACTGTCTATTTAAGCAGACTATGAGTTTCTTCATTTAGGACATACATAAAACTTGTTAATACTTAGGTATGGCAAATTTCCCTCTGTCTTTCCTCAGCTAAGACCATACACATCAAACACCTACCAAGAAGCCATGCATAAAGTCTCCGGTTCAGGGACATATCCCTCCTCAGTACTACGTGAAGGGCTGCTGACAAGATCCTGATCATATCTGGTCGAGTGGCCTGAAAAAGTTCGAAACGTGGTTTTACTTAATCACATACAAAAACACATTCCTTTCTTTCCTCTTTAAAAAAATCCCACCTTGCAATATACTCAGAATGTTACGGCTTAGGAGGTAAGTTTCATATAGGACTCATTTGACTTTTCAAACACAGGAATGATTACTTCCCTTTTACAGATTAGGAAACAGTAAGAAAAGGTAGCACAGATATTTAGTTGCATAACTCAATTATTTTAATCTCCAGTTTAAAGTTCTTTATCCTATCCAATATTAGCAAGATCTGACACAAAACAAAAAAAATGGAGAGAAATGGAACAGATTCAAGAAAATCGCAGGCCTTTAGTCTTTCACATTCACAGTGGTGTCAACTGGCAGTAATTAAGTTAGAAGTTCACAATCTTCATCAATTCCAAGTCTTTCATTTCCTGATCTTTAAAACATTTTTATCTTGTATTTCAAATATATAGAAAAATAAAGAAAACAATATAACGAAATGCTTTTGTACCCATATCCAACTTTAACACATCTTAATTTTTTTCTTTTTACTCCAGATCTTCTAAAGAGAAAATTCATTTCTTTCTCTGCCTTTCCTAATAGCCTTAATTAGATGTTCAAAAAATGATTTCCTAATGGTCTGGTTTTAGCTAAAAGAGGTGAAGTTAAAAGAAAGATAAAAGGAAGACAGCTAATTGAATTGCTATTAAAGTATTACTAGATAATGACTTTAGAATAAAATTGTGGAATCTGAGCATTAGAAGGTAATGTGGAAATCAACTATAGTCTAAAAATCATTCTAGAATAAAAAAACAGAGCCTCACAGGGCCTAAGTACTTAACCAAATATCTGGTTAGTACCTCACCTGAATAAAGAACCTTTTTTTTTTAATTTGAACAATTTTTTTTTTTTTTTTTGAGAACAGACTTCTTAATCATTGACTTGTCAACTTTTCACTATACCATGCTCCTTGACAGTACTGGAAAAGGATGCACCCAGCTTATTTGTTTTAAAGGAATCTTAGAAATTTAAGATGTTACAGAACACAGATCATCAATAGCTGAAAAAGTATGGTCACTCATCTGAGCACAGATGCCTTTTATTAACCTAAGCAATTCTCAAAGGGTGGTTCCTGAACTCCCGGGGATTTCTAAGACCCTTTCAGGAGGTCCAAAAGGTAAAAACTATATTCCTGACAATACCAAGATGCTATCTGCCTTCTGAGATGTGTTGACATTTGCTCTGATTGAGCAATACTGGGTAAACCTGCCAGCACCTGAGCATGAACAGAAGCAATACAGCAGTGGCATTTACTGTCCTTGGAGTCGGGATTTTTTACTGTCATGTACTTACAGTAAAATTAAAAACAAAGACAAAAAAGCTAGTTTCCCTTAGGAATGTTGTTAATGAAGCAGAAAAAAGTTTATTTTATTAAATATTAGCCCCTGCACCCAAATCTTTTAATACTGTGTAATGAAATGGGGAGTATACACAAAACACTTTTGACATTACAAGACAGATGTCTTGAGGAAAAGCACTGTGTGACTGAATTGTGAGCTGTACTACTCGTTTTTGTTTTGTTTTGTTTTGTTTTTTACCAAATACCACTTTTACTTGAAAGAGGGACTGATACAAACTATGATTACTCAGACTTGAACACCTGGCAGATATTTTCTCAAAAATAAAGGGAGACTGTCACTTCAAGAAAAACAATTAATATTCATAATAACAGAGAATAAATTTTGAGCTTCCAAGAGAAAATTACAATTGTTAAGATTTTATTTTTAGGGGGCACCTGGGTGGCTTAATCGTTAAGCATCTGCCTTCGGCTCAGGTCATGATCCCAGGGTCCTGGGATCAAGCCCCGCACTGGCTCCCTGCTCAGCGGTAGGCCTGCTTCTCCCTCTCCCACTCCCCCTGCTTGTGTTCCCTCTCTCGCTGTGTCTCTCTCTGTCAAATAAATAAATAAAATCTTAAAAAAAAAAAAGAAGATTTTACTTTTAAGTTATCTCTACACCCAACATGGGGCTCGAACATAACAACCCCAAGATCAAGAGTCACATGCTCTACCAACTGAGCCAGCTAGGCACCCCAAGAAAATTAAAATTTTAGAAAATCTGTATTTGGCTTGAAAGCTTCCCAATACCTAAAAAACTTTACCTATGAGATTGGTGGTAGTAGTAAGCAATGTGACAGTTTGTTATTGTGTTAACCTCTGGAAGATCTGCATAATTCAGAACTAACATTTTCCAAATAACCAGTCATGATGTTATAAAAGCGTGTTTGGGGGCACCTGGGTTGCTTAGTTGGTTGAGTGACGGACTCGACCTCAGCTTGGCCTAATCTCGGGGTCCTGAGTTCAAGCCCCACCCCATGCCCAGCGAACAAACAAATAAAACTTTGGGTAAAAGATGTATTCAAAGTACAAGACAGATCAGATTTTCATGAAACAGAATATGAAAAGTTCACTGATTTGGTTTTAGATTCCATATTGCAATTAATTTTTTTAAAACTACAGCTTACTGAGTTTTGGTGCAGTATCGAAGAATACGCTGATTTAACAGCAAAAGACTGCTGAAACACTCCTCCCTTTTCCAATTATGTATCAGTGAGAGATCTTTTTCCATACACTTCAATCGAAAGAAAAAAAATCACAAAAGATTGAACACAGAAGCAGATATGAGCATTCTGCTCTGTACTATTAGACCAGACATTAAAGAAATTTGTGGAAAAATAAAACAATGCTACTTTATTCACCATTTTTTTAAATGTGTTGGCAAAGAGTTACTTTCATAAAAAGTTATCTATACTAACATGATAACTTTGTTACTGCTATCTTTATTTTTATTTATTTATTTTTAAGATTTCACCTTTTCATTTGAGAGAGAGGGAGGGAGAGCACAGAGGAAGAGTAAGAGGGAGAAGCAGACTCCCCGCTGAGCAGAGAGTCCGACTAGAGGCTTGATCACAGGACCCCAAGATTATGACCTGAGCTGAAGGCAGACTCCCAACCGACTGAGCTACCCAGGCGCTCCTGTTATCTGTTATATTTAAATGAATTAGTAAATATTTAAAAATCTGTTTTAATTTCTAATATGATATAGACAGATCTAAACTACATAAGCAAAATATGTTTTTAGGATCCTCAATATATTTTTTTAAAGATTTATTTATTTTAGAGAGCGAGTGAGCAGGCGCACACATGCAAGTGAGCATATGAACAGGGGAAGGGACAGATAAAGAGGGAGAGAATCCTCAAGCAGACTCCCCACTGAGTGGGGAGCCCAAAGTGGGGCTTGATCCCAGGACCTTGAGACCCTGGGATCATGACCTGAGCCAAAATCAAGAGTCAGACCCCTAGCCAACTGAGCCTCCCAGGTGCCCCAGGATCCTCAATATTATTTATTTATTTATTCATTCATTCATTCAAGATTTTATTTATTTATTTGAAAGGGAGTGAGAGAGAGCACACGGGCAGGACCAACTGAGCCACCCAGGTGCCCCTTGATCCTCAATATTATTTATTTATTCATTCATTCATTCAAGATTCTATTTATTTGAGAGGGAGACAGTGAGAGAGAGCACACAAGCAGGGGGGAGCTGGACAAGAGGCTTGATTCCAGGACCCTGGGATCATGTCCTGAGCTGAAGGCAGATGCTTCACCGGCTGAGCCACCCAGGCACCCCAGGATCCTCAATATTTTTAAAGAGCGTAATAGGGTCCTAAAACTAAAGCATTTGAGAACTGCTGTTCTATCTAACATCAGATATGAAGATTACAGACCTTTTCACAAAATCTTGGTAAGTACTAATGTCTTGGGGTGCCTGGGTAGTTCAGTTGGTTAAGCATCGGACTTTTTTTTTTTTTTTTTAAAGATTTTATTTATTTGAGAGAGAGAGTGAGAGAGAGAGAGAGAGAGAGCACAAGAGGGGGGAGCGGGAGAGGGAGAAGCAGACTCCCTGCCGAGCAGGGACCCCGATGCGGGACTCGATCCAGGGACTCCAGGATCATGACCTGAGCCGAAGGCAGTCACTTAACCAACTGAGCCACCCAGGCGCCCATGCATCGGACTCTTGATTTTGGCTCAGGTCATGGTCTCCAGGTTGTGGGATCAAGCCCCCTGTCTGGCTCCCTGCTCAGCAGGGAGTCTGCTTCTCTCCCTCTCCCTTTCCCTCTGCACATGTGCTTGCTCTCCCTCTCTCTCTCTCAAATAAATTTTAAAAAAAAATTTTTTAAGTACTAATGTCTCTCAATCTTATTTTGAAAAACAAAAACAAAAACAAACTCTTTTATTTTTAAAAAAAGATTTGTTTATTTTAGAGAAAGTGCATGCTTGGGGGGGAGGCCGGGGAAGAGAGAGGGGAAGAGAAGCAGACTCCCTGCTGAGTGTGGAGCCCAACACAGGCTGCATCTCAGGACCCTGATATCATGACCTGAGCTGAAATTAAGAGTCAGTTGCTTAACTAACTGAGCCACCCATGTGCCCTCCTCTCCCTCAAACTACTTTTTAAATTTTTTTAAAGATTTTTTATTTATTTATGAGAGAGAGAGACAGTGAGAGAGAGAACACAAGCAGGGGGAGTAGGAGAGGTAGAAGCAGGCTTCCCGCTGAGCGGGGAGCCCGATGTGGGGCTCGATCCTAGGACTCTGGGATCATGACTGGAGCTAAAAGCAGACACTTAATGACTGAGCCACCCAGGCGCCCAAACTACTCTTAAGAACGTAAGAAGTCACTTCTTGATTACAGTTGACATTGCCACACATTTCTAATATGGAAAAGAACTCTCACTTAAAGATATAAGTATTAGAGATTAGGGTCAACTCTCCATGAAATAAGTAGAGAGAGTCTAAGAACCCATCAACTGCTGAAGCTATTAACAGCAATCACTTTTGGGACAATGTAATGAAGGCTCTCTTAAGTTATGATTACAATCAATATTTGCTTAAAATTGATTATATATGAAAGATATGGAAAGAGGAAAAGTGGGGAACAAAGATGATTTGTCTTTCCATATTCTCAGGTAATCTAATAATCTGGTAGAGTAATAGGGGGAAAATATAATTGGGTCTGGGTAGGGTATGTATTAAAAAAACATTAAATACAGCTATTGGTTTTATAATACAAATTATAAAAGGTAACGCTTAAGAAAATCTTGGCTGGTAGGAATACAGAGGTGGTACATTAAGAAAGTACTGAAGGAAATTCAGCTAAACAAAAGGTTGAGAAACACTGGTCTAATGAGATTACAAATTAAGTTCTTCCCAATTTAAGTCTACCATGACTTAATCCCTCAGATCTTGCTGAAGTCACCTATCAGTATACTGAAAGACTAATAACGTTAAATGCTTGGAAGGGAAGAAAACAATGGGAAAGTTTAAGAGTAAAGGTCAATACATTTTTTTCAATAAAGACCCAGGTAATAAATATTTTAGGCTTTTGAGCCATATACATTACTTTAGCATATTCTTCTTTGCTTTCTTTTATGAGTCTTTAAAAAAGTCAAACTCATTACACTACCTGACAAGCTGTTTGCCCACCCCTATACTGGTAAGTTTAGACTAGACTTATGTCCCAGCAGGTGTTTCTATGAAAAGCCAGAGGCAGAGTAAAAGCCTCTGGTTTAAGGATGGAAAATCTCAAAAACAGAAAATGGGGACAGTTTATGTCCCAATTAGGGACTACAGGCAATGACGTGTAAAATTCTTCAATTATTAATAATTCAATTTCAAACTGAATAAAGTAATAAAGAAAAATGTGAGCATGACAGATCATAATGAAAATTCATTAGTTATCTACTAACCATAGTTCTTACAAAAACCCAAAATAATAGTCTTTTCTGCTAATGACTTTTTAGAAATAAATATCTTTTTCCAAGGTAGAAATTTTCCATATCTTATTACTTTTGTTCTTCCATTCTGAATGTTCACATATTGGTGTTCTACATAACTCCTTATCAAAGTTTAGACCACCTCTTTAAAAATGAAGACATTGATTACATTTCCACCAATGAAACACTTCACTCATGATTTGTTAACTGTTCTCATTTGTAATAAAACTACTAGAGACTGTCACAGTGACTGAATATTTGGCTTTCAAACTGAACTCTGCTACGGGTCTGACATAAATCACCAAATCGCCAAACTAAGAAAAGGTAAATTACATCAGGACAGAGATAACAGCTGGGTAGAAGGCCTGGGTCACAGAGTCCTGCGTCACTCAGAGCTAGCAATGATTACCTCTTGTTTTTTATAGGTTAGAACTTTTTTTAAAGGTATGAAAAATCTATTTTACTTTATTTTATTTTATTTTTTAGAGATTTTATTTATTTGACAGAGAGAGAGACAGCGAGAGCAGGAACACAAGCAGGGGGAGTGGGAGAGGGAGAAGCAGACCTCCCGCCGAGCAGGGAGCCCGATGCGGGACTCAATCCCAGGACCCTGGGATCATGACCTGAGCCGAAGGCAGACGCTTAACGACTGAGCCACCCAGGCGCCCCTGAAAAATCTATTTTAATTTCCATGTTCTTATGCAAATCAATAAACTTTTTTTCAAAATTTCCATAAATTCTACTTTTTTTTTTTTTTTTTTAAGATTTTATTTATTTCCTTTGAGAAAGAAGGAGAAGATGAGTTGGGGGGAGGAGAAGCAGAGGGGGAGGGGGAAGCAGGTTCCCCGTTGAGCAGGGAGCCTGATGTAGGGCTCAATTCCAGGACCCTGGGATCATGACCTGAGCCAAAGGCAGACGCTTAACCAACTGAGCCACCCAGGTGACCCTACAAATTCTACTCCTTAAAAAAGGAACTTGTTCACAACTCCTGGGTGGCTCAGTTGGTTACGTGTCCGACTCCTGATTTCAGCTCAGGTCTTGATCTCAGGGTTGTGAGTTCAAGCCCTGCATGTATTCTACATAGTATGTATTGTACTTACCAATTCATAAAACAAAAGAATTCAACTTAAATCCAACTTAAAAAATAACTATACATCAGGAATCTATGGTTTTCCAAAGAATTCCTTATATTAATGTCATTATTAATGTTTTACCTGACTCATGTGGAATGGAAAACAGAAGAGTATGAGGTCCAATGTGCTTCTCTGTACAAGTACACTTGAGTCCTGCACTGAAGTACTTACTGCTTCTACCTGAAATAAAGAGAGCCTTTAATATCTATTGCCTGTTACACTGGGAAAGATTTACCATGCAAGTGGAATGCTTCATTTTCTCCAATAGACAGAAGTATCCTTCTCAGTTTCTTATCACTGATGAAATGTATTTACATTATTTTGAATAGGTAAATATATTATGATGGTTTAAAAAAAATTAAGGCACACAATAGAGTATATACAGCAAAAAGTTCTCTTCCATATTTGTCTCCCAACCACTCAATTTCCTTTTTGCATGCAACCAGTATAACTAGTGAATATTTCCTACAAATATAAGTAAATAAAAACACACATGCATATATCCCAAATTTTGCCTTTTTCTTTTAATAATAGATTTTGGAGATCTTTCCTTAATACTACATACACAGCTTCACTATTTTTTCATGGCTAAAGACTATTTCATAGATGAATCCTAATTTTTTAATAGGCTTCTAATGATATTTATGCTGTTTGTAAATATTTATTATTGTAAATAATGCTACAATATACAGATGTACAAGTACCCATGTAGGATAAATCCCTTAAAATAGAACTGCTGGGTCTTGGGGTATATGCATTTGCAGTATAAATAATGCAATGCATTCCATTAAGGTTATATATATTTATATTCCCACCAGCTTTGTGTGACAATTTCTGTTTTTCCATGTTTACCCGTGTGTGTGTGTGTGTGTGTGTTTCCATTTTTGCCAATCTGATATATGAAATTGGTATCCTGGTGTAGTTCTTTTTTATATTGTATGATCCCATTTATATAATATTCTGGAAAAAGTACAACATAGGAACAGAAATCAGACCAGTGTTCACAAGGGCCTGGGAGTATGAAGAGAAATAACTACAAAGGGCCCCAGAAGAACTTTTGGAGTGATGTAAATAGTCTTTATTTTGATTATAGTATTGGTTACTCGACTGTAGGCATTTGTCAAAATTCATACTACTGTACACACAAGATTTTATTTTCAGTGTACATTAATTATAGTTTAATAAATGTAACCAAAAATCTGCATAAAAATCTCAGTCTCTTCATAATCATATGGGAAAAAAGTGCAGGATGATTAACCATAATTACAAAAAAAAACTTTTCATAGTGACCGTTGAAGGTTTGTTTTTTACTCCTTGCTAATTTTCACAATATAGCACTCTACAGAGATAAAAGGTTTCCCTCTGTTCTTAATCTAGAAATTAAAAAGTATAAGCAATCAATGTGATTTTTTGGGTACTATCTTTCACCATCTCCTTTGGTACTATATCTTCTTGTGCAAATTCCATACAGAATCTGGCTGTCACTTTGTTGAAAATCCATCATTCCTATAATGAAAGCTATGACTGAGGAGAAGGTCCCCTTTGGAATGACATAATTAATGTGGCTATGTTAATAGTGGTCTGATCAGTTATAAAGATGGTAATAAAGACCATTTATTTGCTTGAGTAGCAGCTGGAGATAACATATAACCTACAATTCCTTCCCCATGAAAAAAATTTTTTGAAGCTTTTAAAAACAATTCTTAGTGACTACTTTGGTCTTTAAGTTTCCTTGATGAAAACTGTGAGTTCCATGAAAACAGGAACTCTGTTCGTGGCACAATTCTCACTATCTGTCTGGAATAGTGTGCCTGGCTCGGAAGAAGTATGTTACGTGAGCAACCATACATAGACGTACCATTAGCTCAATATCACTGCCAATTATATAAAGTTGATCTTCCATGGAAAGCTTCCTGTTCAAATGGGCGAGAACATATGTGATTCCTGGTAACCGTACAGCAGGACTGGTGAGGAGACTACCCCAGAGGGCACTGTAGAAGGCTGACTGGTCCACGGCAGCAGCAACCTTTTCCAACAAGGTGTTTGTTCTGAGATACAAAACAAAGGGGCTTAAGAAAACAAGCATTTAGTTTCACGTTGTTAAAAAGAAATTCTTCTCCTCCAGAATGTATGAAAGCATTCCCACTGTTGTTCCATGCTTTGCCCTGGAGACAAGTGTGACAGACTAGAACTGTATACTTCAGAGGACTGGATTTCAGCCATGGCTCCCCCATTTACTAGCTGTGTAATTTGGAAAAGTCACTTAATCTTTCTTCAGTTCCGTGTCCTGATCTGTAAAATGAAGATAACAACAAAACACCCCTAGTCCTATACATCTTAGTTACCAGTAATCCTACAGCAGAATGTATTTTCTGTTGCATTTCTATGAAATTCTTTTTTTTTTTTTTAATGGAGGCTCTACACCCAGTGTTGGAGCCCAACATGGGGCTTGACCTCATGACCCTGAGATCAAGACCTGAGCTGAGCCAGATGCTTAACCGACTAAGCCACCCAGGTACCCCTCTATGAAAAATTTTAAAAATATTTGAGAGAGAGAAAACATGCACATGTGTACTGCATGTGTGCACAGGGGGAGTAGCAGAGAGAAAGGAAGAAAGAGAATCTCAAGCAGGCTCCCTCTGGAGCCCAACAACCTGGGGCTCAATCTCACATCCCGAGATCATGACCTGAGCAGAAATTATGAGTTGGGACACCGAATGAGCCACCCAGGTGCACCCCTCCCTTAAGTAGACTCCACACCCAGCATGGAGCTCAATGTGGGGCCTGAACTCACAATCCTGACATCAAGACATGAGCTGAAATCAAGAGTCGGACACTTAACCAAATGGGCCCCTTCTTCCCCACCCCATGAATTCTTAAAGGACGTTTTCCAAATGTTTCCTTCTCTTTGAAATCATATTATGTAATTCACAATAACTTTGAAACTTTGTTGGAGATTCTAGCAGGGGAGCACAGCTATTCATATAGCCTTGACTGAAGAATGGTCTTCCTCTATTGTGGAAGGTTGTCTACTTTGATCAAGCATACAGCTTCAGGAGGCACACACATGGAACAGTGAAGGAAGAAGGGGCCACCTGCCTAGTCAGCCAGGTCAGTTGAATCAACCCTAGTGATCAATGCACCGGTGACAGATGTCACAGCCAGATTTCCTCACATCCTGTAATTCATAAAACTTTAATGAATCAGACCTATAACAAAATCAAAGATGCATTATTGCTTTATTAAGGACTACATTTAAAAATAAATTACATTTGGGCGCCTGAGTGGCTCAGTGGGTTAAGCGACTGCCTTCGGCTCAGGTCATGATCCTGGAGTTCCGGGATCGAGTTCCGCATTGGGCTCCCTGCTCAGCAGGGAGTCTGCTTCTCCCTCTGACCCTCCTCCCTCTCATGCTCTCTGTCTCTCATTCTCTCTGTCTCAAATAAATAAATAAAATCTTTAAAAAAAAAAAAAAATAAATTATATTTGATTTGTTTCAAGCATAGAAAAACATAACACCTAAAAATTTATTACACTGTAGTAGAGTCAGAATCAAAAGAATCTGATGATGCGTTCTACTGTTTACTTGCTATATGATTTAACCTAACACTATACTCCCTTCTGGCCTTAATAGATCTATGGATTAAAAGAACATGTTTATAAATCCCTTTATTAGAATTTGTGTAGAATAACTACTAAAACATAATGCTATGGTCTGAATGTTTGTGTCTCCTCAAAAGTCATGTTAAAACCCTATCCCCCTAAAACGATGACATCAAGAGAGGCAGAGCCTTTGGGACGTGCTTAAGTCATGAGGGTGGAACTCTCATGAATGAGATTAGTGTTCTTATGAAAGAAATCCCACAGAAACTCCATAGTCCTTTCCACCGTGTGAGGACACAGAGAGGAGGCTTCAGTTATGAACCAGGAAGAGGGCCCCTCACCAGAACATGACCTTGTTGATACCGATACTGGACTTCCAGCCTTTAGAACTGTGACAAATTTGTTGTTTATAAAGCTACCCAAACTGTGGTATTTTGTTACAGCAGCTCAAACGGACTAAGACACGTAACGAGGCAAATCATAGGCTACCACACTCATAAAAATCATTATTATGTTAAATTTTTAATTGTGACTAGCAGACTTATAAAGTGTTTCCCTTAGAATATAACAATTAGAAACACAACTCAGTTATATACTAAATGAAATTGTCGTATGTTTCTAAAATTGTAAGCAAGTAAAAAAGTTAACAAAAGAAAGTTTTTAGACAAAAATTATATTTTCTCCAAGTAGCTTAGGAAGGTAATCCAGTGTTTTCAGGATTAGATTCTTACCGCATTATAGGAACATATGAACCACAATAAAACAGAGTAGCTGGTCAGTGCATCAGAATAAATTATTTAAATTTAAATCATTAAGTGTACTCATAAAATAAGCTTGGCATTTTCTGTTTTTGCCACCTCAACTCACAATTTCCTCTGTGGTAAGAATATCAGTAACAAGCTACTAAAGATAGTTAATGCCATCATGCATTGTCTATAACTATAAACTTCCTAAGAAGTAGTAATAGGCTCCAAAACAGATTAATTCATTTTCTTTAAAAAGTTAAAATATCAAGAGCATCATGTCACAGCTAGTGAAACAGCACTGTAGTTGGTGTTAGGCTCTTTTCCACCACTAGTAAGTTAAAAACTGTTGGCACATGGTCCAATTTCCCATTCTTTTTTAATTTAAGTTCCTATATATTATTATCTTAAATTATGGATTGCAGTTTTTTGAGTGACTTATATGTGCTAACGACTAGACTAAGTGATTTCATTATTACAGTAACAGAATGGAGTATTATGTTTGTTTTACAGATGAAGAAACTGAATAAAGTTCTGAAATGCTGAAAAAGCTTTCCTAAGCTGTCCAGTGTCTGTCGAGCCAGGATTTGAACCCAGTCCATCTACCTCCCAAGTCTGTGCTCTTATTACCTACCTATATTTTCAGTGCAATACACAAACTACATATATTAAAATAATTTTTTTTGTTGTTATAGAAACTTTCAGGTCATATATTGAAGTGTCTAGAATAATTAATTTTTGTGATGTTAAAACATTATTAATCCAAGGATGCTTACTGACAAATCTATGACTTTGCTTACTTAGCTGCACCAATAACAGCACCACCTTACCTCTCATAGTACTCCGATCCTTCTTCTAAGCCAGGCAGAATACCAGTTAGCAATCCTTGTAGACCAGGCTTCAGTGTTTTACCCAAAGGCAGGTAATAGATCTCATACAAACTTAGCAATGTTGGTTTCACAGACATGGCAGCATTCGCAAGAAGAGGAAATAACCCAGAACTGTTTAAAAAATAGAAACAAAAGGGGGTGGGGAGAAGCACTTTAACTACAAAATATTAATTCATATGTACCTATATATATAAATATAAATCTTGATTTAAATTTTGATGAAATAATAATTTCTACTGATCAACTCAAAATGAGATCCTCTATATTGATGACTTCTATATCCATTTAATCAACTCAGGTCTCTCACCTAAGCTTCATACTCATAAACCCAGTGGCTAGACTAGACTTTGACAAAGTCTTCAAATTTCACAATTTCAAAATATGGCATCACCATCCATCTGGTTGACCAAAAAGCTGTAAATTTAGGAGTGATCCTTGACTCTTAAAAAATTGCCTCTAACTTGTCATCAATCACTAAGTTTTCTCTCCGAGTCACTCTTCTAGATATTTTTAATACTGTAAATTATCTCCATCACTACCAGACTTTTCCTTAGAAGACACAACCATTATATAGAGCTCAATCACCCTGACTTACCAGGTACTGCTTTGGTATTTCCCCAAAGCACCTGTTCTCAGTAAAACCTTTCATTGGTTTCCTGTTGCCTTTCAGATACAGTCTAGTTTAATGTAGCTTTTACCATTTTTTGACATTTTGCTACTACATACCTCTGTACAGACCACATACAGCTCACCAATTTTGCTCTTGCACCTTCTGCTCCAGCTATACTGAAGAATTCCCTTCAGGTTTGTTTTAGAACCTTCCATGCTCTTTTTAGTGTCCAGGCCTTTCTACACGATGCTCTGACAGGTTCAATTCCTGCTCCTTTACTTACATACTTTTTGTTGTCTGGTGACCCCTAGACTTTCAGAAATTAGCCTAAGCCATTTCCTGGAGGAGACTGTCTTCTAATTAGACTAGGTTAGGCTCCCTATTTTGTGTTCCCATAGTACCCAATACTTACTTATTCAAGTAATTCTGTACTTATTAAACAATTCTAATAGGTAGTTCTGTAAATATCAGAAAGCAAGGGACCATGACTATCTTTTTGTTTCTGTATCCTAACGTCCTAGCATCACGTCCTCTTGCACTTAAGTGCTTAGCAAATACATTAAGAATCCCTTGCTCCTAGCTTATATAGTAAATAGAGGTCTTCAAGAGAGAACTCCCTCAGTTTCCCACTTTTCTGCCTCCAATTTTAGGTAGTCTGATCTAAATTTATAGTTGAAGCCTCCTCAAAGCTACCTTCCCCCATAAGTGCCAGGGCCCAATACCAGCTTTTGCCAGGGTCCTGCTTCATCCATTTTCCTTTTTTTCCTCCTCCTATAACTTCTCTCTTTCTCTTTTTGAGATTTTATTTTTAAAGTGATCTCTATACCCAACATGGGGCTCGAACTTACAACCCTAAGATCAAGAGTTGCATGCTCTACCAACTAAGCCAATTGGCAACAGTTTCGTAAGGTAAAATTTGTGTTATCGATGAGTTGAAAAATAGCAAGCCTGAGTTATAAAAGTCTTGCATTAAAAAGGAAAAATCTACTACCTCTGAAACTAATAATACACTATATGTTAACTAAATTGAATTTAAATAAAAGATTTAAAAAAAAAAAGAAAGGAAAATCTATCAGTTATTAGAGAATTACATGCAATACTGATTCAGAAATTTGTGGCTTTTCAAGTGCTGTTCTTTGAAAAGCAGTATTTATTACTATTAAAAATAGCCTGTTACTGAGTTCAGATAGTGTTTTTTAAGACACTGATGCAGAATTTAAAGATAAAACATATATGTACAGTACAGCAGACCAGGAAAGCTAAAAGTTTGTTTTTATTTTTTTTAAGATTTATTTATTTTAGGGTTGACTGGGTGGCTCAGTTGGTTAAAGCATCTGCCTTTGGCTCAGGTCATGATCCCAGGGTCCTGGGATCAAACCCTGCACAGGGCTCCCTGCTCAGTGGGGAGCCTGCTTCTCCTGCTCCCTCTGTTGCTCCCACTGTTTGTGCTCTCTCTCTTGCTCACTCTCTCTCAAATAAATAAAATCTTTAAAAAAAAAAAAGATTGATTCATTTTAGAGAGACAGCATGAGCAGGGGAAGGGGCACAGAGGAAGTGGAGGGGAGAGAGATAGGGAGAGAGAAGCAGACTCCTCACTGAGTGGGGAACCTGATGTGGGGCTCAATCACAGGACCCTGGGATCATGACCTGAACCGAAATCAAGAATTGGATGCTTAACCAACTGAGCCACCCAGGTGTCCCAAGTTTGTTTCTATTTTTATTTATTTATTTTCAAAGATTTTATTTATTTATTTGAGAGAGAGAGAGATGGTGGTGGGGGGGAGAGAAACAAGCAGACTCTGCACTGAGCATGGAGTCAGACATGGGGCTCCATTCCATGACCCTGAGATCATGACCTGAGGCAAAAACAAGAGTGGGTTGCTTAACTAAGCCACCGTAGTGCCCCTAAAAGTTTGTTTTTAAAAAGACTAACAAAACTGATAAACCCACGACAAGATTGATCAAAGGAAAAAAATAAGGTCTGAGGTACCAACATCAAGAGTGAAAGAGGGAAAGTGGATATGCATAGGCAAAAGAATGAAACTAGACCCCTACCTTATGCCACATACAAAAGTTAACTTGAAATGGAGTAGAGATTTAAATATAAGGCCAGAAACCATAAAACTCTTAGAAGGAAACATAGGAGCTTCCTGACATTGGTCTTGGCATTGATTTTTTAGATATGAAATCTAACGCACAAGCAACAAAAGCAAAAATGAACAACTGGGACTATATTCAACTAAAAAGCTACTGCACAGTAAAAGGTGATCAATAAAATGAAAAGGTAATCTATAGAATGAGAGAAAATATTTGCAAACCACATTATCTGATAAAAAATAAATATCCAAAACTAATTTAAGGGACTCATGTGACTTAATAGCAAAAAGCGTCAAATAATCCAATTAAAAAACAGGCAAAGGACCTGAACATTTTTCCAAAGAAGATATTGGAATGGCCAATAAGTACATGAAAAGGTGCTCAACATCATTAATCACCAGGGAAATGCATATCAAAAACACAATGGGGTATCACCTCTCAACTGTTAGAAAGGCTATTATCAAAAAGACAAGAGATGACAAAATGCTGGCAAGGATGTGAAGAGAACCCTTGTATGCTGTTGGAGGGAATGCAAACTGGTACAGTAATTATGGAAAATAGTATGGAGGTCCTTCAAAAAATTAAAAATAGAACTACAATATGATCCAGAAGTCTCACTTCTGGATATATATCTAAAGGAAATGAAATCATGACCATGAAGAGGTATCTGCACTCCATGTTTACTGCAGCATTATTTACAATAGCCAAGACATGGAAACAACTTCTATCCATTGACATATGAACAGATAAACTGTCACATGTGCTTGTGCATGTGTATGTACACACACACACACTCTCTCCCTGGAGTATTAATTGGTCATTAAAAAAAGAAACTTGTTTTTGTGACAATATGGATGGACCTCGAGGGCATTATGCTAAGTGAAATAAATAAGAGAAAAACAAATATTATATGATCTCACTTAAATATGGAATCTAAGAAAACCAAATGCATAAAAACAGAGAAGAGAATGGTGGTTGCCTGGGGTGGGTGGGGAGAAGTGGGTGAAAGTAGGCAAAGGTACAAATTTCAGTTACAAGATAAATAAGTTCTGGGCATATAAGGTACAGGATGGTGACTACAGTTAACAATAGTGTATTTGAAAGTTGCTAAGAGAGTAGACCTTAAAAGTTTTCATTGTAAGAAAAAAAATCCTAACTGAGGTTATGATGGATGTGTTAACTAAACTTATGGTAATCATTTCACAGTATATACATATATCAAATATGTAGTACACCTTAAACTTATACAATGTTGTATGCCAACTACATCTCAATAAGGATGAGAAAAAATTTCACATATATATGAAAAAAGAGAGAGAATTAGTGATCTGGAAGCTGGGAGGAGGAAATTACCCAGAATGCAACACAGAGAAGAGGTTTGAAAACAAGGAAGAGAGGATAAGAGATGTGGAAGCCAGAGTGAGAAGATCTAACACATGCTTACACATAGTTCCAAAAGTGGGAGAGAGAACAGATGGAGTAAAGGCAATTTGAAGAGATTCAGAATTGATGAAAGTTACTGATTCACAGAGTTAAAAATCCCAATGAATCCCAACCAGGATAAATAAAAAGATACCTCCCTCTAAATACATCACAGTAAAACTACAGGGTACTAATGACAAAGATGTAGAGGAAAGGCTCTTACAGATAGGGTAACTAGGCAAGTTTTCTCTGATTTGCTCTTTATTTATTTACCTATTAATGACAAAGAGAGAGACAGCAAGAGAGGGAACGCAAGCGGGGGGGTGGGGGGGGAGGGAGAAGTAGGCTTCCTGCCAAGCAGGGAGCCCGATGCGTGGCTCGATCCTAGGACCCTGGGATCACGACCTGAGCCAAAGGCAGATGCTTAACGACTAAGCCACCCAGGCACCCCGAGATTTGATATTTAATCAGAGACCTGGATTATAGCATGACAGGGTGAGGGAAACAAACAAAAAAATGAGGAAGAGTAAACAAAGAGACCTGTGTCACAGAATGGAGTACATTGGGTGGAAAGTGGTAGGAGCTGGACGTAATTGAGACAGGCAGGGCCAAAGTATATAAAACTTTAGAAGCCATAGTAAGGACTTTGAATTTTACTTTTAAGTAAACGGAAGAAGTCAATGGAGGTTTTTAGCAGGAGAATGACATCTATTTAATGTATTAAAAAGTTTACTCTGGTACTGTGTAGAGAAAAGGGTATAAAAGGATAAGAACAATATTATGTGCATGTTAGGAGGCCAGTGACATTACAGCAGATGCTGCCAGTGAGGATGGAAAGAAGTAGATGTACTGGAACATCTATCAGAACAATAGCTAATATTTATTGAGCACTTCTCATATGCTGCATTGTTCTAAGTACTTTATACGTGTTTACATTTTTAATTCTACTAACAATCCTGTGAAACTGGTAATCTTATTCTCATTTTGCAAATGAGAATATGCACAGAGAGGTGAAGAAAATGATCCAAGATCACAGAGCCGGTGAGTGGTAAACACAGACCATTTTGATTCTAAAACTTCTGTTCTTTACCACTAAGAAACAAAACTCTTGGTGACAGACCGTTCATGGGAGGAAGAAGAATATGGGCAAAGAAAACAAGATACTAAGTGTAACCCTTGGATTTCAGGCTTGTATAAATGAATGGAAAACGGTGCCATTTACTGAACTTTAGTGCACTCGCAGAAGGCTGGGTTTATAGAAAATGAGGTTAGGTTGGAAGAGGGTGAGCTTCCAACAGCTTCCAGTTGCTTTTATAGAACCACACAGAGATGACAAGTAAGCCAGAAGTTTAAAGCAGAAGCCAACACTGGTGATACCAAGTTGGGAGTCCGCACTTAAAGGATACACCACAGGTGTGGATAAGCTCACCCAACAAAAGAATATAAAGTGAAAACGTGAGACTAAGCAAGCTTTAAGAAATTCCATATCTCCATATGAAGACTGAGAAAGTAAACTGCAGAATATAAACCAACAGAAAAAGACTTTTGCAGGTAAAGACAGTCAACTACATTGAAAGCTGCTGAGAGATAAAGGTATCTTATTTTTTCTCAGTGTAGTCCTCAAGTTTAAAAAGGCAGAAAGTAGTGTAGTCTCAACAATTTTAAACAAAAACTTTTCATAAATGACATAGAAGAAAAAAATCTTACATTAAGGAATATCCTAAATTTTTCTGAAGCACTTCACTATAGAAATATTTGACATTGATATCTAAAAACTTCCATTAAGGAGTTTTCAATATTTTAGCTTTTACTGCACAAAACATAAAACAGTTAAAAATGTTTTTTATTTATACATAAATAATAAAATAATTCTTACCTGTATAAAAAAAGATCTTTGGCAAGTCTCTTAGGTCCAATGATTTTGAAGATAATTTCATATGTTTCAAGTGCCTTTCGATGAACTCCACCTGGTAATGCTGGATGTAGGCATTGAGCTAGGCGTTTGCCTATGGTCAGCTTTTTGGGTACTACTTGGTACTTTGCATTATTTTGTAAAACCTTGAAGAAAACATTTTAATTCAGTTGAGAAAAACAAATTTTATCTTTTATTTCCATTTTCTAGCACAGAATTATCAAAAATCCTATGGGACTTCTTTACACTCTAAAAAATTATAAAGGGTGCCTAACAATTCTTGTCTTAGTCAGTTATATCTATCAGTATATGCCATATTTAAAATTAAAACTGAGGATGTAAAAAAATTATTTTGTGAAAAAAACCCACTACATGTTAACAGAAATATTTTTATTAAAAAAATCATAATATTTTGCCAAATTTGTTCAGAAGAGAGGCAATGATTTAATTTTTGCAAATCTTTTTTTTTTTTTTAAAGATTTTATTTATTTATTTGAGAGAGAATGAGAGAGAGAGAGAGCACAAAAGGGGGGAGCGGGAGAGGGAAAAGCAGACTCCCTGCTGAGCAGGGAGCCCAATGCGGGACTCGATCCAGGGACTCCAGGATCATGATCTGAGCTGAAGGCAGTTGCTTAACCAACTGAGCCACCAAGGCGCCCTAATTTTTGCAAATCTTTAATGACAGTTATCCTACAATCTATTTCTGATACACTGTTTGAAAGATATGAAGGAAAACAGATCTCAACATAAATAATGTAGTTGGGAAGAGGGACAACCATTGCTTTAGTATATCATATGACAGCAAGGAATTCTAATGCTTAAAAGAATCTACTTAAGATTATAATTGCCCATTTGTTTTTACTAACTTAATTTCCCAAGTGGACCAAATACAACTGTATTTATTCAAACATAACATTTCTTTAGAGATAATAAGGTAGAATTTATAGAAGATTCTATTTTACAAACCACCCAAAGGAGATTAGCTATTTAAGTAAAAAAAAGAAGTTATAACTAAGTTCTTCAAAGTATTATAGTAAAGTGCTGATAGAAAATTACAAAATAAACTCAGAATGAAAACAGTAAAATATGCTAGAATTGGAATTTCGAAGAAATATAAAAGAAGTCCTTTATTTTACAAAACAAAGAACTAAAGTTAAAATATATAAGATGACCAAAAAATAAAAATAATAAAAATAATAAAATATATAAAATGACCTGCCAAAGGCAGTGCAGTAGAAAAGTCAGGACTAGATTTTCCAGTTTATAAAAAAACCGCAGGCTCTAGCTGAGGTCCACTTAGATATACCATTTTCAATGTTCTTCCCACTACAAGCTTTTAATTCAGTTTTAAGTTGGATGTAATGAATGTAAATAAAATTAAATCTATAAATGAAAAGCAAATTAAAGGCAAAATACCAGTAAGAATATAGCCCTTAAAAAATATTTTTCAACTAGCTGCTTCCATTTCCAAAATATTAATTTGAATTTTAAACACAGTAGCCAAGAGTCAATATTTACATATTTTTAATTTATCTTTTTAGTAATCTCCACACCCAACGTGGGGCTCAAACTCAAGACCCTGAGATCAAGAGTCATATGCTCTTTCAACTGAGCCAGTTAGGTACTCCAATATTTACATATATTTTAAGGACAAGTATAATTACTTCTGCAGAAAACTTAATGATCTGTAACACAAAATGTTTTCATAAAAAAATTCTATCAATACCAAATAAAATTTAAAAAGTAAAATATGGCACCATTTTCTAAAAGTATTTTGAAGTTGAAAAACTTATATAAATGAGGTAAAAATTAAGTATATTAATAAACAATAAAATTTTATATTAAAACATGTATTTAGACTATGGTCAACAAATTTATATTACATATAGAACATACAATCCTTGCCTGTTTCTCAACTTAAAGTAAGTTTTTTCAATGACTTGCATATCCTACTTTGTATTATCTGGATACAGTAAAATGTTTTTATAAATATTGATTATGTAATCAGTTATGTATATTAATTTCCACAATTTAATAAATTACTTTTAAACATAGTTCCTAGTAAGTTTTCAGAAAGAGACTCTTCAGAACAAAAAAGAACCTAAATACTTTTAAGCATATTCATATTTTTGAATGCAATTTCTTGAGGCTACTGTAAAAAATCTGAGAATTTATCAAACCACAAATGATAAATGTTAGAAGTTAACATGTCAAACAGAAGTTTGTGCATCTAATTTTACAATAAGTCCTTGGCACATTAAAAATGAAAGTTTTTATTTTTTTTTGAAGATACAAAAGTAATTACGCATAGTATGTATGAGGTTGAACAGTAGTGTCCTTGGAAAGTATTTTAAGACAATTTCTTTACTAATAATTGTATGCTCAGCTGTTTGATGTTAAAAGTTACCAGGAGAGCTCTCATTTCCTATCTTCTCCACTCCATTTAATATTTAAAAGCATCCCAATTCAAGAACAACTGTTAAACAAAACAAAACAAAAAAACAAAAAACAAAAACCCTCCAAAACTATAGGTGTGAGGTGAGAAAAATTTGATCTAAGAAACAAACAAAAAACAGCATTAAAATTTAAAACTATGAGTTGATTCATAATGCCACTATAACAGGGGATTAAAACCAGACATGTTAAGGGGAAATACTCAAGGTGAACCTCCAAGGCCTAAGTGACTACTTGACACTTTTGTAAAAAGTACTGAATATATCTAAGAATTTCCTGGATACAAAATTTTCCTTACTGCTACATGTACGACATTTACAAAGGACAGAGAAGTTACTACATTCTACACACAGTTTTTAATTTTGCTGTCAGGAACTGCAGAACCGTATCTGATAATCAATTACAGAAATTTGTTAGCCCTCGGGAGTTAGCATATTTGCTTCCTAGTCTTGTGTTTTTAATAGCAATGATGGAATAACTATATTTTTCAAGTACTGTTGTTGTTTTGGCCACAAAAATATGCCTGGCTATATAGGTAGGCAACTCATGAAGTAAAATAGCAGTACCAAAAGTAATTCTGAGCTTTTGTTATGTTTTTACAATTCTTTACTTCAACCTTTAGAGAAATCCAGTAAGTATAAACTCAGATTTCTGATTTTTACTTTTTATGAAATGAGTAAAATGGACATACCTTATTAAGTTTTCCAAGTGCTGATATCAAATCTGCCCATTCACTGGAATATTCAAAATTCTTTAGTGCTTTGTCTATTGCAGCTACATAGTTTCTGTATTTGGAGTCACTCAGTAATTCTAGCTCTTCTGTGTTCATCCTCCCACAGCGTCCCACTAGAGACCAGTTCCAAAGTCATGTAAAATCATTACCTATAAAAAAGTTTGCAGAAGGAACCAAAGTTACAAAGTAAAGTATTAAAACAGGCTCATATGCTCTTGCTACAAAACTACTGGCTAACTTTAAAATGTTTCTTGAGTTCAAAGTGGTCAAAACTGGTCAGCTAGTATATAGAGTCATGAAGTACTCAAAGAGAGCTTCAAAGGTAACTACTCATATGCTCCTTCCCAGGGACGGGAAAATGGCTATGAGAACAAAGGGATAGAAAATAGGAAATATTTTGGTACTTATTTCAGTTTAGAAATCATTTATTTTTCTTATATTTTCTGGTATGACATTTGTGATAGACATACTCCTCTGCTTTGTACTGATACTAAGATACACTAAAAGTGGTTGGACTGGAAACATCAAGGACATGCAAAAAACAAAAAAAAAAGAAAAAGAAAAGAAAAAATATTAATTACTTGGAAATCATCTCATTTTATTAGGCAACAAATGAGCATATAGTATAAAGGAACATTAGCTTTTCAGAATTAAACCTTACTTTTAATAAAAAAGACAAATACATATGGTAGTTTAAAACATGTTCACACATGGGTGCCTGGGTGGCTCAGTTGGTTAAGCGAGTGCCTTCGGCTCAGGTCATGATCCCGGACTCCTGGGATCGAGTACCACATCGGGCTCCCGGCTCAGTGGGGAGCCTGCTTCTCCCTCTGACCCTATCCCCTCTCATGCTGTTTCTCTCTCTCTCTCTCTCTCTCTCTCAAATAAATAAATAAATGAAATCTTTAAAAAAAAAAACAAAACATGTTCACACATTCTTCGATATTAATTTTAAAAAGTGGTTCCAAATCCTGCAGCCCCTTGGGGTGGATCTGGTGACTCAGTTCTGACAAAAATAGCAAGGCAGAAGTGACAATGCGTAATGGCTAAGACCGGGTCATAAAAGCACTTCAGCTTCCTCCCTTACCCTGTCTAAAATCATTAGCTCTGGGGAAAGCCAGTTGCCACATGATGAGAACACTTAAAGGAACTTAAAGGAGCCCTATGGAGAGGTTCCCATGGTAAGGACTACTGCTTTCTGCCAACAGCCATATGAGTGAGCCATTTTAGACACAGGTCTTCCATTTCCAAGCATGCCTTGATCTGATGGCAGTACCAACATACTGACTGTGACTTCATGAAAGATTCTGAGCTGAACTACATAACTAAGTCTCTCAAATTCATGACCTACATAAATCGCGCTGACTTAGGCCCCTGACTTTGGGGGTAAATTTCTTATACAGCACTAGATAACTAACAGAGTAGTAATAAGGATTTAACTTACGCTCAACCTAAAACCCAATGTGGTTTCTCCTCCACTTTTTTGGTATCCTATAGGACTTTCAATATATCTAATCTATTGAAAGGACTTTGAATATATCTAAGAATTTCCTGGATACAAAATCAGACAGAAGGAGTTTCAACTAATGCTGTACCTTTCTTTAGAGCTAGATTGATGGATGTGGAGGAGGGTCTAAGAATGGGACTCAGAGGACGCCAACATGATTAAATGAAAGGTAAAAATAGTCTCTTCAACAAATGGTTTTAGGATAACTGGAAAACCACATGTAGGGGTGCTGGGTGGCTCAGTCGTTAAGTGTCTGCCTTAGGCTCAGGTCATGATCCCAGCGTCCTGGGATTGAGCCTCACACTGGGCTCCCTGCTCAGCAGGAAGCTTGCTTCTCCCTCTCCCACTGCTTGTGTTCCCTCTCTCACTGTCTGTCACATAAATAAAATCTTAAAAAAAAAAAAAAGAAAACCACATGTAAAATAAAGATGTTGACTCCTTCCTCATATCTACATGAAAATCAACTCAAAATGGATGATAGATCCAAATGTAACAGCTATAAAAATCTTAGAATAAATACAGGAGTAAGTTTTTGTAGGCAGTCTTCTTAGAAATAACACTAAAGAAGACATCACAAGTAATGACAAAAAAATAAATAAACTGGACTTCATCAAAATGAAAAACCTTTCTGCTTCAAAGGATATCATCAAGAAAGGAAAAGAGGAGACGTCTAGGGAAGATGGCAGAGTGAGAGAACTCTAAGCTCACTTTGTCCCACAGATACAACTAGATAATAGCCACATCAATGTAAATAACTCAAAAAAATGACCTGAAGACTGGCAGAACAAACTTTCCACAGCTAAGTGTAGAGAAGAGGCCATATCAAAGAAGGTAGGAAGGGTGGTGACAGGTTGAGAGCTAAATGGATCCATGGACTCTCCTTGGGAGGGAAGAACACCCCAGGCCTGAGAGAGGAGACAAACAGACTCACACCAGGGAGCCTGCATGGGGTAGATGAATCACCATATTTGCCTTTGAAAACCAGAGGGGTCAAATTTTGTGAGTTCTTACAATCAGCGGGGCTTAAAACCTGGTCCTTTAAAAATCAGGCGGCTTGTGGGAGAACAGCGAGGGTGAGAGGAAACTGAGTACCCAGCCTTAAAGAGACAGCACAACAAACAGCCCCAGTGAGATACAGCATAGAAGCAGCAGTTTGAAAAAAGCCTGGGTATCTGGGAGGGAGATTTGCTTACTAACCTCAAAGCAAGTGCTGGAGGGGCAGGGATCTTTGGGAGACTTCTCCAGGAACAAAGGAGCTGGCAGGCACCATTGCTCTCCCCCACCCACCAGCATAAACACAAAGACACCTGCAGGAACCAGTGGGGTACCAACACTTACTACCTAACTTACTAATAGTGCCTCCTGCCCACCTGTTCTCCTGCAGACACACCCCAACCAGCCAGAACCCCACTCCAGATCTTCTCCCACAGCAGACCCGGGCAAACCTTGCTAAAACCACCTGACCCGCCCCCACATGCTTCTGTGGGTCAGTCCCCTCCAACCCATGTGCCTCTGTTCCCAACAGCTGCAGGTCTCCTTCTGTTGCTGCCAACCTTGCTGACACCTCACACCCTGCCCTCATGTTCTCCTACAGCTCTGTGCTACCATATCTCTGGCAAACATTTGTTCTGACTCAAGTTAAGCCCAAGGTGGCCACAGACAGGCTCACTAACAACAAAAGGATCAAATCCTGCCCACAACAGGCGGAGAGCCACAGCAGATGAATGGACAGAAGGCAAAAGCAGCTCAGTCACAACAGCACATGCAACACACACAGGAGACACCCCTGAAGCACCATGTTCCAGTCAACAGAGAACAATGCACTACCAGGCACTACAGGCCCTCTTCATAAGCCACTACTTTCAAGAGCAGAAGACGTAGCTAACTTTCCTACTACATAAATTAGACACAGAATTAGACAAAATGAGACAGAGGAATATATCCCAAATGAAAGAACAGGACAAAATCACAGTGAGAGCTAAACCAAACAGAGGTAAGTAACATGCCTGATAAAGAATTTAAAGTAATGGTCATAGAGATACTCACTAGATTATTAAGAAAAGAGTGGAGGACCTCATGAGACCCTTAACAAAGAGACAAAAACCATAAAGAACCAATTAGAGATGAAGAACTCAATAACTGGGAAAAAAAAAAAATACACTAGATGGAATAGTAGACTAAAGGAAGCAGAAGAACGGATCGGTGACCTAGATGACAGAGTAATGGAAAGCACTCAAGCTGAGCAAAAGAGAAATAATAAAAAGTGAAAATAGACTTAAGTAACTCAGTAACACCATGAAGTGTAATAACATTTGCATTATAAGGATCCCAGAAGAAGAGAAGAGAAGAGAGAGAAAAGGGAAGCAGAAAATGTATTTGAAGAAATATGAGCTGAAAACTTCCTGAATCTGGGGAAAGGAAACAGAAATTGAGATTCAGGAGGCACAGAGAATCCCCAACAAAATCCACCCAAGGAGGTCCACACCAAGACACATAGTAATTAAAGTGACAAATAGTAGTGACTTAAAGAGGGAATTTTAAAAGCAGCAAGAGAAATGAAAACAGTTACATACAAGGGAACCCCATAAGGCAATCAGCTGATTTTTTTAGCAGAAATACTGCAGGCCAGAAGACGATGAGCATGATATATTCAAAGTGCTGAAAGAAAAAAACTGCAGCCAGGAATAGACTATCCAGCAAGGCCATCCTTTAGAATAGAAGGAGAAATAAAGAGTTTCCCAAACGAAGGTTAAAGTAATTCATAACCACTAAACCAGCCCTACAAGAAATACTAAAGGGGACTCTATGAGTAGAAAGGAAAGACCATAAACAGGAATAAGTAGGAAATACAAAAGCCACAAAAATAAGTATATCAATAAGAATCAGTCAAGGGATTCACAAAATAAAAGGATGACATCATATACTTAAAACATAAAAGAGGAGTAAGGACTGCGTTCAAACTTAAGCGATCATCAGCTTAATTTAGACTGCTATATGCATAAGATATTATATACAAACCTAATGGTAACCACAAGTCAAGAACTGGTAATAGATATGCAAAAATTAAATAGAAAGAAATCCAAGTATATCACTACAGGAAGCAAACAAACCATGAGCAAAAAGAGCAAGAGAAGAAAGGAACAGAGAAGAACTACAAAAAGACCATAAAACAAGCAACAAAACAGCAATACATACCTATCAATAATTACTTTGAATGTAAATAGACTAAACACTCCAATAAAGGAATAGGGTGACAGAAGGGGTAAAAAAGCAACACCCATCTATATACTGCCTACAAGAGAGTCATTTCAGACCTAAAGACACACGCAGATTGAAAGTGACAGGATAGAAAAGCGTTTATCATGCGAATGAAATGAAAAGAAAGTGGGTAAAAATATTTAGATTGGGCAAAACAGACTTTAAACAAAGGCTGTAACAAGAGACACAGGAAAACACTATATAGTCATAAAAGGAATAATCCAGGGGCGCCTGGGTATCTCAGTTGGTTAAGTGTTGGCCTTTGGCTCAGGTCATGATCCCAGGGTCCTGGGATCGAGCCCCTCATTCAGGCTCTCTGCTTAGCAGGGAGCCTGTTTCTTCCTCTCCCTCTGTCTGCCACTGTGCCTACTTGTGGGTGCCCCA